CTGCCCTGCCTCGCTCCTCCTGCGGCTGCTGCTGTGGGGGGGAGGTGGCAGGGACGGGGGGGTGGGGGGGCTGGCTGCCATGTGAAGGACAGTGCAAGGACTACTGTGGGTGGGGCAGGGGTGTGGAGGAAAGAAGGGGGGGGAGGGAGTGCGGTTCGAGGGGCGGCTTGAATGGGGGGTGAGGTTCAAGGGGGGTGGTTGATTGGGGGTGGGGATGTGGGGGTTAGTAAGAGGGGACGCCGCGGCCACCCCCCCACCTCCTCTCCTCATCCCCCACTCACCCCCCCCCTTCGTAAAAGGGGGTTAGTAAGAGGGGACGCCGCGGCCACCCCCCCACCTCCTCTCCTCATCCCTCACTCACCTCCTTAGTTCTTACCTCCTCTCCTCTCCTCTCTCTCTCTCTCTCTCGCCTCCTCCTCCTCACTTACCTCTCTGCCGTCTTCCACTGCGCCTGCTACACTCCTTCAGGGGGTGTGACTTCCTCTAGCTATGAGCTGCAGGCAGTTAAGGGGGTGTGTCGCGATACATATTTTATATGTATGTTTATAACTGCCTGTAGCATTAGCTTTAGTGTAGTTATGCCTTCTTACATTGGTGGTGCACCTTCTCTTTGTTCCTTTGCTATATGTTCTTGCAAACCTATAGTGAAATTATTCCATTCTCGACATCCTCCCTTGGCTTGACACTCTCGTCACCCGCTTGGCCTAGGCTTCTAAGCCTAGGCCCTAGTTAAACCCGTTCCTAGCTAAGTTCGTCTCGTGACAGTCTCCTCCACCTGGTGTCCCGCACTCTCGTGTCCGTCCCTGTCCTCCGCGTGCTCGTCACTCGTCTCCCGTTACCGACCTCCGCACTGCCCTCCTTTGTTCGTCTCTTCGTCGTCCTCCTCCTGAGTCCGTTCTCCCGTCTCCGCCTCCGTCCTCTCTCCCTTTCCCCCCTACTCCTGTCACTGACTACTACCGCGCTGTTCGTCCTGTTGTCTCTCGTGTCCTCGCCACTCTTGTCACCGACTCTCGTTTCCCTCCGTCGTCTGTCTCGGCTCTCACTGCCGCTGTCGCTGAGTTTGCTGCCGCCAGACGCCTTGACTACACCACCCGTGTGGTGCCAGCTCCTCCCTCCCGTCCTCTGTCCGTCGGGGGTGGGTTTGCCCTTGGCTGTGACGTTCTAGAGGACAGAGAGTCTGAGCTGGAGTACTGGGCAGCCGCTTCTCCCTCTGTCTGTGCCATGCTGCTATCCCCTGAGAGAGACCCCGACGCCCTTGACATACCGACTCCTCGCACTTACCGCGAGGCAGTGTCAGGGGCGTGGGCCTCACAGTGGAAAGCGGCTATGGCTTCGGAGTTAGCGTCTTGGAGATCCACAGGCACCTACGTCGACGCAGTTCCCCCTCCCAGGGCGAACGTAGTCGATGGCATGTGGCTCTTCAAGGTGAAGCGGCCGCCTGGTTCACCGCTTGTGTTCAAGGCGCGCTACGTGGCTAGGGGTTTCAGTCAGCGTGAGGGAGTTGACTTCTTCCAGACCTTCGCCCCGACCCCGAAGATGACTACTCTTCGGGTGTTACTGCACGTAGCAGCACAACGAGACTACGAGCTGCACTCCCTTGACTTCTCTACTGCGTTTCTCCAGGGCCGACTACACGAGGAGATCTGGCTGCGCCGCCCTCCTGGCTTCACTGACACCTTCCCACCTGGGACCCAGTGGAGCCTGAGACGGCCAGTCTACGGTCTCCGCCAGTCGCCCCGTGAGTGGCACGACACTCTTCGCTCCACGCTTCGTGACCTTGGGTTTTGTCCTTCCTCTGCCGACCCGTCGCTGTTTGTTCGCACTGGTTCCACTCCTTTCTTTATCCTAGTGTACGTCGACGACTTGGTCTTTGCCACAGCAGACAGGGCAGCTCTGGCTCAGGTGAAGTCCGAACTGCAGAAGAGACACACGTGCACTGACCTAGGTGAACTGCAGCGCTACCTTGGCCTGCAGATCACCAGGGACAGAGCCGCTCGCACCATCACACTGACTCAGTGACACATGGTGCAGCAGGTCTTTCGGCGGTTCGACTTCCAGTTCTCCACCACACAGCCCACACCTCTTGCTGTTGACCACAGACTCACTGGCCCCTTTCCCGACGAGCCTTTTGAGTCCAGTGGTCCCTACGCAGAGCTGGTGGGCTGCCTCATGTACCTGATGACTTGTACTCGGCCGGACCTCGCCTTTCTCCTCAGCATACTTTCTCGCTTTGTTGCGACTGGGAGACACCGTCCTGTCCACTGGACAGCTGCTGTGAGGGTGGCGAAGTACCTGGCGACTACATCAGGCATGGGGCTTGTGCTTGGAGGGACTCAGCCAGTGGCGTTGACTGGTCACTGCGACTCTTCCTACGCTGACGACGTGGAGACTCAGCGCTCGACTCAGGGCTACTGCTTCAGTCTGGGTGCTGGTGCTGTGTCGTGGAGGTCTACACAGTCGTCGTCTGTGGCTACTTCCAGTGCAGAGGCAGAGATCTACGCTGGTGCCATGGCGGCACAGGAGCTTCGCTGGTTGACCTTCTTGCTCACCGACCTTGGTGAGCGGCCTCGCTCTGCACCGACCTTGTACGCTGACAACAAGGCCATGATCCTCCTCTGTCGAGAGCCTCGACTGGAGAGCAGAGTGAAGCATATTGACGTGAGGTACTTCCTTCTGCGAGAGCTGCAGCGACGCGGCCAGGCACGCCTGGACTTTGTGGCCTCAGAGGCCAACACTGCAGACGTCTTCACCAAGGCCCTGGCGCTTGGTGACCACCACAGGTTCTGTGTGCAGTTGGGGCTTGTTGAGGTAGGCCCTCGGTTGCTGTAGACTTGCTGTTTGCTCTGCTTGTTGTGCTTTGCTATATATATCCTAGTGAACTCTTGAACTGGCCTTGTGGCCGCTTGCTTGTGCTCGGAATTTGTGTGGTGTCCTTGAGATCCACCCTGAGCTTGCTTTGCTTCTTGCATTGACTGGTCTTGTGACCGTTTGTTCACCCTGCTTGCTTTGATGCCCCTCACTTAGCCTATGGGGGTGTGTCAAATGTTATTATAGGTTCTTAGGCTACAGTGAGTAGCACTCTAGGGAGTACAACACTTTTAGGGTTGCTATTTGTATTCCTTGTTTCCCTAGTTCACACATTCCGTTGTTCGCTAACTTTGAGAAGGATTGAGAAGTAATCACGGTCAAGAGAAACAAATACTTACAATTCCAAAGTTAAATATCGAATCGACGATCCCTTCTTTATCGTTTTCCCTGAATGTTGGGCTGGTTCGATCTGGGGCCTCTGATTGGCTGCGGAGCTGATTCGTGCAATGATTCGGTCAAGCTGCATAATTTCCCGCAAAAAAATGGACTTTAGGGGTCAAGCCAACCCTAGACAAAATCGGAAAACTCTACTCAAGGGGGAAAAGGGACTCTTTCAGCGAGGGCCTCTAACCCGGAACACTTGTACAAGGTTCGTGGCATGGTATCACATAAATATTGTCCTGGTGCAATAGCACCTGTTTTTACAGATTCTAAGGCACAACATATGCAAACATTCATGTTCCCAAAAGATTATCTTGGTCAATCCCTGGCCGCCTGGTTTGTTTGTTGTGGTTTGAAGGTACACATAGGCGGTGACAGGCAAATGAGACGTGTAGCGGTTTGCTAGGCAGCAATGATGCACTGGTGGTTTGGCAAGAACGTGAGGACCTCGAGATTCCCTTTTCTCCTCGTTAGGGTTGCGAAAGAAATCATCATTTCGCGAAAAGTTTGCGAGATTGACGGAACCAACAGCAACTCTTCTTGGTGCCTGCTCCGTGGTGCCACCGACGGAAATGGAATCGCGACGAGCCACGAAACGCGTGGGACGTCAGTGCCGTGCAGGTTTGGCGCGAAACCAAGGGCAGGGGAGGGGCAGTTCCCAGGGCAGACACGAACCAGACCATGCCAGGCCAGGTCCGGTCACACAACAGGGCAGGCTCGAGGGCGGGCATCTCTTTTCGAAACTTTGGGATTACCGAGCCGAAATCCGTCTGTGAGAGGAGCTTGGGGGCAGGAAGCAAAGAGAGTGTCGTGCTGACAAGATGCTATGGCCATCAGTGGCTTGAGATAGCTTATTATTGTACGGAACTAGAAGCTTGATGCTGATCTCAGCTTGCTAACCTAACTTAACCCCGTCCTGTAATTAAGTTATGTTATTTATGGGTAACGCCCGCTTACTCAGCAACAACGGATAGCCTACTTTTTTCGTGCATCCGTTCCTTTAGGATCGATCAGGATTGTAATGCTCGTAGCGTTTCGCGACAATGACGAGTCTTTGGGGTTCGCGACGCACGTCGAGACAGCTCACGCGCGAATCGAAACGCGAGAAAAGCAAAAGGCCCGAAGAGCCGAATGAATTAGACTTAACTCGCCTGCAGTCCACTAACTCTAGGACTCGCAAGAAGGCGGAGCTTATCAAGAAAGCTAGCGACTCGCGACGCCGGTTCCACTTTAGAGAGCTCCTGTGTATCGCGATTCCGCCAAACGCGACGCTAGAAGATGGCCATCTGCCATGGCCGCTTTGCTCCCCACCCACCACACCGGACGCATCCGGAAGAGGTCAGTTGCCAGACGCAATTGTCAGACGTCAGTTACCGTTACCGTCACAGTCGTCCATTATGCGAGGTTGTGAAACGATTAAAAGGCTATCCAGACTTAGGGACTGTCGACTACCGCTCCTTACCACCTGAAGAGCCTTCTCTCAGAGGAACCATTAGACGCGCCATCAGTGGAAACAGCAGCTGCCTTGAACGCTCGTAGAACTTTATTTTTACACTCGCCATGCCAAGCACTCTATAGACTAGTAATCGCACCTGGCAAATTTGAGATTTTGTACTGACCCATATGCTATTCTGGCCACTAAGACCGTGCTCTTGTGATTCCGTTTGGATTACATTTTGCGCCTAGTCTTTGAGCGCCGCTGCTTTTACCTCATCTGGTCGTCTCCCTCCTCCTGTCCCGTGTCTGCCAATATGTCATCACGGTTTCGAGATGAAATCTGCACTTACGCCAAGCTTTCCGTCTATGCTTCCCCTACTACCACAACCCCCCACTCCCCTCCTTCCCTATCCCCCTTCTCCCCGTTTCCCCTCCTCTTTCCCCACTCCCCCCCGCCTCTTCCCCCACCCCCCCCAGGGCTGACGTGGTTCCCGCACGCCAGTGCGGACGACGACTGGCTGGAGGAGGCTGCTACGGCCTCGCACGCCTTGCCGCCGGCTCAGGTGCGGTGCTGTGGGGTTGGGAGGTGCGAATTGAAGTCGTGAAAGGGTGGAATGCGCTGCATGCACCAAGAGGGATTGGCACAGGGATGTTTCGCTGTGAGTAGGGTTCAGGAATGGAGTAAGCGGCCTGCTGCCTCTCCGTCTCTATAATTCCCCTCATCCTCATTCTCCCATGCGCACCCCCACTCTCCCCGTCCTCCTCCCCCTCCTCCCGGCCCCTCCAACCCCCCTCCCCTTCCCCTCCCCCCAAACCCCACGGCTTTGTCGTAAGCAGGCCGCGAGCAGCAGCGCTGTATCAGGACACGTGCGAGAGGAGGTCGTCAAGATCGAGGAGATCTCCACAGAGATCGTGACCGTCCAGGAGATATCCACCGAGATCGGGCGGCCAGCTAGATCCCGCAGATCAGGGGCAAAAGCTGCACGAGAAGCAGGCCCAGGCGAAGCGGAGAAGGAGAAGAAGAAAGGGAAGAAGGGGAAGAAGGGAGGCAGGTCGAAGCGAGAAGCACAGCCGCCGGATGAGGCGACTAGCGCGGATCCCAGGCTGCCTGAACGGGTGCGGCCTGCAGGAAGAGATGTTGTGGTGCCGCAAACAACAGCGGAAGCACAGACGTCCAGTTCTAGCCCTGCTCCTGCTGCTGATGGTGCCGGTGCTTCTGGTGGTGCTGGTAGGACTGGGCTTATAGCTGGATTGGCAGCAGGGGCAGCAGCAGCAGGCGGAGCTGTAGCAGCAGGGGTGGCAGGTTTGGCTGCGAGGCGAGAAGCCAAGCCTCCAGAAGCAGCAACCAGTGGTGATGCAATGGAAGGGGTGGCAGGTTCGGAAGGGGTGCGAGGTTCGGAAGGGGTGGGCGGTTCGGAAGGGAGAGTAGAAGGGCAGTTATCAGCAGAGGAGATGAGGGAAGACTCGAGAACGTCAGTGGCAGCCGTGTTAGCTTCGGGGGACACTGCGAGAGACCTTAGTGTTGGCGACTCGGAGTCTGCCGTACAAAGTCTGCCTGAACCAACAACGCAAGCAGCAGGAGCAGCAGAAGCAACAGAGGCAGCGGACGCAGCAGACGCAGGTGAGAGAGGTGAGCTGGCAGAAGCAGGTGCAGCAGGGGAAGCAGGCCCGAGCGGAGCAGCAGTTGCTGCTGCCGCCGGGGTTGGAGCCGGGGCAGCAGTGGCAGGTGCCGTGGTAGGAGGAGCTCTAGGCGCTTCTCTAGGCTCCCGAGAAGTCTCTAGAGACGATCCCAGGGAGCAGTCCGGTGGGGGGTCGAAACGAGCCACACCTGGGACCCCGCTAGGTGGGAGCTCGCCCGTGTCTGCAAGCGAAGGGGGGAGTAGGCGAGAGGTGAAGGCGAAGCGGAACAGGGTGGGGGAGGGCGCGTTTGCTTCAGGGGATCAGCAGGATGGGGTGTTTGGTGGGGATGATTCTGGGGGGAGCGGTAGGCAGGGGAGCCAGGGGCGCGGAAGCATGGGGAGAAGCAGCGGCAGTAGCGGCAGTGGCAGAGATAGGGATACGCTCCTGCAGCAGCAGCAGAAGCAGCAGCAGCAGCAGCAGCAGCAGGTGCAGCAGCAGCGGCAGCAGCAGTCGTGGTCGAAACAGCCCCTACCAGGTCATGTTCCCGGCGCTACTGGTATGCCCCCCATGCGCAGCAACAGCGAGCTTCCCCCCCTTCCCCACCGCAGCACCAGCGGCCTTCCCCCCCAGCCCCTCCGCAGTAGCAGCGGCCTTGCTGCCCTCTCCGCGTCCACCAATAGCAATCTCCTGCAGCGGGCCGCCACGGGCAGCGGTGACCGCTGGATCTTCCACTCTGGCGCGGATCGGGACCAGCTAGTGGAGTCAGATTCGAGCGATGACTCGGAGACGATGAGTGGGCAGCTGGAGGGCGGGTTGGGGGATTCCTGGGGGAGAGGGCGAGGTGGGGAAGAAGCAGGGTCGTTCAAAGCGGGGAGTTTGGCGAGTCAGGGGTCTAGAGGCGGGGGTATGAGTCCTGTGTCTGAGATGGGGGAGCAGCATGGTGCGGGTAACGTAGCAGGGAGAGCGAGGGGCGGGATGTGGCACGGGGCTCCTCGGCCTAGCAGTGCTGGCAAGTCTGGGAGATCACGATTAGGGAAAAGATCGCCTAGAGGGTCGTCTCTAGGGGCAGGGATGCTGGAGCGAGTAGCAGGCGGGACGGCGGATAGCAGAGGGAGCTTTGGAACAGGTGCGGAGATCAACAGAGCGAGTAAGAGCATGCGGGGGTTGCCTGTAGAGGGGTTGGCTAGCGCTGGGGCTAGCGGGGCGTGGAGCTCGTCAGATGGCGAGGGGAGTGTGCAGACGAGAGGGGCAGCAGGGGCGGCTCAGCCTGTGGTTGTGGGGTTTGTGGGGCCTGCTAGACCGGGTACACCTGTTTCGCTGACCAGGCTTGGGTCTGGGGCTCCTATGCTGCGCCCTGCTACTTCTGGGGGTTTGTTGCTGGAAGATGTGGGGAAGTATGATGACTGGGTGGTGTATGAGAGTGAGGGGGAGGAGGAGGAGGTGCAGAGTAGGCTTGCGAGGGGGAGAGGGAGAGGTGTGGTGGAGAAGAGGGTGGTGCAGGAAGGGGGGGTGGCGGGGGTTGTGGATAAGAAGGAGGCGAGGGAGGGAGGGCAGGCACAGGGTGTAGGAGCAGCAGCGGCAGCGGCAGCGGCAGGGGCAGGGGCAGCGGGGATGATGGTTGGGAATGTGGGGCGGGGGAAGGGGACAGAGAGGGACGTGTGGAGAGCAGGACAGGAGGACTCTGATAATTCGGACTCAGAAATCAAGCATGAGGCGGGATGGGGTCTCGCCTCACAGCAGCAGCAGCAGCAGCAGAGTAACGGATTCATGTTCAACAGCCAAGGGGAAATGCCTGGGGGTGGGTTTCACCCAGGGGAGGCTCAACCGGGGGGGGTTCAGCCCCAGCCTGGCGCAAGGCATGCGCCCCAGCCGCCCACTAGTCCGCGCCCATCATCCCCCCGGCCTCTCCCATTCGCCTCCAGGTCTCGGTCCTCTGCCCCTGCTCCTCACCCACAGCAGCAGCTCCCCCCTCGCCCTGTCGGCCCTCCTAACGCTTCCTCCTCCCTGCATGGTCCTTCACAGCCCCACCCGTTCTCGTCAGGAACAGCAGGTAAGCCGCGCATACCCCCCATCCCCCCAGCTTATGGTCACTCCCCTGCTTATGCTGCGCCTGCTGCTGCGTCTGCTGCTGTGCCGGGCTCTGATCCACACCCGTTCGCCCCGGGTGGTTTTGCTGGAGGTGCTGGAGCTCCTGGAGTGGCAGCAGGGGCTGTGCCTGGGGGGCAGCAACAAGGGCAGCAGCAGTCGTGGGGGGGGTCTGTGGCAGGATTCTTTGCAGGGGCAAGCGCGTTTGTGTTTGGCGCCAAGCATGACGGGCACGCAGGGCGGGAGGCAGGGAGGGAGGTGCAGCAAGGAAAGGACTTGAATCAGGCAGGTGAAGCTGGGCTGGGGTTAAGGGACGGGGAGCAAGGGGGGTCTGGGGCGGCAGGTACAGCAGCTGCAGCAGGTGTAGTAGGTGTAGCGAGTGGGGGCAGTGGCAGTGGCAGCGGCAGTGGCAGTGGTAGTGCTATGCGGCCTCCTCGCCCTCCATCCCTTGCTATCCCTGGAGCAACGGGTAATGCCACTAGCCCTGGTGCTGGCCGCTACAACACCCATGCACAGGCAGGAGCAAACGGAGAGGCTTCAGAACGAACAGCAGCAGCTGCTGGTGGTGGTGGTGCTGCTCCTAGTGTGTTTGAGGTAGAGGGCGGGCATGAGGCTCTTATGTCTCCCATTGCCTTCGTTACAGTGTCGCCTGCTAAGAGCACCAGGAGAGGCACCGACGGAGCTGCATTGCCAGGGGCAGCAGCAGCAGCAGCAGCAGCGGTGCCTGGGAGAGCGGTGGGAGGAGCAGCAGAGATGGGAGCGATGAGTCAGCAGCCTGCACAGGGGTACCGGCCTGGGGCAGGGCTTGGTGGGTGGAGTAAAGGGTCTGGTGCTAGAGCCGGTGGGGTTGGTATAGGGTGGGGGGAGGGGAGTGAGGAGGAGAGTGAAGAGGTGGAGAGTGAGGAGGAGACAGAGGCGACCGAAGAGTTTGAGGAGGAAGAAGAAGAGGAGGAGGAAGAGGAGGAGGAAGAGGAGGAGGAAGAGATGGAAGAAGAGGAGATGGAGTATAGTAGTGATGAGGAAAGTGAGGACGAAAGTGAGGAGGAAATTGAAGAGGAGAGTGAGGAGGAGATTGAACAGGAGAGCGAGGAGGCAACTGAGGAGGAGAGTGAGGAGGCAACCGAGGAGGCAAGTGAGGAGGAAGACGAGGAAGAGGAGGAAGAGGAAAAGGAGGAACGCGAGGAGGAGAGTATAGGTGCGTGGGTGGGCAGACCGATACTGGCACAGTCACAAGCGGGCACTCCCACAGGCTATAGCGGCATGAAAACCCCAGATGCAATCGGAGGCATCGTGTTTATTAACGAGTATGGTGCTGCCCCTCCCTCCCCTGCTCTGGGGGCGAATTCCGTGGGTACGGGAGGGGGTACTAGTGGGGCCAGCACGCCTTTGGGAATGGGTGGGGCGAGTGGGGCAATGGCGGGCAGCAAATCGCCTGGTGGTAGGCCAGGGGAGGATGATGAGCGCGTGTTTGTGGTTTTTAACAAGTCGAGATTTTCTCCCACTGCTGCTGGCGCTGCTGCTGCTGCTGGCGCTGGTGGTGGTGCTGGTGGTGCTGGTGGGGGTGGCTTGTTGGCTGATACTCAAGGATCAGGGACCCTTGTGGTGAGGATTGAGAGAGGTGTGGAGGAGGAGGGAAGTGAGGAGGACGAGGGGGAGGGTGGTAGTGAGGGGTGGGATGGAGGGGAGAGTGGGGAGGAGGATGGGAGTGAGGGTCGGAGTGGGATGGAAGGAGAGAGTGAGGAGGATGGGAGTGAGGAGGGGAGTGGGTTTGATGGGAGTGCTGAGGGGGAGAGTGAGGGGGAGAGTGAAGGGAGTGAAGGGGAGGAGAGTGGGACAGAAGGGAGTGAGATGAGGGTAGGTAGGGAGGAGGGAGAAGATGGGGAATTGAGTGCGGTGGAGAGTGGTGCTTCTGGAGGGAGTGAGGGGAGCGAGGAGGAGAGTGAGGAGGGGAGTGAGGAGGGGAGTGAGGAGGAGAGTGAGGAGGAGAGTGGGAGTGAGGTGGAGAGTGGGAGTGAGGTGGAGAGTGGGAGCGAGAGCGAGGGGACGGAAAGTGGTTCGAGTGAGAGCGAGGGGAGTGAGGAGACAGGGTCAAGCGATGATGAGGACGGCACAACTTTGGACGGCACATGGGACGGCACAATGGACGGCACAATGGACGGCACAGTGGGCGGCACACTAGATGACAGAACGCTGGATGGGACAGAGGGTGTGACTCTAGGAGGGAGAGAAGTGGGACTATGGAGGGGAGTGGCACTATTGGGAGGAGTGACACTATGGAGGGAACTGAGGGTATGGGGAGAACCAACACGTTTGAGACCCTCGGGGAGACTAGAACTTATGAAGGCAGTGACACTATGGAGGGGAGTGAGACTATGGAGGGGAGTGAGACTGCTGGGACGGCAGATAGGACTCTGACTCTGGAGGGAACTGATGTTTTGAGCGACAGTGAAAGGGGTGGCAGTAGGAGGGCTAGCAGTGACAGGAGCAGAAGTGAGAGGGATGGGAGCTCTTATCAGGGCGATAGCTTATCCGAGGGGAGTGAGGAGAGTGAGGGGAGTGAGGAGAGCGAAGTGAGTGAGGGGAGTGAGGGGTCAGAGAGTGTGGAAGATGGTGATACTATGGATGATAGTGACAGTATGGAGGGGAGTGAGGCTGTGAGCAGGAGTGCAGCGAGCAGGAGCAGAGGAGGGTACAGTGACGATATTGTGCTTATAGAGGTGGTGACTGTAACGGGGTCTAGAACCAGTGGGACCCGGGAGGATTTGTCGAGTGTGCGAGGGATGAGCGAGATTGGGAGTGAGATGGGGAGGAGTGAGATAAGTAGGAGGAAGAGAGCGGGGAGTGAGAGTAGGGGGAGTGATACAGAGGGGACAGAGACGGAGGGGAGCGAGACGGGCATGAGTGGGAGTGAGGCGAGTGGGAGTGAGGCGAGTGGGAGCGAGGAGAGCGGGAGTGAGGAGAGTGGTAGTGGGGGGAGCAGCAGGAGTGGAAGTGATGAGAGTGAGGGGAGTGAGAGTGAGGGTAGTGAGAGTGAGGGTGATGAGAGTGCGAGTCACAGCCCAGCAGCGACTGGGGAGTATGACTCTCACTCTCACACCCACTCTCAGAGCAGTGAAGGGTCTGAGTCTGAAAGCGGCTCAGAGAGAGAAAGTGTTCACTCTGGTTCCCACACAATCAGCCCTCATACCACACTAACCCGAGAGTCTACTTCAGAAATTTCTGCCTCCGAGGTTTCAGGGTCGGAATCTGGTGGGGGAAGGCCAGATAGTGATGGGGGCCAGTCAGAGGACGATTCGGGGGAATCGGGGTCTGAGAAGGTGTCCAGGTCGGATTCTCATGCTTCCAGGTCAGCATCACATGCTTCCAGGTCAGCATCGCACCGTTCCAGGTCAGCATCGCACGCTTCCAGGTCAGCATCGCAGGCTTCCAGGTCAGCATCAGATGCTTCCGGAGGAGCGGGAGCGAGCAAAAGCGGGACTGCTGCAAGCCGCAGCCCGACTGATGCAAGCCAGTCACCTGGCACAGAATCGTCTCTTGTCGAATCACTCAGTAAGGGGTCGTCGGGAAGCCAGTCTCGGTTGGGAAGCAAGAGTGGGTCTCAAGCTAGTAGTGGGTCGCACACTAGCGGGTCGCAAGGTAGCAAGTCTGTGAGGAGCAAGTCAGAGGGAAGCGAATCGGAGAAGAGCGATTCGGAATACGAGGGTGAGGGTGAGGGGTCTGAGGAGGAGGAAGGTGAGGGATTCAGCAAGAAGAGCAGTGAGAGGTACAGCGGTAGTGGCAGTGGGAGCGAGGGGAGTAAAGAGAGTGAGAGTGTAAGGAGTGCGAATGGTGCTGCTGTTGGTGTTCCTAGTGTTACTGCTAGTGGTGCTGCTAGTCCCAGCCATGAGCTTTGGACGCCGACAGGTGGCGCTGCGTCATTGGCGGCAGGTGCGATGCGGTCACCAGGGGGGGAGGGGTGGAAGAGGCCACTCACTGTGAAGGTGGGGGGGAGTTCGCAAGAGCCCAGTTCTGAGGAAGAGGAGGAGGAGGAAGAGGAAGAGGAGGAAGCGGAAGGTGAGGAAGAGAGTGAGGGTGTTACTGCCACTGAGGAGGAGGAGGGAACCTCGATTGAGGAGGATGAGGATGAAGAGGAGGAGGAGGAGCAGGAGGAGAGTGTTTTTACGGAGGATAGGAGCTCAGAGGGAGAAGGGAGTATAGAGAGCGACAGGAGGTCAGATAGTGAGAGGGGCTCAGAAGGGGAAGAGGGCGAAGAGGAGGAGCAGGAGGAGAGTGTGTTCACAGATGACAGGAGCTCAGCAGCAGCGCGGAGGAGTGACAGGAGTGTAGAAAGTGACGGGGAATCAGAAGGTGACGGGAGTTTAGAAGGGGACAGGTCAGACGAGGATGGGATGTCAGAGGGAGAAGGGAGGTCAGAGGGAGAGGAGGATACGGAGGAGGAAGGAGGGGAGAGTGTAGGGAGCGAGGAGGAGGAGAGGGTGGCGAAGATGCTTCGAGCAGAGAGCAAGAGGCGGTTTGATGCGGTGCTGGGGCAGCTGAAGGGGCAGCTGAAGGTTCTGCTGAAGCAGGATTCACAGGGGAGCGGGCAGTCTGAAGGCAGTGAGGGGCTTGGGGAGGGGAGTGAGGAGGGGAGTGAGGAGGGGAGTGAGAGATTTGGGGGGTCTGATAGGAGTGGAGTGAGTGTGGGAGATGGGAGGAGAGAGGAGGAGAGTGGTGAGGGTGAGGAGTATGAGTCAGCGAGTGAGAGAGAGGGAGAGTCGCAAGAGGAGGATGCGTATGGTTCCAGAAGTGCGAGTGACAGAGAGAGTGAGGGTGAGAGGGAGAGTGAGAGTGGGAGGGAGAGTGAGAGCGAAGGAGGAAGGCAAGAGGAGGAGGATGAGGAGTGGGTGGAGGAAAAAGCAAGAGATTCGGTTAGGAGTGGTTCGGAGGAAGCCTGGGTGCACGGCAGTGAGGAGGAGCAGGGTGACTCAGAAGAAGGGGAGGAGGAGGGGGAAGGGGAAAGGGAAGAGGAGGAGGAGGGGGAGGGGCAAAGGGAAGAGGAGGAGGAGTACGGTTTCTCATCAGAAGATGAAGCTTCTGCTGCTGTGCCCGCTGCTGCAGTAGTTACTGCAACTGCTGCAGCTGCCCCCATGGCCCCACCTACTCTAGTAGCTCGAGCTGCCCCACCTGCCCTAACTGGCCCAGCACTCCCAGCACCCCCAGCAGCCGCAGCAATCCCAGCACCCGCAGCAACCCCAGCAGTCCCAGCAGTTCTACCTTCCCCCACAACCCCAGCTTCCCCTGTACCGCCCCCTCAGAGGTTCCACCACCCGCAGCCGCCCACCACGCCCTCTCTGCAGCCGTCCCCGCCGTCCCTCGCCTTGCGCCGCTCCTTCAAGCGCCCCCAGCCCCTGCGCCCCTCCTCCGCCTCGCCCCTCTCCCCCCACCCCTTCGCTCAAGCGTCTGGTTCTGCTGCCACCACGCCACAGAGCGCAGGAGGGTCGTCTGGAGGTTCCACTCCCCACAGTGCTGCCGCTGTTGCCACTGATGCGTCTGGTATGGCTGGCCCTCGCCCTGCAGGTGAGTTTCCCTCTCCCCTTTACCGCCCTTCATCCCCTGCTTCTGCTTCTGCTGCGTTTGCTTCTTCTGCTCCTGGAGCGTCTGTGTCTGGTACGCCTGTGCTTGCTGTCGCACCTGCACGTGCTTTGCCTGGCGTTGCTGCCTCTGCTGCTCCTCTTGCGCCTGCTGCTTCCCCTGGTGCCGCTCCTTCTGCTGTCTCCGTTGTTGCCCCTCCTTCTGCTGCCTTGGCTGTTGCCCCTCCTGCTGCCTCTGCTGCTGTTCCCTTGTCCGCAGGTCCCAGCAAGAAACCCCAACCACTGCGAGCAAGCGAGTACCACACGACAGAGCTGCCGACCAATCAGGAACGTCCAGCTGGACCTGCAGTCAGCCAAAGCTTGCCAGAGGGGGGAGGAGAAGCAGGTCTGCCAGTGCGAACTGCAACAGCACCAGCAACAGCACCGGCAGAAGCAGCAGCACCGGCACCAGCAACAGCAGCACCGGAAGCAGCAGCAGCAGCACCCCCTGCTGCCACCTCGGCTGCTGCAACTCTGGCTGCATCTCCAGCAGTGTCCCCAGCTATCTCTCCCAAGCCCAGTGCTACCAGCTCCTCTCCCTCCCGTGGTGTCTCTGCTTGGACCTCCCTCTTCCGCCCCCTCTGGGGCACCTCACCTGCTACTGCTGCCAATGCCGCTCCCGCTGATGGCGCTGATGGTGCTGCTGGTGCTTCTGCCAGTGCTGCAGCTGTTACAGAGCCGGTCGTTCCTTCAGCAGCAGCAGGGCCTGCAGCAGCTGTACCGCTGCCAGTCGCCCCACCTATGGTAGCGCCTGCACCAGTGGCACCTGCACCAGTAGCACCTGCACCAGTAGCACCTGCACCAGTAGTACCTGCAGCAGCAATACCTGCACCAGTGGCGCCTGCACCAGTAGCACCACCACCAATAGCACCACCACCCGTAGTAGCACCTGCAGCAGCAAAACCTGCACCAATAGAGCCTGCACCAGCACCTGCAGTAGCAGCAGCTGCTGCTGTTGGAAAGAAGACTGCTCCCCCTGTTGCTCCTTCATCTCCTCTCCACACACCTTATCATCACCCATCTACTCCTCACTACCCACCCCCTCCCCAGTATTCAACCTCTCCATCCACCCCAGAATCGTCTCCCCTTCCCTTGTCCCACCCCCCTGAACCCATTCCCACTGTTCTCCACCCATTGGACCCACGTGCACATCCGGTTTCCGCGGCTCCCCACACCAAAGTTGCTGCTAGCGGCCATGCAACACCCCCTCATCGTTCCCACCCTACTGCTTCTCCCCCTCCCCCAGTCCTCCATCCACTGGACCCAAGAGCGCAGCAGCAGCTGCCAGCACAGGCCAAGGTTGAAAATCTCGCTAGGCGAATTAAAGATACTGAAAGGATTGGAACTAGTGAAAGAATCAAAGTGAGTAGAGGGATGGAAGGAACGGAAGGGACCCGCAATGCGGTCTTCCCTGGGCGTGCTCTGGTGCATGGTTTGTCGGCCGTCTCTGTACCATGTCGACTGGACCCAGGCACGATCATGCCTATACTCATCGTGCTGACGCGCACGCCCATGCTGGCGCTGGTGCTGAAGCTGATGCTGAGGCTGGTGCGGATGGGAAAGGCAAGTATGGTGCAGCGTTGGTCCCTCCCGCCTTAGCGCCCGGTGGTGCAGGCAGCTCGCAGGGGTCCAGCCGGCCCGAGTCAAGGGAGTCAACAGAGTCAACGAGGGCGAATGAGTCACCGCTGGAGAAGGGAAAGGGTGGGGGGAGGGCGGTCACCGTGACTGCGGGTGGGGCGGATTGGAGCGGGAAACCGCGCGCGCTGCTGCTCTGTTCGCGAGCCCGCGCGCGGCGCTGTTTGCTCGCCGCGAAATCCACGCCGCGAGCTCTGCGCCTGCTCGCTGCTGTAATCGCATTTCGAGCGCCACTTCTGGGAGCGCCGAAAACGAAGCGCCGCTGAACGGTTTGATCCGTTGGCGGGGTAAAGCAAATTGAGATAACCCTAAATCGGACCTGGTTCCACCGAATCGGTCGTCCTATCATGAGCATTTCGGAACAAAAAAATAAAGAAATTTAACAAAAAAACAGAGTTAATGCACGCGAATAGGGTGAAAACGCCACGCGATTTTACACTATAACCTATAAGGATCCAGTCGCTACAGCCTCTTGCAGCCGTAGTAGGCTAGGCGATGTGCGTGGTACTGCTAGTGCTAGTAGTACTAGTAGCTAGGCTAGTAGTAAGGTGTGACGAATGCCTCGTAATAACTGTTCCGGCTAGGTCTATGTGAGGGTGGCGGGTCAAACTGGTGGGGTGGGTGGGTAGGTGCGTGATTCTGTCGTGCAGGGCAGGGCAGGGGCTGTTGCTACAGTGGTCCTGCAGCTCAGGGCGTGGAAAACTGGTTGCGGTTGCGGCATAGTCTCTGGTTACGGGTTTCGTGAAATCCCGACTTGACCGTGGCGACGTTCGCCTGAAGCGCAGTTGGGGTGCCGATTGCAGCTAGCTAGGGTTTCACCCCTGAGATCGGTACCCCAGTTTCATACCTTGCCCAGAAACACTTGAAATTGTACAGTGACAGTAAGTCTCACGGGAAAAACTACTCGAAGTGAAATACAATTTCAGGCAATCGAGTGGGCAGGGGGGGTTGGGACAAAATATCGTCACACCCCCCAAAGTTTTCCGTCGACTGTACAAGAGGTTTCATGCTTTCATCAACAGAGTTATCAGCAGCTCCATGGATCCTTCCGCGGTGCACAGTCATCTCTGGCTGCTGCGCGCGTCAACACCAGGGGTTTCAAGCATCAAGTTTCCCAGGTCTCTTTGGAAAGCAACTACCAGGGCAGGGAACCATTCTCTAAGGCGCCTTGCACAACCTCTGGTCTGGATCTGCAACGGTTTGCCTTCAAGCACAGGAGATATAAATCGCTGGTTTCCAGTCAGTATGTGCTCAGAACAGCTTGTTTTTCAGCCATTTCTCGGCTGTTAAGCATATCTCATCATCGCATCATGGCGAAGGGACGCAACAGCAGGAATGGCAAGAAAAGCGTGGACAATGCGCAGGCTAAGGGAGTGTCGGACGTACCTGACGTACCTGTGGAGGGTCCCGTCGGTGGTGAGAAATCGCCTGCAAGCTCGGCGTCGGACACGGTTTTGGGTCCTTTCGAAGCTCTCCTGGATCTCATCACCCTTCACTTCTACGAATGGATTCGCGAAACTTCTTCATAAGTAATTGAGATGAAACACAGCATACGGTAGTTACCGTGCAAACAATCGTCGAACGACATGTCAAGCTACTTGTCAGGATCAAGTTATCCTTTCAGGTTGTAAGCAATGTCGTTGCTTCGATGGTCTTACGGTACCCTCGCATGAGAAACCAATCCAGACCATAATCAGTTGAATTTTGTTGACAACTGACCCAGCCTATACAGCCCAGACATGGTGATGTTATAGATGCTGAGCTAGTGAGACCAAAATACATATGGTAGGTACCGTAGATCCATGTTGATCTCATACTCCAATGTTTCTGCTCAAAAGTTCTCACTAGGAAACTAACTGACCCTCGAAAGGTTTTGCAGAGCACTGAATGATGACGAGTAGGGGTGTCGCTTCGCTACCCTGTGTCTAGACTGTTGACAATTTCTTGCACATGTTTCAAAGGTCGACAAATCTGTCCACTGTGCGGTGTGTTTTACATACACTGGCCTTTGTTTCTTCGTTAGGCGTAGTTTGCTTGGCTGGTTATTACAAAATTCAAAACTAGCACACGAGAACACACTGCCATTGCTGCTGCTACAGATTCTGCCGCTGCTGCTGCCGTAGAGGCCGACGATGCTTGTGCCAGTTAGCAGTTTTTTGCTGCAACTCTCCCATTCGCTGGTTTCCCCATGCCGCTGTTGCTGCGGCGGCGGGTGCTGTCTCCTGCTGCTGGTGGGTGCTGGTGTGTTCTCAGCTGCTGCTGCTGCTGCTACTAAAGGGGGAGGGGGAGGGGGAGGGGGAGGGGAGGGAGGGGAGGCTGGGGGTCAAGTAACGGCATGGATGGAGAGGGGAAGGAGGGCAGAGAGAACTCTTCTCGTCTTCCCCTGTCAATTGCCCAAGGTGCCAACAACCCCCTCCAGCCCACCCGACCTCGCCTTGCACCTCCCAGCCCCAAGACCCCCCATCAACAGGCCTCGTGCCGTCCCTCCTCTCTCCTCACCTCATTCCCTCCTCTCTCCTCACCTGCTCCCCTCCTCTCTCTTCATCTGCTCCCCTCCTCTCTCCTCACCTACTCCCCTCCTCTCTCCTCACATGCTCCCCTCCTCTCTCCTCACCTGCTCCCCTCCTCTCTCCTCACATGCTCCCCTCCTCTCTCCTCATGCTCCCCTCCTCTCTCCTCACCTGCTCCCCTCCTCTCTCCTGGGCTGCTCGCCCCTCTCTTCTCACCTTTTCACCCCTCTCTCCACCTGCTCCCCCCCTGTCTTCTCACCTGCTCCCCTCCTGTCTTCTCACCTGCTCCCCTCCTCTCCTCACTTGCTCCCCTCCTCTCCTCACCTCCCCTCCTCTCTCCTCACCTACTCGCTCGTCTCTCCTCACCTGCTCATCCCACTGTTGTTCCTCCACTTCTCCTTCACATTTTAAGACGTCTGCTCTCTTCTCCTGCCGTGTCTCCTGTTTTCACCTACTTCACCTCCTGTTGAGTGTTGCTGATCTGCGGCTCATGGCAGGGCGGACGGCAGCACGTGAGAAGGGGAGCATAGATTGTGACAGTGAGAGCACATGAGAGCAGGGAGATGAGAGCAGTGCGATGGGAGCAAAGGCGATGGGAGCGGGGCGATCGAAATTCAGACCACTCGCCTCACTCACGTCAGCCGCCGCCTCACCTGCCGCGCACCTCCTCCCTCACCGGTCGTCACGCCACGTGGCACGGCCCGCGTCGGACACACGCGGAAATACCTCGCCGCATCTGGCGCTGCCGCGGCCTTAGTGACCGCGCCGCCACCGACGCCTCGCCATCATCGCGCCCTGCCCTGATGCTGCCGCCGCGGACTGGCTTTGATGCTGATGCTACTACGAATTGGCACTTGTCCGCATGGCGGCCATGCGCCCGCCTGCCGCGTCACGCGGCATGATGCGCAACGATAACTATCGTTGATCCTAGGCGATGATGTAACAAAAAGAGAGAAACAAAATTAAGGCGTGTAGATTCCGCAGAGAATAGTTTATCGATGTTGTCACGGTGAAATTTCTAGGGTTTGTCACGGGGTCTGATCAGGCAATTCGCTCACAGCGCGGCTAGTCACGATGAATCGCTTGCGGCTGCGGCAAGTAATAATGTGCGAGGAGACCGGCGGCGCGAGCGAGCGGGAGCAGCGATGCATGGCGGAAGGATGGCGCAGCGGTGTTCTACTGAACGCAGGGTGCCGCATCACCGTGCAACGCGGCAGTGACTCGCTACTGCTAAAAGTTATAGTGTCTCTGAATCGTCTAGATTGTCTTATTCTATGATAAAATAAAATTTTATACTCGCCGGATGTAGCAAGATTGGATCGCCATAGCCTGCCGTGTGCCTCTATGGTTTCCGTTGATCGAGTGATCGGGGAAGGGAAGTACTAATTAACCGACCTGGTGCAGTGCTACGCGAATAGCGTGCACTAGGAAATAGACTCCTTGTTAGTCTGGCTCGGTTGCCCCGACCAGCCAATTTAGAATTTGGAAACGCTTCGGTTAAGTGAGGTTCGTTTTCAGCCCATATCGGTAATGCCACTGAAAGGTTCATTCGACTGCCACCGTCAGCTAGCAGTCGAACCACGCAAGCCCTTGTCGGAGGATTTTGCTGGGGGGGTACGCTTCGTTACACCACGGTAAAGGGACTGGTTTGTGCACTGAGTCCAGCTTTCTTGGAGCGCTGGAACACTCATCCTTCAGCGCGCCAAGGGTAATACACGATCAGAATAAGGGGCCAGGATCGAGCCACGTTGGTGGTGTAATTTTTACCCCAACGTATCTGAACCGTCCCAGACATCTGGCACAGACGTGCCAGCGAAACCTGTGAAATGTGAATCAAACGTCAGTCACCAATGGTCAACGCTGCGAAGGAATTTTGGCACACGTGCGACACTGTTGCAGACGGTTTTTAGTTGACAGAACCGTCACCCCTCATCTCGTACGAAACACACGTGGGCCAACAAGTTCGATGGGAAATTGCATCGCATCGCAACCCGTTTTTAAAAGATATTGAAACTGCGAGTCCACGTGGTGCTGACGAACCATGGAGCAGTACCCGCAACTCATTTAATTCTGCCGCATTATGAAACAATAGAAACAAATACACTGTCTAAATTAATCAAACACAAGTCATAACACAGATAGAATGGATAAATAAGGAGTGAAGCATATAAACAAACACAGAAGCAGGTAAATCACATTGGGCCTAATAAATCAGAGGCATTGACTCTGATTAATTACAGCTCAAACTGGTTTATAGTTTCGAATAATATAGTTTTATAAATTCCATATGATTAGTCAATGCAGTTAGAAATATTACGTAATCATAATATATTATGATTGAAAATAGTCTGATTCCTTTAGATGACAGCATGTCTGTTTTTGTCGAAAATACTAAGTTGTATTCTCTAAACGCAGCCGCCGAACCGTAAGTCACGATGGCTGTAAGTCGAAGCGCATGAACTGGAGTGCGCTGTAAAAAAATCGTATAGGCACACATGTTTTTGCTTTGATTGGTCCGCTTTGGCGCTGCTTTACTAAACCCACCCGACTCCAATGCTAGAGCCGGGCAGGTTTGCAGGTGCGCTTCGAAGTTGTTTGTATTTTGTTTTTTCCAGATGGGTTGCACTTCACTGTTCCCACCCACATATTTGATGGCGTGGGCGTGGTGGGCTAGAGTTTCCATTTCGGAATGTCGCAAGAATTGTGCTTCCGTTTTGATTCTTCCTGCCCTACTTGTTACAAAACGTTTTGTGGGCGGGGTGGGTCCAACTGTACTGTAAATGTGCTTGTAAATACGTGGATGGGCCCATTGACTGTTGCATCCAGGCATCGCCCAGTTCATCGTGTTTGTGGTAGTTCCCAACAGTTTCATATGTTTTTCGTTCAGCCCGCAAGTGTTCATTCTTTTTAGGTAGGACTACAAAGAGGTATTGTGTTTCCCGTTTTTGTAATAAACCAGCGTAACGTTTTTATTTCTGTGTTGTTTTGTTTCTTTCCAGTTTCTGCCCCTCGATGTTTTGGTGGTTGGAGTGGATGGCGGGTCGTCTTTACCTTTACCCCTCGTCTGCTCCAACTCTCTTCTCCAACCCCACCCACCCTCCTCCACCTCGCTCCTCTCACGGCTGTTTCCCCTCCACTCAACCACCTCCCTCCCAAGTCCCAAATGCCCCGTTTTCTTTTTGTCAGTCTTGGGTCTCAGGATTTCGGTAGTGAAGCTGTTCTTCGTTAGTTAGCGCCCTAATGTTGTTTGAAGTTGTCATTTCGCTGTCCGATCCGTTTCGCTGTCCGATCTGTATCTGCTTGCTAGTCCCTCAGACAAATCTAGAGACGACTGCCGCAGAGACGAGTGCAAAGACTGCTTTTCTTCTCTCACCAGGCGCCTTTGGCTTATTTCTATATCTTATCGGGTGCTCGCTGCTTCACTGAGATCGGAATTTTCAGTCGACCTAAAAATCAACACTCTCAGCAGGCGCCTTGGCCTTCTTAACTCGTAGCGGCCCGTGCTTGCTGCTTCACTGCCTCGAGGCAGCAATGGTGGAAGAATCGCAGCAGCCCGACTCCGGGCCGCAGCCCAGAACGATCATGGTAGCCGTTAACGGGAGCGACGCGAGCGACGCGGCTCTTCTCTTCGTTCTGAAGTTGATACTCTCAGATCAAGACAAATCGATACTGTCAGACCTACAGGTATGCAATTATGCAGCCGCTTTTCGTTTGCCTTTCCCTACCATCCCCATTCCTCGCATACACTTACTGCATTTACATCCCCAACCCGTCTCACATTTCTCGCCAGATAAGGACCTTACATCGCTCCACAGTGGCTTCGCGGATCCAGCGGCGGAGATTAAGTCCCTGCGATCGCCGCTGCGGCGAGGTGGCACCGATGCGGAAAGAGACATCGCTGGCGGCGCGTGCTGTACAAGCTCGAGATTCCTGCGCTCAGGCCCTCCCCCAGCGATTTTCTCGCGCATTGTGACTTCGGCGCGCGCCGTGCGCGCTGCTGGCTCCGCGGACTGCAGCTCGCACGCTGCTGGCGGAGCTCGTTGCGCCGTGCGCGCTGCTGGCTCCGCGGACTGCTCAGCTTGCTTTGCTCCCGGCGTGTCCCCTTCCACCCGCTCTCTCCCCTCTATCCGCGACTCTTGCAGGTGAAACACGCGCATTGCGCGCAAGTGCCTGCACGTGCGCATGGAGCACGTGACGCCGTCGCGAGGACTTGAAGGCGGGTGAAGGCAGCCCACGCCGATGCCCGCAAGGCCGCAGGCGGTGCCGCCACGGAGAACAAGTACGAGAAGCCAGCGCTCAACTTGCTTCCGTGTCGCCTCGCGCATGGTAAGTAGGCGCGTTGCGTCGTGCGCGCTGCTGGCTCCGCGGACTGCAGCGAGCACGCTGCTGGCGGGAAAGGCAGCGAGCGCCTCGCAAGCAGCTGCGCGCGCGGGTTACTAGCGAGTTGCTTTGCTTCCCCCTTGTCCCCTTCCTCGTCGCAGGCGGGGCGATGTGGTCGTTCCGCGCTGCAGGCGGGGCGATGTGCTCGTTCCGCGCTGCAGGCGGGGTGATGTGCGCGTTCCGCGCTGCAGGCGGGGCGATGTGCGCGTTCAGCGCTGCAGGCGGGGCGATGTGCTCTTCCGCGCTGCTGGCGGGGCGATGTGCTCGTTCCGCGCTGCAGGCGGGGCGATGTGCGCGTTCCGCGCTGCGGGCGGGGCGATCTGCGCGTTCCGCGCTGCAGGCGGCGCAATGTGCGCGTTCCGCGGTGCAGGCGGGGCGATGTGCTCGTTCCGCGCTGCAGGCGGGGCGATGTGCGCGTTCCGCGCTGCGGGCGGGGCGATCTGCGCGTTCCGCGCTGCAGGCGGCGCAATGTGCGCGTTCCGCGCTGCAGGCGGGGCGATGTGCGCGTTCAGCGCTGCAGGCGGGGCGATGTGCTCTTCCGCGCTGCTGGCGGGGCGATGTGCTCGTTCCGCGCTGCAGGCGGGGCGATGTGCGCGTTCCGCGCTGCGGGCGGGGCGATCTGCGCGTTCCGCGCTGCAGGCGGCGCAATGTGCGCGTTCCGCGGTGCAGGCGGGGCGATGTGCTCGTTCCGCGCTGCAGGCGGGGCGATGTGCGCGTTCCGCGCTGCGGGCGGGGCGATCTGCGCGTTCCGCGCTGCAGGCGGCGCAATGTGCGCGTTCCGCGCTGCAGGCGGGGCGATGTGCGCGTTCAGCGCTGCAGGCGGGGCGATGTGCTCTTCCGCGCTGCTGGCGGGGCGATGTGCTCGTTCCGCGCTGCAGGCGGGGCGATGTGCGCGTTCCGCGCTGCGGGCGGGGCGATCTGCGCGTTCCGCGCTGCAGGCGGCGCAATGTGCTCGTTCCGCGCTGCAGGCACGGTGAGTTGCTTCTTTCCGCGCTGATTCCCGCCCTTTTCTGCCTTTTCCCGCAGTTACCCTCTCTTTCCCATGGTTTCCCTTCCCGCGGTTTCCCGCCGGTTCCCGCCGTTTCCCGCGGTCAACCTTAACCCTGTGGAGAACGGCGCGTCGCGCGCTGGTGGAACCCCCCTTCAGTTGCGCCCCCCAAGCTCCGTGCCCCTCTTCCCCATCCCCCCCATCCCCCACCCCCCTCCAGTTGTACGATGAGGGTACCACCGTGGCGCCGCCGCCCGCCTCTCAGCCAATCACGGAAGGCCATGTGGCAGGGCAGGTGGGCAACGGCGCGGCGAGGAGAGAGGCACGAGGTGAGACCATGACGAGGTGCGGCGGTGCCTCGTCCGTCCCCCGTACTCATCTCCTCTCCTCCTCTCTTCTCACCTCCTGTCCACCCCTCTTCTCACCTCCTGTCCACCCCTCTTCTCACCTCCCCAGTCCCCCGTACTCACTTGTGCCCTCGTTAATCCCTCCCCCACTGACCTCCTTAATCCGCCCTCGCCTCATCTTTCCCCCCAATCACCCCCTCTCTCACCCTCCACCCTCCCAGCCCAGAGGCGGCTGAGGTGTGCCTGACTTGGCCTCGACGTCCGGACGAGGTTCGTTGCTTGCGTGGTGAGAGGGAGGCGAGGGAGATTGCTTCCACCCTCACCACCTCTGCTCCCCACACTCACCATCCCCCACTTATCACCACTATTCACCTTCCCCCACCGCTCCCCTCTATTGATCTTTCCCCACTGCTCCCTTCCACTCACCGCTGCTCCCCCCCTGCACTCACCTCTGCTGTTCACCCCACCGTTTCCCCGTCCCCCACTGTTCACACCACGGTTTCCCCGTCCCCCACTGTTCACACCACGTTTCCCCGTCACCCACTGTTCACACCACGTTTCCCCGTCCCCCACTGTTCACACCACGTTTCCCCGTCCCCCACTGTTCACACCACGTTTCCCCGTCCCCCACTGTTCACGCCATTGTTTCCCCGTCCCCAAATGCTCACACCACTGTTTCTCCGTCCCCTGCTGTTCACACCACGGTTTCTTCCCCACTGTTCACCCACCTCTTGTTCCCTCTGTTCCCTCTGTTCACCCCTCTGCCCTCCCCGCTCGCTCGCCATGCTCCCCCCACTCACTTGCTATGCTCCCTCGCACCACTCGCTCGCTATGCTCTCCCCCCCCACTCACTCATCACCCGACACAGCCAGGTGAGAAGCTGCCACTCCTCACTCGTGGCATCCCCCCCTTGCTGTCCCTCCTCCACATGCTTTAACTCTCTGCACGTGCGTTCCAACCAACCCTGCACATGCCATGCCTTCATTGATTACTCTTATGATATTATAGCATGCATGATAGCTGCTTAAACAAGTTGATTGGTAGAATCTGTTTAGCTAGGATTGTAGGACTTGATATGTGTGCTTGTACATGCATGCATACTATATAGCCATGCCCTGGCCTGGTCTGGTTTGGCCAGGCCTGGGGAGCTCGGGCCCACGGGGTTTCAGCCTGGCCCCTGTTCCAGCAGCCAGCCGCCCGGTTACTGTTCCCGCCGTCCAGTTACTGTTCCAGCCGCCCAGCTACTGTTTCTGCTGCCCAGTTACTGTTCCTGGCGCCCAGCTACTGTTTCTGCCGCCCAGTTACTGTTGCTGCCGCCCAGTTACTGTTGCTGCCGCCCAGTTACTGTTTCTGCCGCCCAGTTACTGTTGCTGCCACCCAGTTACTGTTGCTGCCGTCCAGTTACTGTTGCTGCCGCCCAGTTACTGTTGTTGCCGCCTGCTTGCCGCCCGGATACTGCCGCCCGGTTACTGTTGCTGCCACCCGGTTACTGTTCCGGCCGCCTTGTTACTGTACATGAAACAGGAAACAGGAAACAGAAGCAGAAAGAGGAACAGAAACAGAAGACAAAGGTAACAAAAAAGTAGGATTGCCCATGCCAGGGATAGGGGGGACCATGCCATGCCATGCCAGGGATTGGGGGTTTGGGGGGCTGGGAGGGGGTGTGAGGAGGATTGGGGGGTAGGGGGGGCCTTAGGGGGGCCTTGGGGGGGCTGTGGGGGGGTTTCTTAAAACCCTCTCGTTATTATCACTCCCTTTCTTGTCCAACACTCTGCGTTATACTACCACTTTTTGCTCTTGTATTGTACTGTGCCGTTTATTATTATTACAGCTTCTGTTTCCTTCTCTCTTGTACAGTGCAAAAAGATAATTACTGCTGTGGGGCTGCTGTGGGTCAATCCCTGGCCGCCTGGGTCAATCCCGCAGTGGGCCCGCTACTGAGTTCTGTGAGCCATTTGAGCATGAGGCGTCGTGGGTTCTGTTTGATGGGCCAGAGGAGGAAGGGGAGAGGTACGCCAAGCTGCTACAGAACCATGTGGCGCAGGAGTGGAGGAGCGTGAGGGAGGGAGAGGAGGCACGGACGCCGGGTGACAATCTGCCACCCATGTACGTTCAAAGTGCTGTGATGTGCAATGCCATGCCGTTGTTTCTTGTGATATGGCATTGTTTACCATGGCATACCATAACCATGGTACCTGAACGCATCGTATCATGTGCGCGACATGGCATTGACCAATCACATGCATGTGTTCCCACCCTCCTCTCCCCCATTCTGGTTTTTCCCCTCCTCATTCTCACCCTTTCCCTCAGGCTACGCGTGGACATTAAGCAAGGAACCACCCCATCTGGGGGGGCATCACCCACCGCTACCACACCCTCCTTGCCCCGGCGCCGGCTCGTGTGGGCCTGCAGGGGCGGTTTTCAACGCATGCAAAGGAGAGCACAGTAGCGTTCTACACCGTGGCTATGGGGCGTTGCATGCTGCAAGCTCTCAACTCCTCGGCTGTGCAGAGAGCAAAGGGGATGCGGCTTGCCAGGGAGGCGGCTCTGCAGGGAAATCAGGGTCCTATTGAGGGAGGACGGGAGACGGGACGGGACATGCGAGAGGGACGGGACGTGCACAGGCTTCGGGAGATGCGAGAGGGAGAGGGAGGAGGCTTAGCAGGGCGGGGCACTAGTGGGAGTGCTGGGCAAGGGGTGGGAGGTGTGGCTGAGAATGGTGCGGTACGCGGTGGTGGGTTGGATCCAATGAGTAGAACAGTGAGTGATAGTGGCGGGAGCAGTGGAGGTGGTGGTGGTAGTGGTAGTGGTAGCGGGAGTCATAGTGGTGGTGACTGCAGCGTGGGGGGTTCATGGGGTAACGTGACTGAGGTAATGGTAGCGTCTCTCAACCAATTCCTAGTGCATAACCTCTCACAGGCAGTGGCGGCCGATGTGCCTGTAGCGAGAGTGACAGTGGGGAGTGACGCTGCTTGTGCTCCTACAGAGGGAGAGCTTTCACCCAGTAGTACCGCCTTCCCTGCTGATCCTGCTGCTGCAGGTGCAGCTACTGTAACTCCCGGGGTAAGCACGGACGCTAGCAGCAGCAGCACTGGTACTGGCATTGGCAGCAGCAGCGGCGGCAGCGGCGTCGGCAGCAGCAGGAGTAACAGCAGCAGTGGCAGTTCTGGGTATGGCGTGCACATCGTGCACTTGACCGCAGATGACAAGGAGAACACCACCAACACGGCATCGGTAGACCGAGCCATCATTGACATCTACACCCTCGCTCTCTTTTCCGACGCACTTATAATCTCCAAGACTTCCACCTTTGGCTACCTCTGTGCGTCCCTCTTCGGAGTGCCCCACGTCACATTCGTGGGGCACACATGCACGCCTGCTGTTTCAGAACCGTGCATGCACTTCCCACCCTCCAATGACCGATGCCCGGACGGGAATCCACAGAAGCTGCAGCTGCTCCTAGCTGAAAAGCCAGATACGCCCCTCATGCCCTGTGCGGACAGGCCACAAGGACTTGGCCTAAGGCCCTCGGACAGTGCACAGGATGACTACAATTACCGTGTTTGAGGTTCAAGTCAAAGGGGCTCTGGCCAGGCCTTGTTTTTTTTTTTTTTCCTTTCTTTTCAAGTTACCCTATTTTTTCAGGGTTTGTGGCCGATGCACTCTGATTCTCAGTGTTTTGTGGTATCCTTTTTTTCAGGAGTGCAAGTAGTATATATACCATCCCACCGTGGGCATTTACAATGTACTGTGCATTCCAGAATGTTAGAAGTTCTGTAGAAATTTGACAGGGTGGCCCAAAACCAATTTTGGGCCCTGGATGGTACCACAGAAATTTTATCTTGGTGCAAGAGCACCTGGTTTTACAGATTCTAAGGTACAACATCTGCAAACATTCATGTTCCCAAAAGATTATATGGGTCAATTATCTTGATCAATCCCTGGCCGCCTGGTGTTTGTTGTGGTTTGAAGGTACACATAGACGGTGACAGGCAAATGAGACGTGTAGCGGTTTGCCAGGCAGCAACGATGGGAAGAACATGAGGACGTCGAGATTCCCTTTTCTCCTCGTTAGGGTTGCGAAACAAATCGTCATTCGCGAAAGGTTTGCGAGATTGACGGAACCAACAGCAACTCTTGGTGGTGCCTCCTCCGTGGTGCCACCGACGGAAACGGAATCGCGACGAGCCACGAAACGCGTGGGACGTCAGTGCCGTGCAGGTTTGGCGCGAAAGCAAGGGCAGGGAAGGGGCAGTTCCCAGGGCAGTTCACGAATCAGACCATGCCAGGCCAGGCCTGGCCACACAACAGGGCAGGCTCGAGGGCGGGCAAACTGCATCTCCTTTCAAAACTTTGGGAATACCGAGCCGAAATCCGTCTGTGAGAGGAGCTTGTGGGCAGGAAGCATAGAGAGTGTCATGCTGACAAGATGCTATGGCCATCAGTGGCTTGAGATAGCTTATTCGTACGGAACTAGGAGGTTGATGCTGATCTGAGCTTGCTGACCTAACTAACCCCGTCCTGTAATTAAGTTATGTCCTTTATGGGGTATACGCGCTTACTTACCAGCAACGGATAGCCTATTTTTTTCGTGCATCCGTTCTTACGTTCGTCTCAGGATTGTAATGCTCGTAGCCTTTCGCGACAATGACGAGTCTTTGGGGTTCGCGACGCATGTCAAAACAGCTCACGCGCGAGTCGAAACGCGAGAAAAGCAAAAGGCCCGAAGAGCCGAAAGAGATAGATTTAACTCGCCTGCAGTCCACTAACTCTAGAACTCGCAAGAAGGCGGAGCTAATTAAGAAAGCCAGCGACTCGCGACGCCGGTTCCACTTTAGAGAGCTCCTGTGCATCGCGATTCCGCCAAACGCGACGTTAGAAGACGGCCATCTGCCATGGCCGCTTTGTTCTCCACCCACCACACCGGACGGATCAGGCAGAGGTCAGTTGCTAGACGCAATAGTCAGAAGTCAGTTACCGTTACCGTCACAGTCGTCCATTATGCGAGGTTGTGAAACGCCTGAAAGGTTATCCAGACTCAGGGACTGTCGCCTACCGTTCGTTATCACCTGAAGAGCCTTCTTTCAGATAAACCATCAGGCGCACCATCAGTGGATTCAGCAACTGCCTTGAACGCTCATAGAACTTCAAGATTAGTGGATACACTCGCCATGCCAAGCACTCGATAGATTAGTAATTGCACCCGGCGTAGTGCAGTCCCATATGCTATTCTGACTAGTAAGACCGTGCTCTTGTGATTTCGTTTCTGATAACGTTTTGCGCTTAGTCTTTGAGCGCCGCTGCTTTTACCTCTGGTCGTCTCTCTCCTCCTGTCCCGTGTCTGCCGAGATCTCCTCACGGTTTCGAGATGGCAGTGCGGAAGGCGACTGGGCTTGACTATGTGACTGTTGAGACGAAATCTGCACTTGACGCCACGCTTTCCGTCTATGCTTCCCCTACTACCCCACAACCCCCCACTCCCCTCCTCCCCCATCCCCCCTCTCTCCTTTTCCCCTCCTCTTTCCCCACTCCCCCGACCTCCCCCCCGCCTCTTCCCCCACCTTCCCCAGGGCTGACGTGGTTCCCGCACGCCAGTGCGGACGACGATTGGCTGGAAGATGCTGCTACGGCCTCGCACGCCTTGCCGCAGGCTCAGGTGCGGTGCTGTGGGGTTGGGAGGTGCGAATTGAAGTCGTGAAAGGGTGGAATGCGGGGTCAGGTGCACCAAGAGGGTTTGGCCGAGGGATGTTTCGCTGTGAGTAGGGTTCAGGAATGGAGTAAGCGGGCCTGCTGCCTCTCCGTCTCTATAATTCCCCTCATCCCCATTCTCCCATGCGCACCCCCCTCTCCCCGTCCTCCTCCCCCTCCTCCCGGCCCCTCCAACCCCCCCTCCCCCCAAACCCCACGGCTTTGTCGTAAGCAGGCCGCGAGCAGCAGCGCTGTATCTGGACACGTGCGAGAGGAGGTCGTCAAGATCGAGGAGATCTCCACAGAGATCGTGACCGTCCAGGAGATATCCACCGAGATCGGACGGCCAGCTAGGTCCCGCAGATCAGGGGCGAAAGCCGCGCGAGAAGCAGGCCCAGGCGAAGCGGAGAAGGAGAAGAAGAAAGGGAAGAAGGGGAAGAAGGGAGGCAGGTCGAAGCGAGAAGCACAGCCGCCGGATGAGGCGACTAGCGCGGACCCTAGGCTACCTGAACGGGTGGGAACTTCAGCGAGAGGTGTTGTGGTGCCGCAAACAGCAGCAGATGCACAGACGTCCAGTTCTAGCCCTGCTCCTGCTGCTGCTGGTGGTGCCGGTGCTTCTGGTGGTGCTGGTAGGACTGGGCTTATAGCTGGATTGGCAGCAGGGGCAGCAGCAGCAGGCGGAGCTGTAGCAGCAGGGGTGGCAGGTTTGGCTGCGAGGCGAGAAGCCAAGCCTCCAGAAGCAGCAACCAGTGGGGATGCAATGGAAGGGGTGGCAGGTTCGGAAGGGGTGCGAGGTTCGGAAGGGGTGGGCGGTTCGGAAGGGAGAGTAGAAGGGCAGTTATCAGCAGAGGAGATGAGGGAAGACTCGAGAACGTCAGTGGCAGCCGTGTTAGCTTCGGGGGACACTGCGAGAGACCTTAGTGTTGGCGACTCGGAGTCTGCCGTACAAAGTCTGCCTGAACCAACAACGCAAGCAGCAGGAGCAGCAGAAGCAACAGAGGCAGCGGACGCAGCAGACGCAGGTGAGAGAGGTGAGCTGGCAGAAGCAGGTGCAGCAGGGGAAGCAGGCCCGAGCGGAGCAGCAGTTGCTGCTGCCGCCGGGGTTGGAGCCGGGGCAGCAGTGGCAGGTGCCGTGGTAGGAGGAGCACTAGGCGCTTCTCTAGGCTCCCGAGAAGTCTCTAGAGACGACCCCAAAGAGCAGTCCGGTGGGGGGTCGAAACGAGCCACACCTGGGACCCCGCTAGGTGGGAGCTCGCCCGTGTCTGCAAGCGAAGGGGGGAGTAGGCGAGAGGTGAAGGCGAAGCGGAACAGGGTGGGGGAGGGCGCGTTTGGTTCAGGGGATCAGCAGGATGGGGTGTTTGGTGGGGATGATTCTGGGGGGAGCGGTAGGCAGGGGAGCCAGGGGCGTGGAAGCATGGGGAGAAGCAGCGGCAGTAGCGGCAGTGGCAGAGATAGGGATACGCTCCTGCAGCAGCAGCAGAAGCAGCAGCAGCAGCAGCAGCAGGTGCAGCAGCAGCGGCAGCAGCAGTCGTGGTCGAAACAGCCCCTACCAGGTCATGTTCCCGGCGCTACTGGTATGCCCCCCATGCGCAGCAACAGCGAGCTTCCCCCCCTTCCCCACCGCAGCACCAGCGGCCTTCCCCCCCAGCCCCTGCGCAGCAGCAGCGGCCTTGCTGCCCTCTCCGCGTCCACCAATAGCAATCTCCTGCAGCGGGCCGCCACGGGCAGCGGTGACCGTTGGATCTTCCACTCTGGCGCGGATCGGGACCAGCTAGTGGAGTCAGATTCGAGTGATGACTCGGAGACGATGAGTGGGCGGCTGGAGGGCGGGTTGGGGGACTCGTGGGGGAGAGCGCGAGGGGGAGACGAAGCAGGGTCGTTCAAAGCGGGGAGCTTGGCGAGTCAGGGGTCTAGAGGAGGGGGAATGAGCCCTGTGTCTGAAATAGGGGAGCAGCACGGGGCGGGTAACGCAGCAGGGAGAGCGAGAGGCGGGTTATGGCATGGGGCTCCTCGCCCTAGCAGTGCGGGGGGCAAGTCCGGGAGATCACGGTTAGGGAAGAGATCACCTAGAGGGTCGTCTCTGGGAGCAGGGATGCTGGAGCGAGTAGCAGGCGGGACGGCGGGCAGCAGAGGGAGCTTTGGAACAGGGGCGGAGATTAACAGAGCGAGTAAGAGCATGAGGGGGTTGCCGGTAGAAGGGTTGGCTAGCGCGGGGGCTAGCGGGGCGTGGAGCTCGTCAGATGGAGAGGGGAGTGTGCAGACGAGGGGGGTATCAGGGGCGGCTCAGCCTGTGGTTGTGGGGTTTGTAGGGCCTGCCAGGCCGGGAACGCCTGTTTCGCTGACCAGGGTTGGGTCTGGGGCGCCTGTGTTGCGCCCTGCTACGTCTGGGGGTTTGTTGCTGGAGGATGTGGGGAAGTATGATGACTGGGTGGTGTATGAGAGTGAGGGGGAGGAGGAGGAGGTGCAGAGTCGGCTTGTGAGGGGGAGAGGGAGAGGGGTGGTGGAGAAGAGGGTGGTGCAGGAGGGGGGGGTGGCGGGGGTTGTGGATAAGAAGGAGGTGAGGGAGGGAGGGCATGCACAGGGAGTAGGAGCAGCAGCAGCAGCAGCGGCAGGGGCAGGGGCAGTGGGGATGACGGTTGGGAATGTGGGGCGGAGGAATGGGGTAGAGAGGGACGTGTGGAGAGCAGGGGAAGAGGACTCTGATGACTCGGACTCGGAAGTCAAGCACGAGGCAGGATGGGGGCACGCCTCACAGCAGCAGAGTAACGGATTCATGTTCAACAGCCAAGGGGGAACGCCTGGGGGCGGGTTTCACCCGGGGGAGGTTCATCCAGGGGGGATCCATCCCCAGACTGGTGCAAGGCATGCGCCCCAGCCACCCACTAGTCCGCGCCCATCATCCCCCCGGCCTCTCCCATTCGCCTCCAGGTCTTGGTCCTCTGCCCCTGCTCCTCACCCCCAGCAGCAGCTCCCCCCTCGCCCTGTCGGCCCTCCTAACGCCTCCTCCTCCCAGCATGGTCCTTCACAGCCCCACCCGTTCTCGTCAGGAACAGCAGGTAAGCCGCGCATACCCCCCATCCCCCCGGCTTATGGTCACTCCCCTGCTTATGCTGCGCCTGCTGCTGCGTCTGCTGCTGTGCCGGGTTCCGCCCCACACCCGTTTGCCGCCGGTGGGTTCGCTGGGGGGGCGGGAGCTCCTGGAGTGGCAGCAGCAGGGGCTGTGCCTGGGGGCCAGCAGCAGGGGCAGCAGCAGTCGTGGGGGGGGTCTGTGGCAGGGTTCTTTGCAGGGGCAAGCGCGTTTGTGTTTGGGGCGAAGCATGACGGGCACGCAGGGCGGGAGGCAGGGAGGGAGGCGCAGGGGAAGGAGGTGCAGCAGGGGAAGGATTTGAACCAGTCAGGTGATGCTGGGATGGGGCTAAGGGACGGGGAGCCAGGGGGGTCTGCAGCAGCAGGTACGGGAGCTGTAGAAGGTGTAGCGAGTGGGGGCAGTGGCAGTGGCAGTGTTAGTGGTAGTGGTAGTGCCATGCGCCCTCCTCGCCCTCCTTCCCTTGCCATTCCTGGAGCAACGGGTAATGCCACTAGCCCTGCTGCTGGCCGCTATAACACCCATGCACAGGCAGGAGCAAACGGAGAGGCTGCAGAACCACCCGCAGCAGCTGTTGCTGGTGCTGCTGCTGCTGCTCCTGGTGTGTTTGCGGTAGCGGAGGGTCATGAGGCTCTTATGTCTCCCATTGCCTTCGTTACAGTCTCGCCTGCTAAGAGCACAGGGAGAGGCACAGACGGAGCTGCATTGCCAGGGGCAGCAACATCAGCAGCAGCGGCGGTTCCTGGGAAACCGGTGGGAGGAGCAGCAGAGATGGGGGTGATTAGTCAGCAGCCTCCACAGGGGTACCGGCCTGGGGCGGGGCTTGGTGGGTGGAGTAAAGGGTCTGGTGCTAGGGCCGGTGGGGTTGGTTTGGGATGGGGGGAGGGGAGTGAGGAGGAGGAGAGTGAAGAGGCGGAGAGTGAAGAGGCGACGGAGGAGGGTGAAGAGTATGAGGTGGAGGAAGAGGAGGAGGAAGAGGAGGATATGGAAGAGGAGGAGATGGAGTATAGTAGTGATGAGGAAAGTGAGGAGGAAAGTGAGGAGGAGAGTGAGGAGGAAATTGAGGAGGAGAGCGAGGAGGCAACTGAGGACGCAAGTGAGGAGGAAGAGGAGGATGAGGAGGAAGAGAAGGAAGAGGAGGAGGAGGAGGAGGAAAGTGAGGAGGAGAGTGTAAATGCGTGGGTGGGCAGACCGATACTGGCGCCATCACAGGCAGGCACTCCCACAGGCTATGGGGGTATGAAAACCCCCGATGCAATCGGAGGCATCGTGTTTATTAACGAGTATGGTGCTGCCCCTCCCTCCCCTGCTCTGGGGGCGAATTCCGTGGGTACGGGAGGGGGTACGAGTGGGGCCAGCACACCTTTGGGAATGGGTGGGGCGAGTGGGGCAATGGGGGGGAGCAAATCGCCTGGTGGTAGGCCAGGGGAGGATGAGCGCGTGTTTGTGGTTTTTAACAAGTCGAGATTCTCACCTACTGCTGCTGGCGCTGCTGCTGCTGCTGCTGATGCTGGTGGTGCTGCTGGTGGTGCTGGTGGTGGTGGCTTGTTGGCTGATACTCAAGGATCAGGGACCCTTGTGGTGAGGATTGAGAGAGGTGTGGAGGAGGAGGGAAGTGAGGAGGACGAGGGGGAGGGTGGCAGTGAGGGGTGGGATGGAGGGGAGAGTGGGGAGGAGGATGGGAGTGAGGGTCGGAGTGGGTTGGAAGGAGAGAGTGAGGAGGCTGGGAGTGAGGAAGGGAGTGGGTTTGAAGGGAGTGGTGAGGGGGAGAGTGAGGGGGAGAGTGAGGGGAGTGAAGGAGAGGAGAGTGGGACAGAAGGGAGTGAGATGAGGGTAGGTAGGGAGGAGGGAGAAGATGGGGAATTGAGTGCGGTGGAGAGTGGTGCTTCTGGAGGGAGTGAGGGGAGCGAGGAGGAGAGTGAGGAGGGGAGTGAGGAGGGGAGTGAGGAGGAGAGTGAGGAGGGCAGTGAGTCCAGCCTTAGCCCTGTAGGGAGTTCAGTCGAGGGAGAGACTGAGTATGTGGGGAGTGGGGAGAGTGAGACAGAAGAGAGTGAGGAGGAGAATGGGAGTGAGGAGGAGAGTGGAAGCGAGGAGGAGAGTGGGAGTGAGGTGGAGAGTGGGAGTGAGGTGGAGAGTGGGAGCGAGAGCGAGGGGACGGAAAGTGGTTCGAGTGAGAGCGAGGGGAGTGAGGAGACAGGGTCAAGCGATGATGAGGACGGCACAACTTTGGACGGCACATGGGACGGCACAATGGACGGCACAATGGACGGCACAGTGGGCGGCACACTAGATGACAGAACGCTGGATGGGACAGAGGGTGTGACTCTAGGAGGGAGTGACACTATGGAGAGGACTTTCACCCTGGAAGAGACCGAGACAGCCGTGAGTGAGACGCTGGGAAGGACGTTGACTAGAGAGGGGAGTGGCACAATTGAGGGGAGTGAGTTTATAGAGGGTACGGATGCAATGGGGCGAAGTATCACGTTTGAGACAGTTGGGAGGACTGAGACGTTTGAAGGCAGTGGGACTATAGAGAGGAGTGGTACTATGGAGGGGAGTGGCACTATTGGGAGGAGTGACACTATGGAGGGAACTGAGGCTATGGGGAGAACCAACACGTTTGAAACCCTCGGGGAGACTAGAACTTATGAAGGCAGTGACACTATGGAGGGGAGTGAGACTATGGAGGGGAGTGAGACTATGGAGGGGAGTGAGACTATGGAGGGGAGTGAGACTGTTGGGACGGCAGATAGAACTTTGACTTTGGAGGGAACTGATATTCCGAGTGATAGTGAAAGGGGCGGCCGTAGGAGGGCTGGCAGTGATAGGGGCAGCAGTGAGAGGGATGGTAGCTCTTATCAAGGAGATAGCTTATCCGAGGGGAGTGAGGAGAGTGAGGAGAGTGACGGGAGTGAGGAGAGGGAGGGGAGTGAGGGGAGTGAGGAGAGTGAGGAGAGTGACGGGAGTGAGGAGAGGGAGGGGAGTGAGGGGAGTGAGGAGTCAGAGAGTGTGGAATATGGTGATACTCTGGGGGATAGTGACAGTATGGAGGGGAGTGAGGCTGTGAGCAGGAGTGCAGCAAGCAGGAGCAGAGGAGGGTACAGTGATGATATTGTGCTTATAGAGGTGGTGACTGTGACGGGGTCTAGAACCAGTGGGACCCGGGAAGACTTGTCGAGTGTGAGAGGGATGAGTGAGATTGGGAGTGAGATGGGGAGGAGTGAGATAAGTAGGAGGAAGAGAGTGGGGAGTGAGAGTAGGGGGAGTGATACAGAGGCGACAGAGACAGAGGGGAGTGAGACAGGCATGAGTGGGAGCGAGGAGAGTGGGAGTGAGGAGAGCGGGAGTGAGGAGAGTGGGAGTGAGGAGAGTGGGAGTGGGAGGAGCAGCAGGAGTGGAAGCGACGAGAGTGAGGGTAGTGAGGGTAGTGAGAGTGAGGGCGATGAGATTGCGAGTCACAGCTCAGCAGCTTCTGAGGAGTATGACTCCCATTCGCAGAGCAGTGAAGGTTTTGAGTCTGAAAGTGGCTCAGAGAAAGGAAGCGTCCACTCTGGTTCCCACACAATCAGCCCTCATACTGCTTCAGAGGTTTCTGCTTCCGAGGTTTCAGGGTCGGAATCTGGTGGGGGAAGGTCAGATAGTGAAGGGGGTCAGTCAGAGGACGTTTCTGGGGAATCGGGGTCTGAGAAGGTGTCCAGGTCAGCATCGCACGCTTCCAGGTCAGCATCACACGCTTCCAGGTCAACATCGCACCATTCCAGGTCAGCATCAGATGCTTCAGGAGGAGCGGGAGCGAGCAAAAGCGGGACTGCTGCAAGTCGCAGCCCTTCTGAAGCAAGCCGCAGCCCGACTGTTGCAAGCCAGTCCCCTGGCACAGAATCGTCTCCTGTGGAGACACTCAGTAAGGGGTCGTCGGGAAGCGCATCTGCTGCAACCCAGTCTCCTATCGAATCACTCAGTAAGGGGTCTTCGGGAAGTCAGTCTCGGATGGGAAGCAAGAGTGGGTCTGATGGGAGTGGGTCTCACGCTAGCAAGTCTCATGCTAGTACATCCCACTCTAGCAGCTCTCATGGAGTCAGGTCTCAAGCGAGCAGGTCTCAAGCTAGTGGGTCGCGTATTAGTGGGTCGCACACTAGCGGGTCGCAGGGTAGCGGGTCGGCAGGGAGCAAGTCAAAGGGAAGCGGCTCAGAGAGGAGCGATTCGGAGTATGAAGGTATGGGGTCTGAGGAGGAGGAGGGTGAGGGATTCAGCAAGAAGGGCAGTGAGAGGTACAGCGGTAGTGACAGTGGGAGGGAAGGGAGGGAAGGGAGAGAAGGGAGTGAGAGTGTGGGGAGTGAAAGAAGTGGGTCTGGGGTGTCTGCTGTTGGTGGTGCTGCTGTTGCGGCTGCTAGCGTTCCTGCTAGTGGTGCTGCTAGCCCCAGCCATCAGCTTGGGATGCCAACAGGTGGCGCTGCGTCATTGGCATCGGGTGCAATGCTGTCGCCAGGGGGGGAGGGATGGAAAAGGCCTCTTACTGTAAAGGTGGGGGGGAGCTCCCAAGAGCCTAGCTCAGAGGAAGAAGAGGAGGAGGAAGAGGAGGAGGAAGAAGATGAGGAGGAGAGTGAGGGTGTTACTGCAACTGAGGAGGAGGGAAGCTTGGTTGAGGATGAGGATGAAGAGGAAGAGGAGGAGGAGGAGCAGGAGCAGGAGGAGAGTGTGTTTACGGTGGATAGGAGCTCAGAGGAAGGAGGGAGTTTGGAAAGTGACAGGAGGTTAGAGAGTGAGAGGCGCTCAGAAGTGGACGGTTCAGTGGGTGACAGGTCAGAGGAGGATGGGATGTCGGAGGGTGATGGGATGTCAGAGGGAGAAGAGGATACGGAGGAGGAAGGAGGAGAGAGCATAGGAAGCGAGGAGGAGGAAGGAGGAGAGAGCGTAGGAAGCGAGGAGGAGGAAGGAGGAGAGAGCGTAGGAAGCGAGGAGGAGGAGAGGATGGCGAAGATGCTTCGAGCAGAGAGCAAGAGGCGGTTTGATACGGTGCTCGGGCAGCTGAAGGGGCAGCTGAAGGTTCTGCTGAGGCAGGATTCCCATGGGAGCGGGCAGTCTGAAGGGAGTGAGGGGAGTAGGGAGGGGAGTGAGGGGGGGAGTGAGGGGTTTGAGGGGTCTGATAGGAGTGGAGTGAGTGTGGGAGATGGGAGGAGAGAAGAGAGCGAGAGTGGGGAGGGTGAGGAGGAGTATGAATCGGCGAGCGAGAGAGGGGAAGAGTCGCAAGAGGAGGATGAGTATGGGTCCAGAAGTGCGAGTGAGAGGGAGAGTGAGAGGGAGAGTGAGAGCGAGGGAGGAAAGCAAGACAAGGAGGATGAGGAGTGGGTGGAGGAAGAAGCAAGGGATTCGGTTAAGAGTGGTTCGGAGGAAGCCTGGGTGCAAGGCAGCGAGGAGGAGCAGCATGAGTCAGAAGATGAAGCTTCTGCTGCTGTGCCCGCTGCTGTAGTAGTTACTGCAGCTGCTGCAGCTGCCCCCGTTGCCCCACCTTCTCTAGTAGCTCGAGCTGCCCCACCTGCCCCACCTGTCTCTGCAGCCCCAGCAGTCTCAGCAGCACCAGCACCCCCTGCTTCCCCAGCGGCCCCAGCAGCCCCAGCTTTCCCAGCACCGCCCCCTCAGAGGTTCCACCACCCACAGCCGCCCACCACGCCCTCTCTTCAGCCGTCCCCGCCGTCCCTCGCCTTGCGCCGCTCCTTCAAGCGCCCCCAGCCCCTGCGCCCCTCCTCCGCCTCGCCCCTCTCCGCCCACCCCTTTGCGCAAGCGCCTGGTTCTGCTGCCACCACGCCACAGAGCACGGGAGGGTCGTCTGGAGGGTCTACCCCCCACAGTGCCGTTGGTCTTGCCACTGGTGCCATTGGTGCCACTAGTGCGTCTGGTATGGCTGGCCCTCGCCCTGCAGGTGAGTCCCCTTTTTCCTTGTACCGGCCATCGTCCCCTGCTTCTGATTCTGCTGCGTTTGCTTCTTCTGCTCCTGGAGCGTCTGTGTCTGGTTCGCCTGTTGCTGCCGCTGCACGTGCTTCGCCTGGCCTTGCTGCTCCTGCTGCTTCCCCCGTTGCTGCTCCTGCTGCTCCCCCCTTTGCTGTTCCTGCTGCTGCCTCGGTTGTTGCCCCTCCTGCTGCCTCTGCTGCTGTTCCCTTGTCTGCAGGTCCCAGCAAGAAACTCCAACCACTGCGAACAAGCGAGTACCACACGTCAGAGCTGCCGACCAATCAGGAACGTCCAGCTGGACCTGCAGTCAGCCAAAGCGTGCCAGATGGAGGAGGAGGAGCAGGTCTGGCAGTGCGAGCTGCACCAGCAGCAGCAACAGCACTGGCAGCAGCAACAGCACCGGCAGCAGCAACAGCACCGGCAGCAGCAACAGCACCGGCAGCAGCAACAGCACCGGCAGCAGCAACAGCACCGGCAGCAGCAGCAGCAGCAGCAGCAGCAGCAGCTGCACCAGCTGCACCCCCTGCTGCCACTTCGGCTGCAACTCTGGCTCCATCTCCAGCAGTGTCTCCCGCTGTGTCTCCCAAGCCCAGTGCTGCCAGCTCCTCTCCCTCCCGCGGTGTCTCTGCTTGGACCTCCCTCTTCCGCCCCCTCTGGGGCACCTCGCCTGCCACTGCTGCCACTGCCGCTCCCGCTGATGGCGCTGATGGTGCTGATGGTGCTGCTGGTGCTTCTACCGGTGCTGCAGCTGTTACAGAACCGATCGTTCCTTCAGCAGCAGCAGGGCCTGCAGCAGCTGTACTGCCGCCAGTTGCCCCACCTATGGTAGCACCTGCATCGGTAGTGCCCACACCAGTAGTTCCTGCACCAGTAGCACCTGCACCAGTAACACCTGCACCAGTAGCACCTGCACCAGTAGCACCTGCACCAGTAGCACCTTCACCAGTAGCACCACCGCCAGTAGCACCACCACCACCAGTAGTAGCACCTGCACCAGTAGCTCCTGCACCAGTAGAACCTGCACCAGCCCCTGCAGTAGCAGCTGCTGCTGCTGTTGGAAGGAAGACCGCTCCTCCTGTTGCTCCTTCACCTCCTCTTCCCACACCTTATCACCAGTCTTCTCCTCCTCCTCACTACCCACCCCCTCCTCCCCAGTATTCGCCTTCTCCATCCACCCCAGAGTTCTCTCCCCTTCCCTTGTCTCAACCCCCTGAACCCGTCCCCTCTATCCTCCACCCAATGGACCCACGTGCACATCCAGTTTCCGTGCCTCCTCACACCACAGCCGCTCCTACCGCCCATGCTACAGCCGCTCCTAACGCCCATGCTACAGCCTCGCATCACCCCCACTCTGCTGTTTCTCCCGCCCCTCCTGTCCTCCACCCTCTGGACCCACGGGCGCAGCAGCAGCTGCCAGCACAGGTGCCTAAAAGGACTCAAGGGCTTCAAGTGACTGAAGGGAGCGAAAGGACTGAAGGGACCCGAGATGGGGGTTTCCCTGTAGGTGCCCTGGTGCATGGTTTGTCGGCCGACTCTGATACCATGTCGGCTGGATCCAGGCACGAGGCCTTTGCTGATGCTAACGCCCGTGCCCATGCTGGCACTGGTGCTGACGCTGATGCTCGTGCTGGTGCAGATGGTGATGTGAGTGGGAAAGGCAAGTACGGTGCAGTGCTGGTCCCTCCGGCCTTAGTCCCCGGTGGTGCAGGCAGCTCGCAGTCTTCCAGCCGGCCCGAGTCAAGGGAGTCAACCGAGTCAACCAGGGCGGGTGAGTCACCTGAGAAAGGTGTGTTAGCAGCAGTTGGAGGAGCAGAAAGAGGAGGGGTGGAAGGAGGGGTGGAGAGAGGTGTGGAGAGAGGGGAGGGAGTGGTAGCGACAGAGGCATGGGTGCTTGCAAGCATGAGGCAAAGAGCAAAGCTTGAAGGTCGCTCGGAAGAAGGCTCGGAACACGGCTCGGAAGGAGGCTCGGAAGGAGGTGTGGGAGGAGGTTTGGAGGGAGGCTTGGAGGAGGCTATGGAGATAGCAGCTGTGGGTGACTCAACAGAGCGTTCCTTTATGGGGGGTTCTGTTAAAACGGGGCCTGCTGCCGCTGTGGTGGGTCAGATGGAACAGGGTGAAGCTGGTGTGGGTGCTGCAGTTATGAGTGTGCGGGAGAGGAGGAGTGAGGGGGAGAGTGAGGGGAGGGAGGAGGAAGGTGGAGAGAGTGAAGGGGATGCAAGGGCGAGTGACGAGGAGAGTGAGAGTGGTAGTGGAGAAGAGAGTAGGAGCAGTGTGGGGGGGAGTGAGGATGGGAGTGAGGGTGAGAGCGACGGCGAGAGTGAGGGGGAAAGTGTTGATGGGAGTGGGGTGGGGAGCACGGAAGGAAGTGAAGGAAGCAGTGAGGAGTCAGGGAGCAGTGAGGGAGAGAGCGAGGGAGAGAGTGAGGGGGGGAGTGAGGAAAGTGAGGAGGAGAGTGGGGAGGAGAGCGGGGGGGAGAGTGAGGGTAGTGTGACGGAGACAGATGCTGTGACCAGAACCAGCTACTCAGGGAGTGAAGGGGACGAGACAGAGAAAGAGGATGAGTCGAGCGAAGGGGAGAGTGAGAGTGGAGAGAGTGAGAGTGGGGGGAGTGAGAGTGGTGAGAGTGAGAGTGAGAGTGGAGTGAGTGAGAGTGAAGGGCAAAGTACAGTTGGCACAATGAGTGTGGCGAGGGAGGGAGGACCAAGGAGTTCAACGCATGCTGAGACAGAAACCGAGGCAGAAACAGAGACAGAGACAGAGACAGACGCAGATGGGAGAAGTGAAAGGGTGGGGTTGGAGGGGGATGGAGAGAGTGTGGTGACGGAGGAAGGGGTGCTGATAGAGGTGGCGAGTGTGGCGAGTGTGGTGGGGAGGGGGAGTGTGGTGGGGAGGAGTGAGGGAGTGAGGGTGGATAGTTTGTTGATAGAGGTAGAGAGTGTGGTTGGGGCGGAGAGTGTGGTGGGAGGAGGGAGTGTGTTTGGAGGGGAGAGTGTGGTGGGAGGAGGGAGTATACTGGGAGAAGAGAATGTGATTTTCGAAGGGGGAGATGAGGCAGAAGAAGCTTACAGTAAGGAAGGAAGCGAATCAGACAGGAGCGAGGGGAGTGAGGGAGTGGAAGAACATGGGAGCGAGGAGAGTGAGGGAGTGGAAGAACATGGGAGCGAGGGGAGTGAGGGAGTGGAAGAACATGGGAGCGAGGGGAGTGTGTGGAGTAAGCATATCAACGATGGGGAGGGGCCGGGTGGTGAAAGCGGGAGTATTGGGAGCGGAAGTGAGAGAAAGGGGTCGTCAGACTCCGAAAAGGAAGTGGAGGAAGAGGAAGTGCCTGTGTCAATGGCAGCTGGCGGAGAGACACCAGCAGCACCTGCGAGTCAGGATGAGAATGTCAGTGAAGGATCCACTGAATCTGAAGCTGAAGAGGAAGTGCCTGCGTCAGTGGCAGCTGGAGAAGAGATACCGAAGAGTTATGATGAGAATGTCAGTGAAGGATCCACAGAATCTGAAGAGGAAGAGGAAGTGCCTGTGTCAGTGGCGGCTGCAGGAGAGACAGCAGCAGCACCTGCATTGGTAGTGGCAGGAGCAGCAGCAGCACCACCAGCAACATTAGCAGTGGCTCCAGTAGCAGTGGCAGCAGTAGCAGCAGCAGTTCCCGCTACTGCAGCAGTTGCAGACTCAAAGCCTAAAGTGGAAGTGGAAGTGCCTGTGTCAGTGGCAGCTGCAGGAGAGACAGCAGCAGCACCTGCATTGGTAGTGGCAGGAGCAGCAGCGGCACCACCAGCAACATTAGCAGTGGCTCCAGTAGCAGTGGCAGCAGTAGCAGCAGCAGTTCCCGCTACTGCAGCAGTTGCAGACTCAAAGCCTAAAGTGGAAGTGGAAGTGCCTGTGTCAGTGGCAGCTGCAGGAGAGACAGCAGCAGCACCTGCATTGGTAGTGGCAGGAGCAGCAGCGGCACCACCAGCAACATTAGCAGTGGCTCCAGTAGCAGTGGCAGCAGTAGCAGCAGCAGTTCCCGCTACTGCAGCAGTTGCAGACTCAAAGCCTAAAGTGGAAGTGGAAGTGCCTGTGTCAGTGGCAGCTGCAGGAGAGACAGCAGCAGGACCTGCACTGGTAGCGGCAGCAGCAGCACCATCATCAACTGCAGCAACAGTTACAGCAGAAGCTCCAGTAGCAGTAGCAGCAGCAGTGCCTGCTACTGCAGCAGTTGCGGCAAAGCCTGCTGATGCGGCGAATTCTGCTGACGTGGCACAGTCTGCTGACATGGCCAAGGCGGCTGGCGCGGCAAAGGCTGCTGACGTGTCACTGGCAGCGCTGATGGCGAGGACGCCCGATGCCAGGCCGGTGACCCCGGTGCGCAGAACGTGGCTGGAGGTGCTGCAGAGCCATGCTGTGCTGTCAGAACTGGTGAGTGGCAAGCAGCGATGCCAAGCCCAAAAACGTAAACCATAATCCCTCCCTGCACCCTTTTACCGTGAAGCTTAAACCCCAAACCCTGGCTGGAAGTGCTGCAGAGCATGCTGTGCTGTCGAAACTGGTGAGTGCAGCGTCATGTCATGCATTCCCCTGCCGCCTCCCTCCCCCAATGTCTCACCTCTCTCTCAAGTTGTTGCATGCCTCTTCTCCTGTCTCATTTTCCCCTATGTACCCCTTTCCCGCCTCTGTCCCTCTCGTTCTTTTCTATTCCTCTGCAGATGACTGAGGAGGACATGGGCGCGCTGCAGTTCTGAGGCGCCTTAGAAAGCGCTGCAGTTCCTGTGCTCTGTGGACCATCACACATGACATCTGCCTGCGCCTTAACCTTCTCCGAGCGCCCCCCTCCCCACAACCTGTTGCCCTGCAGATGACGGAGGAGGACATGGGCGCGCTGCAGTTCCTGTGCTCTGTGGACCATCACATTCACATCACATCTGCCTGCAAGCAAGAGCTAATTGCTCTCTCTTCAGCTGAAGCAGAATATATTGCACTCCGCTCAGCCACCAAGGAAGGACTGTACCTTAACCTTCTCCGAGCGCCTCCCTCCTCCGCATGTGTCCCTCTGCAGATGACGGAGGAGGACATGGGCGCGCTGCAGTTCCTGTGCTCCGTGGACTTTTGCAAGTCGCAACACAGCATGGTGAGTGACACGGTGACAGTGACACTCAAGGCTTGAGTAAAATCAAAAGTCAATTGCTGCCATGTAAATTAATGGGTCCAATCTGGGGCTCTATCGGACATGGGTGCGCTGCAATTCCTGTGCCCCATGGACTTTTACAAGTCACAACATGGCATGATATTCGGGGTTTCAGGGTTTAGGGTTTCGAGTATCGGGCACCATGACTTTTTGCTGTGTTTGTGTTTGTGGGGGCATGGCAGCATGGTGTGTGGGCAGTGGGCACCATCAGTTTCTTTTTTTTCCCCGACCAAACACCGTCACCACACCCTTGCATTTTCTGATCCAACTATCGCTTGGGTTGTGTGTGTGCCTGTGGTGTGGCTGTCCTTGCTCCTCTCTCCAGGATTTCCGCGTGGACTTTCTCTTTGACGCCAATCCCTTCTTCACCAATGAATACGTATGCCTGCCTACCTACTTGACCACCTGCCTACCTGCCCACCTGCCTACCTGCCCACTTGCCCACCTGAAATGAGTGTATTTTTGAGACATCTAAAAAATACATGCGTTCCATGTGGATATCCTGCTTGGACTTTCTATTTGACGCCAATCCCTTCTTCACCAATGAATACGTATGCCTGCCTACCTACCTTGATGATGCATGTCTTTCAACTACAGTTTCAGATTTTGCCGATTCGTGACCTCATTATTTGGCTGACTTTCACGTCAGTGCTTTTCCTGCTTCCTTGTCACCCCAAACGCTGAACCCCCTATTCCTCAATTCTCCCCTCAATCCCCAATCCCCAAACCCCAAACCCTGAAACCTTTTTTTTGCGTGCAGCTGAGCCGCGTCTTTGCTGTGGCGAGAAACCCCAAGACTGACCCAATCATCATGTCCATTCACTGGTACGCGTGATATGAGAAGATGATGACTTAATCATCATGTCTATTCTCTGGTGTATGCTGCTATGTACTTATTCATCGAATGGAGATCCCAGCCATGTTTATTGAGTGGGTGTGTGGGCAACACTTGGGAAAAATACTACAGCAAACGATTGACACCCAACAATGACTATAATCGGTTGCTGGTATGGCCTTCACTCCACCCACCATGTCTGTTGCCAGTTTTCACCATTATTCCAAGTCTTTCCTCAGACATACCCTCAACCTCAGCACCTCCTATCTTTGCTCGCCGCACTCCCATGCCTTCTGCCTTCCCTGTCAACCTCCCAGCACCCCCATCGCCTGGCAGCCAGGCAGGGACTTAACCAAGCGCCGCACAGGGTGGTTTGGATGGGCTGCTGCCACTCTCACCCAGGGAGGGAGGGGAGGTGGCGCTGCTGCGGGTGGTGCTGGCAGGAGCAGCTTCTTTACGTTGTTTGCCTCGCGATCTGCGCTCTCTGCTTCTGAAGCCAACGAGGAGGCTGTGGTGAGTGGCGCTGGCAGTGCTGCTGGTGATTTCTGCTGGTCGTGCTGCTAGTGCAGGCAGATGAAGCTTCTTCTCTTGCCTTGCCCAACTCAAAGGTTACTTCCCAAAAGCATCAAACGACTTTTTACTGATCACCATTCTTGCTGGAAAATAGTTTCCTCTTTCATCTGCTGTGCTGGCACCTCCTCCCTTCTCCCCCCTCCCCTCCTTCACCCATGTGTCACCATCAGCGCATGAAGATGCTGGAAGAGGCCGCTCTCACTAACGGCCTTGTGCAGCTTCATACCCCCCTCCTCCTCCCCTCCCCTCCACTCCTCTCCCCTCCCCTTCTCGCACCCACCCATCAGCGCATGAAGATGCTGGAAGAGGCGCCTCTCACTAACGGCCTTTTGCAGTTTCATACCAACGGCACTGATGGAGGAGGGTCTCCCTCCGACGGCCTCCTTGCTCAACTCCCTCCTACCCTCCACACCACTCCACTTCCCCTTCCCTGCCCTCCCCCCTGTTTCTCCCCCCTTTCTCACACCCATCAGCGAATGAAGATGCTGGAAGAGGCAGCTCTCACCAACGGCCTTTTACAGTGAGTTGCCTGCCCATGCCTAGACCCTTTGAGTCTGCCTGTCCTGTCCTGACTCATAATTCCGAGGGCCGCAGCACGGACTGCAGCGCAGCCCTTGGAATTATGAGTCAGGAAGGTCTGCCCATGCCTAGACCCTTTGACTTTTGAGTCGACTCAAAAGTCAATTCCAAGGGCTGTAGCACGTACTGCAGCCCTTCGAATTATGAGTCAGGAAGGTCTGCCCATGCCTAGACCCTTTGAGTGTGTGTCGTTCAGCCCTTCCTTTTTCTCTTGTGGTTTTTGAATGATTTTTTTGGTTTCCATTTGTTTTGCATCACTTTTTCGTATTGTCTTTAATGGTCTGGCAAGAAATAGTAGCAGACCCGTGGAGGTGGCCTTAACAGGGAATTATCGATAAAGATAGCACAGTCCCCCCCCCCCTCCCCCCCCACCCCCCCCCCCCCCCCCCCCCCCCCCCCCTTCCCAACCCCCTTTTTTTTTGTTTTCGTTTTGGTTTTTTTTTTTGTGTTTGTTTTTTGTTTATTTCTTTCTGGCAAGTCGCACTGTGTCGTAAAATAATGATTCGTGATTATTTCACCAATGCAGGTCGTCAGAGGGTCATGTGGTGTCTAACCTGCTCCGTTGGTACACTGTAAAGTCGCTCGGTGGGGGAGAGGAGGAGGAAAACGAGGAGGAAGAAGGGGATGAAGAAGAGGAGGAAGAGGAAGAGGAGGAGAAAAAAATAGGGAGCACTGAAGCTGTAGCGACTTTAGAGACGTCTAAGAAAGCGGGTGTTGCAGGGCAGGAGGCAACTGGGCGTCCTAGTATAGAGGAGGAGGAAAAGAGGGTGGAGGACGGTAGTGAGGCTGTGCTGCAGGATGGGGGAGAGAATGAAAGGCGAATGGTGGGAGGCGAGAAGAGGGATGAGCTTATTCCTCGGGAGGAGGAAGAGAAGCAAGGAGAAGAAGGAGAAGAGGTGGCGGAAGTGAGACAACAAGAGGAGGTGGGGCGAGAGGGAGAGGGTCCGAGGCCTGGGGGAGTAAAAGTGGTGGAAGGAGCAGGAAGGAGAAGCGTTGGGGAGAAATTGGACCTTGTGGAATCAGAAGATGCAGCAGTAGTGCTTGCAGGAGGCAGGGGGGGAGACAGATGGGAGGAAGAGGAGGAGGAGGAAGAGGAGGAGGAGGAAGAAGAGGAAAAGGAGGAGGAAAAGGAGGAGGAAGAGGGGGAGCGTGGAATGGTTATAGAGGAGCAAGGCGTGGTTGACAGGAGTGGGGGCATGGAGAGGGCGGGAAGGAAGATAGAGAAAGAAGGGGCGGGGATGGGGGGGGTAGAGGCGGGAACAGGGAAAGCAGCAGGTGTGGCAGGGACCGGCATGGAGGGTGCAGGGACGGATATGAGGGGTATAGGGGCGGATATAGAGGGTGGAGGGGCGGATGTGAAAGAGGAGAATGTGGTGGCAGTTGCAGCAGCAAGGGATGCGGAGGCTGAGAGATGTGAGAGTGAGAAGGGTGAGACTGAGACGGGTGCGAGTGAGAGCGAGAGGGATGAGAGTGTGAGGGAGGAGAGTGAGAGAGAGGAGAGTGAAAGGGGGGAGAGTGACAGTGGCATGAGTGACGTTGAGAAAGATAGCTGGCCAGGTGGGGGGAGGGCAAGGAATGTGAGGGAGGAGAGTGAGAGAGCGGAAGGTGAGAGGGAGGAAATTGACGGTGGCGGGAGTGACGCTGAGATGGATGGCTGGCCAGGTGAGGGGAGGGCAATTGGGGATGTGTACGTCCAGAAGATGAAGGATGGAGGGGAAGGAGGGGTAGAGGCTGAATACGAGGAGGCGGGGAGTGGCAAGGAGGAGGGGAGTGGTGAAGAGGAGGGAAGTGGTGGTAACGATGTGAGAGGGGATGACCTGAGGGGCTCCAGTGGCAGTCTTGGGGATGCCATGCCGGGTATGGCAGGGGGAGGAGGTGGGGGGGAAGGGGAAGAGGAAGGCGCAGCGACAGGGGCAGAGGCAGACGCAGGAGCAGGGGCAGGGGAAGTGGGAGGTGGAGTTGAGGACGGGATGGGAGAGGGGGACTCGTGGATCGCGGTCCGTGTCGGTGGGAGGAGAGAGAGCAGAGATGGCCGTGATTGGGGCGCGTTGCGATACGAGGGGGCAGGGAGTGAGGGAGGGAGTGAGGGAGTGAGTGAGGGGGAGAGTGAGGGAGGGGGTGAGGGAGGTAGTGAGGGAGGGAGTGAGAGGGGAAGCGATCGGGTGAGTGAGGGGGTAAGCGATGGGGCTGGCAGTGGGCAGGGGAGTTCAGTGGAGGGCGAGCTAGCAGAGCTGATGCATGCAGTGGACAGCCATTCACTGCCCTTCTGGCATGCTGTTGCTGCCACAGGAAAAGATGGGCTGGTGGGGCTGGAAGGTCGGGAGGAACTGGAGGGTCTGGAGGGACTGGAGGAACTAGAGGGAGTAGAGGGAGTAGAGGGGCTAGATGTGGCCGATGCTGGTGCTGCTTCTGCCGCAGCTGTGCCTGCTCGCTCCCGTACAGGAACGCCAATGCCTGGCATCCGTGCTGCTGCGTCAGGGCCTGCTGCCGCTGCCGCTGCTGCTCCGTCGTCTGCTGCGCCTTCCATGTTCTCGCGAGCTGGAACACCCATGCCGGGTGTCCGACCTTCTGGCTTACCTCCTCCTCCTCCTCCTCCTCCTCCTCCTCCTCCTCCTCCTCCTCCTCCTCCTCCTCCTCCTCCCGTTCCCGGTGGTGCTGCTTCTCATGCTGCTTTGCCCACTGCTACTCCCGCCTTTGCCTCCCGTGCCGCTACTCCCATGCCGGGAGTGCATGCTGCTTCTGTTTTGCCTCCTCCTGTTCCTCCTTCTGCTGCTGCCCCTGCAGCGTTCTCTCGCTCTACTACCCCCATGCCCGGTGTGCATGCCGCTCTTGCTCCTGCTGCTCATCCTTCCCGGGCAGTAACACCCATGCCTGGTGTCCATTCTCCTGCTTCTCCTGCTGCTGCTCCTGCAACATTCTCTCGTGCCACCACACCCATGCCCGGTGTCCATTCTCCTGCAGCAGGCTCCACTGCTTCTCCCTCTGCAACCGCTTCTCCTCCGTCCTTCTCCCGCACTCTCACGCCCATGCCTGGCCTTCCCCCTCCTGCTGCTCCTCCTCCTCTTCCTCCTGCTTCCGCCAGGGCAGTGACGCCCATGCCTTGGGTTGCACCTGCTCCTAGTGCTGCTTTTGCCCCTAGTGCTTCATTCTCCAGGGCAGTGACGCCCATGCCTGGGGTTGCACCTGCTCCTAGTGCTGCTTTTGCCCCTAGTGCTTCATTCTCCAGGGCAGTGACACCCATGCCTGGGGTTTCACCTGCTGCAAACTTCCCGCCTCCACCTGTTCCCCATCCTCCTCATCCCGCTGCTAGTGGTGTTAGTTCAGCATTCTCCTCCAGGGCAGTGACGCCAATGCCTGGTGTCCATCACATCTCCCCGCATCCTCCACCTGCTGCTGCTCCTCCTCCTCTTGTAGCTTCTGCCGCGCTCTCCCGGACAGTGACGCCCATGCCAGGTGTTCGTGCTGCAGCTACTCCCATGCCTGGTGTTCGCGCCACAGCAACGCCCATGCCTGGTGTTCGCGCCACAGCAACGCCCATGACTGGCGTGCACGGCGTGCCTGATGTGCGTGCCACAGCTACACCCATGCCCGGCATGGCTGGGGAGAACAGCAGGCAGCAGCAGCAGCAGCACGGGAGAGCAGTTGTCAGCAGGGGCCACTCGCGGGGAGCGACTGAGGGGGCTGCGTTTTACACCCCCGTTGAAGGGGCAACTGCGTTTTACGGCCCGCCAACTGAGCATGCGGCCTTCTTCGCCCCCCCTACTGACGGGGCTGCGTTTTACGGCCAAGCTGTGGGGCGCTCCCAGTCCCACAGGCACGCTGCAAGCCCCTCCCACTCGTATCCCAGGCAGGCCATAAGCCACGGTCGCAGCCAGAGCCACGGCATGGGAGGGTGGGCTCTTGCTGACCCTCATTCTACTGCTGCTGCTGATGTAGGGAGGGAGAGCGGTTTGGAGGTGTGGCGTGTGGTCATGCAGGGGTATGGGGAAGGGGGTGTGGGAGGAGCAGGGATGGGGTATGAGGTAGGAGGAAGTGAACAAGACGCAGCAGGGATAGGTTATGGGCCGTGGCAGGAAGGGGAAGAGGGGGTTGTGGGGGGGAGTCAGAGGCTGGTGGTGGCGAGTGGGAGTGAGAGGGACGGCGATAGGAGCAGTGTGTGGGACAGGAGCAGTGTGGGAGATGGGAGCAGTGTGAGTGTGGGGGATAGCCTGGTGTCGCTTCTGAGAATTCTGAAAAACGAGGGGGAGGGCGATGGGAGCAGTGTGGCGGATAGTCTAGCAAGTAGCATGGATGGTGGTGGTGGGGGGGGGAGCATGCCAGGCATGGTTGATGGGAGGTCTGGTATGGGTGATGGGAGAATGAGTGTGGGTGATGGAAGGTTGGGGATGGCTGATGCGAGGTTTGCACATGCTCTCAGTCAGTCACTGGCGCGGGCAGCTATGGGGAATCTAGAGTCAAGTCAGAAGCCGCTGCAGCCACAGTTACAGTCACAGTCACAGTTACAGTCACAGTCATGGTCTCATCAGTCAGTGGCAGCGGCGGTGGCTCGTGATGCTCTGGGAATGAGCTTTGATGGGGACGTGCGAAACCTCTCCCAATCCCAATCCCACTCCCACTCCCATTCCCAATCTCAATCCCAAGCCCGTGCCCACGCCCACCCCCACCCCCATAGCCACGACAATCACCACGAGTACAACTACCAGAGGCATTCGTTGCATCCGTCAGACACGGAGGAGGAGGAAGGAGAGGCAAGGCCGTGGCTTCGTGTTAAGACCCGTGCCTCTCAGACGAGCTCTCGACACAGTGGGCAGTGGAGCAGGGAGCAGAGCGAGCAGCAGAGTGGACAGTGGGGCAGGCAGCAAAGCAGGCAGCAAAGCAGGCAGCAGAGCATGGGCAGCATTAGCAGCCGGCATTCCAATGGGATGGAGAGTATCCTCTGGGCCCCCACCACTGCAACCAGTTTCGGTGCTGCTGCTTCTGCTGGCGCTGGTACTGTTAGTGGTGTCACTGGTAGTGGTGGTATTGCTGCTGCTGGTGCAGCGGGGAGGAGAAGGAGAGGCCTTTCTCTGGGGTCAGGCTCAGAAGTCTCGTCCATCCGAAGCAGATCCCGAGGGAGGGGCGGGTCCCTCAGTGACGTGACCAGCCTGGGGATGAGTGAGGGGGAGGGAGCGAGTGAGGGAGTGAGTGAGGGAGTGAGTGAGGGGGAGAGCACCCGGTCTGTGGAGGCAGAGCTGGGAGATCTGATGGACGCTCTAGATGGGGAATTGTCGCCCTTCTGGACCGCTCATAACAGCGTTGGGAGCATGGGGAGCGTTGGAGCAGGGAGGACTGGCAGCATTGGGAGTATCGGGCTGGGCAGGACTGGGAGTTTCGGGAGTGTTGGGAGCGCAGGGAGGATGTTGAGGGGGAGTGTGGGGAGTTTTAGGTCGGTGAGGGAGGAGGGGGAGACAGGGAGGGGAGGAGGGGAGGGTGAGGAGGAGAGGGAAGCGAGGATGGATGTGTGGAGAGAGGTGATGGGGAATTACTGGGAGTTGAGAGGGGCAGGCGCGTTCGGGTATAGACATGCCTACCGACATGCAGATAGGCATGAAGATAAACATGAGGACAGATATGAGGATAGAGATGAGGAGGGTATAAATATGAATGGCAAGGTGGATGCATATAAGGGGGGAGAGGGCCGGGTGGGTGGTGCGTCACAAGACTCAGTGATGCTATTGTATGATGGTTTGGGTGAGAGTGTGAGTGGCAAGGTTGGGGAAGCGGAGGATGAGGAAGAGGAAGAGGAGGAGGGTGGTTTGGGGGTTGAGGGTGGGGAGGATGGGCATGAGGATGAGGAGGAAGAGGAGGAGGAGGAGGAGGAGAACGAAGAGGAGGATGGGAGGGTGGTTGTGGTGTTCAAAACTGCAACCCGAGCTGCTGAGATCCACGTGGAGGAGAGTGATAGGGGCAGTGCGGATCACTCTGCTGATGTGGCGAGCGATGCTGACGTGGCAAGTGATCTAAGTGAGCACGCGCTGTACAACGCCGGCAGTGACGTGGCAGGTGCTGGTATTGTGACACATGAGGATGATGGTGCGGCGTCTGATGTCTTATCTGATGGGGTACATGTTAGTGAGCATGATGGTATGGGGGACATGCATGGTGATGTGCATGAGTATCAAGAGACGGAGGAGGAAGGGGTAGAAGAAGAGGAGGGGGAAGAGGAGGAGGAAGAGAGGGTGGTAGTGGTGTTTAAGACAGCAACCAAGGGGAAAACGGATGAGGAGGAGGAAGAGGAGGTGGTGGGAGAGTCCACGACTGAGAATGGGTCACTGACTGAGGGCCCTCTTGATACGGATACTGAGGATGTTGATAACGAGTATGAGGACAACGAGAGGGTGGTTGTGGTGTTTAACCGGCCAAGGACTGGTGAGAGGAGGGAGGAGGAGGATGCGGGAGGGGAGGAGGATGAGAGGGATGATGAAGATGATGTGTTATTAGGCAGTGTGGTTGGGGATGCGATTCAGACAGGGAGTCAAATGGCCAGCCAGACAGGAAGCTATGTGGGCGAGGAGGAGGGTTGGGAGGCAGGAGAAGAGGGAGAGGAGATTGCTGGTGGCAGTGAGGAAGGGAGTTTGGAGGATGGGGAGAGGGTGGTAGTTGTGTTTAAGAAGGCAACGCATGCTGTGGAGGAGGAGGAGGATGAGATAGAGGAGGGGGACGAGGTGGATGAGGAGGAGATTGCTGGTATTAGCGAAGAAGGGAGTTTGGAGGATGGGGAGAGAGTGGTAGTCGTTTTCAAGAAGGCTACACTTGCTGAAAACGAAGTAGAGGGGGCGGTGGAGGGGGAGGAGGAGGAGGTAGAAGAGGAGGAGGTTGTGGGGGAGGTAGAGGAGGAGATCGCTGGTAATAGCGAGGAAGGGAGTTTGGAGGATGGGGAGAGAGTGGTAGTTGTGTTTAAGAAAGCAACACATGCTGTGGAGGAGGAGGAGGAGGAAGATGAAGGGGAGGTGGGAGAGGGACGGAGGGTGGACGAGGGAATGAGCGAGGAGGGGAGTGAGGGGCTCAGTGAGGAGGCAAGGAAGCATGAAGACGAGCATGAGGAGGAGGAGAAGGCAGAGGAAGAGGAGGAAGAGGAGGAGCAGGAGGAGGAAGGGTATGAGGAGGAGGAGGATGAGGAGGATGGGGAGAAGAGGAAGGAGATCGAGCGGTGGATAGAGGTGGCTGAGAGGGAATTGGCACAGCCAAGCCCGCAAGGGGGAGTCAGCAGCAGGCGTAGTGGCAGCGGGGTTAGCAGTATTGACCTGAGCTTCAGTGTCGACCTGAGCAGAAGCAGGAGCAGAAGCAGGAGCGGGAGCGATAGTAGGAGTAGGAGCGAAAGTGGGAGCAGTGGTAGTGGAAGTGGGAGCGAGGGGAGTGAGAGTGGAACAGAGGCGAGTGGGAGTGAGAGAGAGAGGGTGAGGAGGGAGAGGAGTGAAGGGAGTGAGGAGGGGTCACAGGGAGAAAGCCTTGGGAGCAGCATCAGCAGTGGCAAACGCAGAGACCGGAGACACTTGAGCCACAGCAGAAGCAGAACTAGAAGCAGACACAGCAGCAGAAACAACAGCAGGCACAGCAGCAGACATAGCAGCAGACATAGCAGCAGACGCAGCAGCAGACATAGCAGTAGGAGCAGGAGTGCGAGGAGGAGGAGTCACAGCAGTGGTCCAAGCAGTAGGAGCAGAGATGAGAGTGTGGCGAGGGAGAGCGTGGCTGAGAGTGTGAGTGAGGGACTGAGCTTGGAAGGGAGTGAGAGGAGAGTTGGAAGTGGGAGTGTGAGTAGGGTTGGAAACAACCGGTCGGGGAGGAGCAGTGTGAGTGAGCGAGAAAGTGACCATTTGGTTGAGAAACAGGTGGAGAAGAGTGTAAGTGCGAGTGAGAAAGCGAGCGAGGAAGGGAGTGAGGGTGAGAGAGGGAGCTTGAACAAGAGTAATAGTGGCAGCTGGAGTGATAAGAGGAGCAAGCACAGTGCCACCAGCACTGCTACCGACAGTGCTACCAGCAGTGTTACTGGCAGTGTCACAAACAGCACTGCTGACAGTGCTGCAGGTGGTAGGAGTCAGAGTGGGAGTGAAGGAGCGAGCGAGAAAGCCAACAGCGTGAGGAGCAGTTCTGATCGCAGTGGTGTGAGAGAGAGAAGTGACAGTGAGCGTGAGAGAGTAGTGAAGACTTTGAGTGAGCGTGAGAGTGTGGGGGGGAGTGTGAGTGAGCATGAGAGTGTGCATGAGAGGGTGGGGAGGAGTGAGAGTGAGCATGAGAGTGAAATGCATAGTGAGGGTGAGAGTGATGGGAAAAGTGTGACCCTTAGTGAAAACGAAGGAAGTGAAAAAGATAGTGTGAGTGGAAGTCACAGAAGAGGCAGTAGTGAGAAGGATGACAGTGGGAGTGTAGCGAGTGAGAGCGTGAGTGAGGGAACGAGTGAGGGAGTGAGTGAGGGAGAGAGTGAGGGAAGGAGTGAGAGTCCCAGAAGCAGCGGAAGCCATAGCAAATACAGCAGCACGAGTTCCAAACACAGCAGTGCAGTGAGTGCGCACAGCAGCTCGCACAACCAACACAGCAGCATTGACAGTCTGCACAGCAGTGTGCACAATCAGCACAGCAGCTCTCACAGTCAGCACAGCAGTGTGCACAGTCAGCACAGCAGTTCTCACAGTCAGCGCAGCAGCTCGCACAGTCAGCGCAGCAGCCCACACAGTAAGAGCAGCAGCTCGCACAGTCAGCGCAGCAGCTCACACAGTCAGCGCAGCAGCTCACACAGTCAGCGCAGCAGCTCACACAGTCATCACAGCAGCAGGCACAGCAGGAGTGCAAGCAGCCATGCTCGCAGCAGTAGCAGCAAGAGTGATGCGTTCAGTGCTGCAACGAGTGAGGATGCATCTGCTAGGGAGCGTTCTGAGACGCCTCACGACTCACTCAGTGGAGCGAGTGGGGATGCTTCAGCCGCTGTGGCCAGAGTTGGTAGCACTACAGACAGTTCGAGTGGCAGCGAGAGCAAGCACAGCAGGGGCAGTAGTGTGAGCAGGGGGAGCAGGGAGAGCAGTGTAAGCAAGGGGAGCAGTGTAAGCAAGAATAGCAAGGGGAGGAGCAGGGAGAGCAGTGTAAGCAAGGGGAGCAGTGTAAGCAAGAATAGCAAGGGGAGGAGCAGGGAGAGCAGTGTAAGCAAGGGGAGCAGTGTAAGCAAGAATAGCAAGGGGAGGAGCAGGGAGAGCAGTGTAAGCAAGGAATGCAGAGGGAGCAGTGTAAGCAAGGAAAGCAGAGGGAGCAGTGTAAGCAAGGAAAGCAGAGGGAGCAGTGTAAGCAGTCCTAGGTCGGATGGGGACAGCTATGATGGTCGTTTGGGGAGTGGCGCGAGTGACAGGGAGGACGAGAGGATGAGTGCGGAAATGGAGGAGAGTGGGGTAGTGGAGAGTGGAGTAATGGAGAGTGGGGCAGTGGAACATGGCGCAGTGGAGAGTGGTGCAATGGAGAGTTGGAGCGGTGTGGAGGGGTTAAGTGACGAGGAGCAAGGGAGCGAGGACCAAGAGGTGCAAGAACACGGGAGTGAGGAGCGGGAAGCTGGAGAGCAGGAGCGTGAGGGAGATGGCGTGGATGTGTGGAGCAGTGAGAGCGACGCATGGCCTGAGGCAACAGCAGAGGGAGAGGCACAGGCAGAGGAGAAGGAAGAAGAAGAAGGAATAGTACCAGCACCCGAGACCGTGAGTGGGGATGCTGCAAGGAGTGTTGTGGAGAGTGATGGGGAGGAGGATGGGACAAGTTGGGTTAGCAGCATCGTATCTCCTCTGCAGCAGGAAAAGGTGGCCGCTGGACAGGTGGCGGATGCTGATTGGACGGAGGAGCTGGGAGAGGAGCAGGTGCGGGAAGACGAGGGTCAGGTGGATGATCAGGTGAATGCTCAGGTAGTTGAGCAAGCAGGTGAGCAGCAGCAGCAGCAGCAGCAGCAACAGGATGAAGGGAAGGTAGCAGCAGCAGCAGGCAGAGCGATGACTGAGAATGTGGCGGGGGTGGGCAAAGATGGGATGGGTACTTCAGCAACAGCCAATGATGGGGGTATGAGGCAGATTGGCGAGGATGCGTATGTGTATGACATGGGGGATGGTGTTGGAGCATGTGAGGAGCTGGATTGGAGCAGGGATGTGGGCGATGGGGGGGTGGGCATGCCGGGGTGGTCGGGTGAATGGACGAGGGAGAGTGAGGTGTGGGGTGTGGGTGGAACGAGGGATGAGAGCGAGGTGCTTGGGGCGAGTGGTGTGATAGTGGATGGTGCTGCTGCTGCCAGTGGTGCGGTCAAGTTGGACAGGCAGATTGAGGAGGAGAGAGGAGAGAGCGAGGAGGAGAGAGGAGAGAGTGAGGAGGAGAGAGAGGAGATATGGGAGGAGAGAGAGGAGACAGGGGAGGAGAGAGTGGAGAAAGGGGATGAGAGAGTGGAGTGTGGGGACGAGAGAGAGGGGAGCGAAGCGAGAGAGGAGGAGAGGGGGCTGAGAGAGGAGAGAGAAGACAAGGAAGAGAAGGGGGCAGAGGACAAGGAGGAGGAGGATGTGGGGAGGAAGGAGGTGGAGAGGGAGGAGGTGGTGGAGAGGGAGGAGGTGGTGGAGAGGGAAGAGGAAGAGGTGGAGGATGGGGAGGGTGAGGAGGAGAGGGACGAGGAGGACGAGCTGGAGAAGGAGGAGGAGGGAGAAGGGGAGGAAGGGGGAGAGGGAGAGGAGGAGGAGGAGCAATGGAGTGACATGAGTGAGGAGGAGTGGAGCAGCATGGAGCTAGCAGCTACCCAGTCCCCCTTCCCTGCTGCCTCGCCTCTCCCCTCCTCCAGCCCCTATGCCGCTCTCTCCCCACTGCCCTCCGCCACCCCAACGAGTGCAGGCATGGGTGTGCCTTTGGATAGTGCTGCGGTTAGCCTGGCACTGCAGCGGCAGCAGCAGCAGCAGCAGCAGCAGCAGCAGCAGCAGCAGCAGCAGCAGCAGCAGCAGCAGCAGCAGCAGCAGCAGCAGCAGCAGCAACAGCAGCAGCAGCAGCAGCAGCAGCAGCAGCAGCAGCAGCAGCAGCAGCAGCAGCAGCAGCAGCAGCAGCAGCAGCAGCAGGAGCAGGAGCAACAGGAGCAACAGGAGGAGCAGGAGGGGCAGGAAGCAGCGGGCCTGGCATTCGAAGAGGCGGAGGAGGAAGGCGAGAAGCAGGATGGGGAGAGGGATGAGGGGCTTCAAGGGCTTCAAGGGCAGAGCAGCATGTTCGCGTTTGCCTCTGGCAGTGAGTCCTCTGTGCTCCCCCTTGCCAGCCCTATGGCCCTGCCGCAAGATCGGGCTGCTGTTGGTGGGGGTTCATGGGCGGAAGAGACTCAGCAAAATCGAATCTTTGGAAGCTCACTTGGTGCTGTTCCTGTGTCTCAACACACTCCTGCTCTTACCACCTCTGCTGTTGTGCCACCCTCCGTTGCTGCTGCCGATCTTGCTGACGTGGCGAATGCGCATCATGCTGACGTGGCACGTGCTGGGTCGGGTGCTGCACGTCGATATGAGATCCCTGTTCTGGAGGCACGTTCGATTCCAGCTGGCAGCTCACATGATAGGGCACTGGATAGAGCACCTGATTCGGCACCAGATAGAGTACCTGACAAGGCACTTGAAACGGCACCTGACACTACTCCTGATGTGGCACCTGATACAGCTCCTGATGCATCATCTGATTTGGCACCTGACGTGGCACCTGATTCGGCACCTGAGAAAAGCTCTGCCTCTGTTGAGGTGCTTCCTTCAGGTGCTGTCTCTGTTGTGTTGCCCTCAGGTGCTGTTTCTGTTGTGCTACCTTCAGGTGCTGTGTCTGTTATGCTGCCGTCAGGTTCTGTCACTGTTGCACTGCCGTCAGGTGCTGTCTCTGTTGGTTCAGGTGCCAGCCCTTCGCGTTCTGGAAATTCTCCTGAGACTGCAGAAACGAGAATGCATCAAAGTGAGTGGGAAGATCTTAGGGGGACAGAGGTGGAGGAGGGGTCAGAAGGAAAGGGGAGTGAGAGTGATGAGGAGAGGAAGAGTGATGGGAAGGAGGAGAAAGCGAGTGAGGAAGGGAGTGAGGGAGAGGGTGAGAAGTGGGAGGAATCTGAGGAGTGGAGTGATGTTGGTGATGTGGTAACCAGTGATGTTGGTGATGCAGTAACCAGTGAAGCTGGTGATGCGGTTACCAGCGATGCTGGTGATGAGGTAACCAGCAATGCCGGTGATGCAGTAACCAGTGATGCTGGTGATGTGGTGGTAACCAGTGATGCTGGTGATGCAGTAACCAGTGATGCTGGTGATGTGGTAACCAGTGATGCTGGTGATCCAGTAACCAGTGATGCTGGTGATGTGGTAACCAGTGATGCTGGTGATGCAGTAACCAGTGATGCTGGTGATGTGGTAACCAGTGATGCTGGTGATGAGGTAACCAGTGATGCTGGTGATGTGGTAACCAGTGATGCTGGCGATGCAAGAGCAGAAGAAGTGGAATTGATGGCCCTTGGCGATTCAGACGACAGAATGCAAGAGCAAGGCACGGTAGCAAGTGCAATCAATGCAGAGGAAACGGAATCAATGGAGCCTCCGGTAACGCTTATGACCCAGGGATCATTGCCAGCAGTCGCTGCTTCGGCTGTGGGAGGAGGTGTGGTGGTGGCAGCACAGGCGGATGGGCTGGTGGCAGGAGGTGACTGGGAGAGTGAGGAGTGGAGCGATGTTGGGTCCGGTGTGGGTGAGTGGGAGGAGGCTGAAATGGTGAGAGAGGAGGCAGGAATGGGGAGAGAGGCGGTTGGAATGGGGAGAGAGGAAGATGAAGATGGAAAGAGTGAGGAGGTTGAAGAAGGGGGAGAGGAGGGAGAGGATAATGAAAGAGAGGAAAAAGAGGGTCTGCAAGAAAGCAGTGCAGTGGCAGTAGGAGACATGGAAGGGGAGGTCAATCTGCCAGTTGGTGAGAGTGAGGGGCATGTGGGCAGGGAGGAGGAGCAGGAGGAGGAGAAAGAGGAGCAGGACGAGGAGAAAGAGGAGCGGGGGGAGAGGGAGGAGGAGGAGGAGGAGGAGGAGAAGAAGGAGAGGGAGGAGGAGCGGGAGGAGAGTGAGGTGGAGGTGAGATCGGAGGAGGAGAGGGAAGAGGATGGGGAGAGGGAGCGGCAGGGAAGTGAGGAAGTGGAGGCTCCGCAGAGAGAGGAACTGACAGAGGGTGTTGCTGAAGGAGAGAGGGCGGAGGAGGAAGAGGACAGGATGGTGAAAGTGGATGAGGGAGTGGATGAGGGAGACAAGGAGGGAGTGGAGGAGGGAGAGGAAGAGAGATTGGAGGAGCAAGTGGAGGAAAAGAAGGAGGAAGGGGTAACGGAGGGGAGGGTGGAGGACGAGGGCAGAGATGCACATGCAGAAGGGAGTGAAGCGGAGGATGGGAGTGAGAGTGGGGGTGAGAGCATGAGCGAGAGTGAGGGTGATGGTGAGAAGGAAAGGGAGAGCGACAGTATGAGTGAGAGGGAGCATGACAGTGAAGGTGAGAAGAAGAGTGAGAGCGTGAGTGAGAGGGAGAGTGATAGCATGAGTGAGAGAGAGAGTGAAAGCGAAGGTGAGAAGGAGAGTAAGAGCATGAGTGAGAGGGAGAGTGAAAGTGAAGGTGAGAGGGGGAGTAAGAGCATGAGTGAGAGGGAGAGTGAAGGTAAGAGGGACACAGAGAGTGATAGTCTGAGTGAGGGGGAGAGTGAGAGCGTGAGTGAGAAGGAGAGTGAAGGTGAAAGGGACAGGGAGAGTGATAGTATGAGTGAGAGTGGAAGTGAGAGGGGGACTGAGAGTGAGAGTGGAAGTGAGAAGGGGGCTGAGAGTGAGAGTGCAAGTGAGAAGGGGTCTGAGAGTAAGAGTGAAAGTGAGAAGGGGTCTGAGAGTGAGAGTGAAAGTGAGAAGGGGTCTGAGAGTGAGATTGAAAGTGAGAGGGCGGCTGAGAGTGACAGTGGGAGTGAGAAGGGTGCTGAGAGTGAGGTTGGAAGCGAGAAGGGGGCCGAGAGTGAGAGTGAAAGTGAGAAGGGGTCTGAGATTAGGAGTGCAAGTGGAAAGGGGGCTGAGAGTGAGAAAGCAAGTGAGAAAGGGGCTGAGAGTGAGAATGAAAGTGGTAAGGGGTCTGAGAGTGAGAGTGCGAGTGAAAGGGGGGCTGAGAGCGAGAGTGAGAGTGAGAAACGTTCTGAGAGTGAGAATGAGAGTCCAAGGAGGGCTGAGGGTAAGACAGGGGCTGAGGGCGAGAGCAAGAAAGAGCCAAGTGCAGCCGTGGAGCCGCCTCAGGCTCAGGGTATTTTTGAGAATTCTCAAGAAGAGGCGAGTACAGCCGTGGAGACGCCTCAGCGGGACGAAATCACAGAAGGTGCTGAGGGCACTGGCACTGCAGCAGATGCAACTTCTGAGTCAAAGGAAATCACAGAAGGTGCAGCAGCAGGCATGGCAGAGGCAGAGGCAGAGACAGAGGCCACCACGGCAAGCACTGCCACACCAGACGAGCCTCTTGTGTCCACCGCCCATCTTGTTCCGCATCCCCTCACTCTTTCCCCCACCTCAACCGTCTCACCCGTTTCCCCCAGCTCAGCTTTCCCATCTGTCTCAAGCTCAGCCGTTCCCTCTGCCCCTAGTGTTTCCACTGCCCCTAGCGGTTTCCCTGTTTCCTCCCGCCCTGCTAATTCTTGGATCCGCCCAGCACAGCCGTCTTCCCACTCCGACTCAGGCTCGGACTCTGACTGGTCCGACTCCGAACCTGCGCCCAAGCCTGTGCCCATCCGAGCCTGGAGGGCAGGCATGGCGAGTGCAGCGCTGGCCCCTGCGCCTGGCGCCTCTCCTCCCCCACAAACTGCAGCGGTGGGGCGACTGCAGAGTGACTTCCTCAACCGCTTCCAGCAGCAGCCGGAGGAGCAGCAGCAGCAGCAGGCCTCTGAGGCTCCCCTAACACCTCCACAGCAGCAGCAACAGCAGGCATCTTTGAATTTCGCTGCAGTTGTGGACTCTTCTGCTGACGTGGCGCAGGCTGCTGATGTGGCGCAAGTTGCTGATGTGGCGCAAGTTGCTGATGTGGTGCAACCTGTGGACATGAAGCACGCAGCTGAGGTCAAAGCAGGTGACAAGTCAGAATTACCTGCTGGTGGTGATGATGCGATTGCTGATAAGGAACAGTCTGCACATGTGGTATCAGCTGCTGACGTGGCACCCCCTGCTGATGTGGACGTGAAGGGCGATTCCAGACCATCTTCTCCAGAGGGGTCAGCCACCAGCATCAAAGATGCTGCTGATGTGGCAACTGAGGTGGATGCTGATGTGGCAGCTGAGGTGGCTCTGGATGCAGCTGGAGGTGCTAGTTTGCAGCTGGCAAGTGAGTTGGTTGCACCTGTGCTGCAGACGAGAGGAGAGGCCGAGGAGGTGGAAGCAGAACAGGAGGAAGCAGATGTATTTTCGGGACCAGATTCTGAACCTGACTCTGATGCTGACGTGGCTGCTGATGTGTCTGTTGACATGGCTGCTGATGTGTCTGTTGATATGGCTGCTGATGTGTCTGTTGACATGGCTGCTAATGTGTCTGTTGGCGTGGCGGCTGATGTGGCTGCTGACATAGCTCTGCGAGTGCCTGGAGGTGAAACTGCAGTGGTGCCATCTCCATCACGATCAGACTCCGAGTCTGACTCTGCTTTCGGAACTGATGTGGCTGCTGACGTGGCCGCTGATGTGGCTGCTGACGTGTCGTCTGATGTGGCACCGTGTGCGGCTGGAGGTGAGACTGCAGCACTGCCATCCCCATCAGGACCAGACTCTGAGGTTGACTCTGCACCAGAAGCTGATGTGGCTGCTGACGTGGCTCTGCATGCGTCTGACTGTGAAGCTTCAGCTCTGCCATCGCCACCAGGATCAAACTCTGAGGTTGACTCTGCACCGGAAGAAGAGAGGGTGGAGGAAGAGACAAGGAGTGAGGGCGCTGAGAGGGAGGAGGAAGAGACAAGGAGTGTGGAGGCTGAGAGGGAGGAGGAAGAGACAAGGAGTGTGGAGGCTGAGAGGGAGGAAGAGACAAGGAGTGTGGAAGCAGAGTGGGAGGAGGAAGAGACAAGGAGTGTGGAAGCAGAGAGGGAGGAGGAAGAGACAAGGAGTGTGGAAGCAGAGAGGGAGGAGGAAGAGACAAGGAGTGAGGAAGCAGAGAGGGAGGAGCAAGAGACAAGGAGTGTGGAAGCAGAGAGGGAGGAGGAAGAGACAAGGAGTGAGGAAGCAGAGAGGGAGGAGCAAGAGACAAGGAGTGTGGAAGCAGAGAGGGAGGAGGAAGAGACAAGGAGTGAGGAAGCAGAGAGGGAGGAGGAAGAGACAGGGAGTGAGGATGCAGAGAAAGAGGAGGAAGAGAGGGGGAGTGAGAAAGCAGAGAGTGCGGAGGAAGATGGGGGTAGTGATGATAAAGCAAGGCTGCAGGAGGTTGAAGTAGAGGCTGTAGCGATGGGTGGGGCGGCAGTTGTGGCTGTCGCGGTGCTTGCAGGGGTGGATGGGGCGGCAGCGGACGAGGAGGGTGAGGGGATGCTGGGAGCAGTGGAGGGCAGGGAGCCGTTGGGGGCGGAGGAGGGAGAGGAGAGTGAGGAGGGTAAGGAGAGTGAAGAAGCTGGGGAGAGTGAGGAGAGTGAGGAAGCTAAAGAGGTGAAGGAGGCTAAGGAGGAGCATGAGGAGGCCGAGTCACATTCTGATGATGCTGAGTCACGTTCTGATGATGCTGAGTCACATTTGGATGCTGAGTCACATTCTGACGCTCAGTCACGCTCTGCTGCTGAGTCACGCTCTGATGCTGAGTCACGCTCTTATGATGCTGAGTCACATTCGGATGCTGAGTCACGCTCTGATGCTGAGTCACGTTCTGATGCTGAGTCACGTTCTGATGCTGAGTCATGTTCTGATGCTGAATCACATTCTGATGCTGAGTCGCATGCTGAGTCAGTTTCGGATGCAGCTTCTGCAGTTGCTGTACCTCATTCTCCTGCGGCACCTCATTCTCCTGCGGCACCTCATTCTCCTGCGGCACCTCATTCTCCTGCGGCACCTCATTCTCCTGCAGCACCTCATTCTCCTGCTGTACCTCATTCTCCTGCTGTACCTCATTCTCCTGCTGTACCTCATTCTCCTGCTGTACCTCATTCTCCTGCAGCACCTCATTCTCCTGCTCCACCTCATTCTCCTGCAGCACCTCATTCTCCTGCTGTACCTCATTCTCCTGCTGTACCTCATTCTCCTGCTGTACCTCATTCTCCTGCTGTACCTCATTCTCCTGCTGTACCTCATTCTCCTGCTGTACCTCATTCTCCTGCAGCACCTCATTCGCCAGCTGGGGATGAAGCAGCTGCTCCTCTCAGTGCCCCCTCCTCTCCTACCTCTGCCACCCAGTCGGACTCACCTGCTGTGCCTGAAGCTGCCGCTGCTCCTGACTTGCCTGCTCTGCCTGATTCTCCTGCTGCATCTGAGTCGCCTGCTCTGCCTGATTCTCCTGCTGCATCTGAGTCGCCTGCTCTGCCTGATTCTCCTGCTGCATCTGAGTCGCCTGCTGTGGAAGATTCTCCTGCTGCATCTGAGTCGCCTGCTCTGCCTGATTCTCCTGCTGCATCTGAGTCGCCTGCTCTGCCTGATTCTCCTGCTGCATCTGAGTCGCCTGCTCTGCCTGATTCTCCTGCTGCATCTGAGTCGCCTGCTCTGCCTGATTCTCCTGCTGCATCTGAGTCGCCTGCTCTGCCTGATTCTCCTGCTGCATCTGAGTCGCCTGCTCTGCCTGATTCTCCTGCTGCATCTGAGTCGCCTGCTGTGGAAGATTCTCCTGCTGCATCTGAGTCGCCTGCTCTGCCTGATTCTCCTGCTGCATCTGAGTCGCCTGCTCTGCCTGATTTTCCTGCTGCATCTGAGTCGCCTGCTCTGCCTGATTCTCCTGCTGCATCTGAGTCGCCTGCTCTGCCTGATTCTCCTGCTGCATCTGAATCACATGCCATACCTCATTCACTTGCCATGCTTGACTCACCTGCTGGGGGGGATGAACCACCTGATTCTCTCAGCTCTGCCTCCTCTCCTGCCTCTGACACCCATTCGGTGGCTCTAATTGAGAGAGAGAAGGAGGAGAGCGGGGTGACACCTGCTATATTAGATTCGTCTGCAATGCCTGATTTCCCTGCTTTACCTTACACACCTGATTCGCCTGCCGCACCTGACTCACCTGCTGCACCTGATTCACCTGCTGCACTTGAAACACCTGGCGCACCTGATTCAGCTGCCATACCTGATTCGCCTGCCGCACCTGATTCACCTGCCGTACCTGATTCAGCTGCTGTACCTGATTCGCCTGCCGGAGCTGAACCAGCTGCTCCTTTCAGCCCTGCCTCTCCGGCTGCGTCTGACTCCGAGTTGGTGGCTCAAGTTGAGAGTGGGGAGGAGGAGGAGAGGGTAGTGGCGCCTGCTGTTTCTGCTTCTCCTGCTATATCTGATTCTCCTGGCGCTGATTCACCTGCAGCATTTGAAACACCTGTCGTACCCGATTCACCTGCTGCTGCACCTGATTCACCTGACTCACCTGATTCACCTGCTGCTGCACCTGATTCACCTGACTCACCTGATTCATCTGCCGCATTTGAAACACCTGCTGTACCTGATTCACCTGCCACAGCTGAGGAAAGTCAAAGGGAGGAGGAGAAAGGTGAAAGGGAGGAGGAGGAAAGTGAAAGGGAGGAGGTGGAAAGTGAAAGGGGAGAGGTGGAAAGTGAAAGGGAGGAGGAGAAAAGTGAAAGGGAGGAGGTGGGAAGTGAAAGGGAGGAGATGGAAAGTGAAAAGGAGGAGGTGGAAAGTGAAAGGGAGGAGGTGGAAGAGGAGGAAGGAAAGTGGGAAGAGGAAAAAGAGGAGGAGAGAGGAGACGAGGCAAGGGGAGAGGTGGAGAGAAATGAAGAGGAAGCAGAGACGAGGCAAGAGGAGGAGAGGGGAGAGGAGGAAAGAGAAGATGACGGAGAGGAGAAGGTAGAAGAGGAGGAGAACAGAGTGGAGGTGATAGAGGAGGAGAAGGCGAAGAGAGACGGTGTGTCAGTGGCAGAGGAAGGGACGGAAAAAACTGGAGACCTTGAGAGAGAGAGCATGAACCGAGAGGGTGAGGAGGGAGAGAGTGTGGTGGGAGAGAGTGTGGAGGGAGAGAGTGTGGTGGGAGAGAGTGTGGAGGGAGAGAGTGTGGCGGGAGAGGGCGCAGAGGGGGAGGATAATGTGGCAGTGCCGGCAGGTGATGCAAGCGTGAGTGGCCAGAGCGCACCAGAGGCTTCTTCGAAGAGAATTGAAGCGTCAGAGCCTGCGCCAGTGGAAGGCGTAGAAGCCATGGAAGGAGAAGCAGCGGCGGAGGGAGAAGAAGCAGTGGAAGGATCAGCAGTGGTGCAAGGGTCAGCAGCGTTGGAAGGAGAAGAAGATGTGGAAGGAGAAGAAGATGTGGAAGGATCAGCAGCAACACCGGTGGCTGAAGCACCAGAAGCAAGGGAGGACGGGCAAGCAGCAGCAGTTGAGACAACACCCCCCTTGGTGGAGCAGACGCAAGCAGAAGCAATGACAGCAGGAACTCCTCTGGTTGACACCGTTCGCCCTCTTCCCACCCACTCCTCGTCCCTTGCTGTTCCCTCTCCTCCCTCTCCTCTCCCTGCGCCCTCTGTTCCATCTGCTCCCGCTGTTCCCTCTCGCCCTGCCAACTCTTGGATCCGCCCGGCACAGCCGTCTTCCCACTCCGGCTCTGATTCCGAATCTGACTGGTCCGACTCCGAACCTGCACCCAAGCCTGTGCCCATCCGAGCCTGGAGGGCAGGCATGCCGAGTGCAGCAGCAGAAGCACCAGCCCCTGTGCCTGCTGCCGCTCCTGTTGTCCAAACTGCAGCGGTGGGGCGACTGCGGAGTGACTTTCTCAACCGCTTCCAGCAGCAGCAGCAGCAGCAGCAGCAGCAGCAGCAGTCGGAGCAGCCCTCTGTGCCTCCTCTTAGGTCTCCACAGCAGCAGCAGCAGCGGCAGCAGCAGCAGCAGGTGGAGGGAGAGAAGGAGGGAGAGGAAGAGGGTACGGCGATAATGGAGGTGAAAGAAAGGGTTATGTCAGCGGAAGATGATGACAGGGAGGAAGTGATAGTGACAGAGAGTGAGGAGGAGAGAGCGGTTAAGGAAGAGCGAGTGGAAGGTAGCGAGGAAGATAGAGTGGAGGCGTCTGTGGCAGAAAGAGTGGGTGTTGTCGAGAGAGTGGGGGGTAAGGAAGCAAGGTTGGATGAGAAAGAGAGGGTGGAAGGGAGGGAGGAGGAGAGGGTGGAAGAGAGTGAGGAGGAGAGGGTGGAAGATGGCAAGGAGAGTGAGTTAGCGAGTAAGGAGGAGAGGATGGAAGAGAGGGTGGAAGAGGAAGAGAGGGTTGAAGAAAGTAAAGATGAGAGGATAGAGGAGGAAGAGGAGGAAAAGGAAACGAGAGAGGAAGAAATGGAGGAAGAGGGTGAGGAGGAGAGAGTGGGCGAGGGTAAGGAGGCTGAAGAGGAAGTAAAGGAAGAAAGAAAAGAAGAGGTTGAGGAGGAGACTAAGGGAGAAATAAAAGAAGAGGTTGAGGAGGAGACTAAGGGAGAAATAAAAGAAGAGGTTGAGGAGGAGATGAAGGGAGAAATAGAAGAAGAGGCTAAGGAGGAAATCAAGGGAGATGGTGTCTCAGCTGTCTCCTCCCCTCCCTCACTCGGCTCACCTCCACTTCCCACTCTCCTCCCTTCACCTCAACCTTCCCTACCCAGCACCACCATCGAGCCACTTTCAGAGTCGACTCAAAATGCAGCTCCCACGCTCTCCCCTTCACCTTCTCAGACCCCCCCACCTGATGCCGTTACCACCAAGCCACATGCACCAGCCGTTACCATCAAGCCCTGCGCTGCAGACTCGTGGATGAGGCGACCTAATCAGGCCTCGGATTCAGGCTCGGACTCTGACTGGTCCGACTCCGAACCTGCGCCCAAGCCTGTGCCAAACCGGGCCTGGAGGGCAGGTGAGGTGAGTGGTGTGGCGGCGGTAGCAGCAGCGCCTGCTGCCTCTCCTGCTGCCCAACCTGCAGCAGTGGGGCGACTGCGGAGTGACTTCCTCAACCGCTTCCAGCAGCAGCAGCAGCAGCAACAGCAGTTGGACCAACCCTCTGTGCCACCCCTTAGCTCCCCACAGCAGCGGCAGCATCAGCAGGAGGAGAGAGAGGAGGAGAGAGTGGAGGCGAGAGGGGAAGATAGAGTGGAAGCGAGAGAGGACGAGAGTGTGGGGAGTAAGGAAGCAAGGGTAGACGAGGAAGAGAGGATGGAAGAGGGTGAAGAAGAGCGGGTGGAAGAGGGTAAGGAAGCGAGAGAGAAAGAGGGTGAGGAAGAGAGGGAGCAAGAGGCTAAGGAGGAGAGAGAGGAAGTGGGTGAGGAGGAGACAGTGCAAGAGGCTACAGAAGCAATAGAGAAAAAGGGTGAGGAAGAGAGGAAAGAAGAGGGTAAGGAGGAGACAGTGGGCAAGGGTGAGGAGGAGAGAGTGGAAGTGGGTGAGGAGGAGAGAGCGAAAGAGGTTGAGGAGGAGAGAGTGGAAGAGGGTGAGGAGGGGAGAGTGGAAGAGGCTTCGGAAGCGAGAGAGGAGAAGGGTGAGGAGGAGAGGAAGGAAGAGGGTAACAAAGAGAGTGCAGAAAAGGGTGAAGAGGAGAGAGAGGAAGCGAGTAAGGAGGAGAGGATGGAAGTGGAAGAGAGGGTGGAAGAGGAAAAGGAAGAGAGGGAGGAAGAGGGTAAGGAGAAGAGGGAGGAAGAGAGTAAGGAAGAAACAGCAGAAGAGCCAAAGGAAGAAAGAGAGGAGGAAGTGAAGGGCGAGAAGGATGCTAAGGAGGAGACAATGGGAGATCATGTATTGGCTGTGCCTTCCCCTCTCGCACCATCATCCTCGCTTCCTCCCACCACCACCCCTCCAGCTCAACATCCCACCACAGCCATAACCTTCAATCCACGTGCCCCAGATTCCTGGATGAAGCAGCAGCAGACCCACTCCGACTCAGGTTCGGACTCTGACTGGTCCGACTCCGAGCCTGCGCCCAAGCCTGTGCCAATCCGAGCCTGGAGAGCAGGTGCGGGGAGTGGTGTGACGGCAGTGGCAGCAGCAGCAGCGCCTGCCGCTTCTCCTCCCTCTCAACCAGCAGCGGTGGGGCGACTGCGGAGTGACTTCCTTAACCGCTTCCAGCAGCAGCAACAGGCGGAGCAGCCGGAACAACCCTCTGTGCCACCCGTTAGGTCCCCACACCAGCAGCAGCAGCCGGAGCAGCCCTCTGTTCCTCCTCTTAGGTCTCCACAGCAGCAACCGCAGCACGCTTCTGAACGGCAAGAAGAGGAGAGGGCAGAGCAGCAGTACCAGGAGCAGCAGCAGCAAGAGCACCAGCAGCAGATTCTCTCTGATTCTGCTGCTGCTGCTGCTTCTGCTGCTGCTGCTGCAAATGTTGGTGATATTCCTGGCGGTTCCGGTGATGTTACTGGAGCAACAGCAGAGGCTGGAGCAGTAGCAACAACAGGGGCAGAAACGGCACTGGCAGCTGTTGCTGGGGATGAGGTTGGAGAGGGAGAGGGGGCTCACGGGGTGCAAGGGGAAGAGGGTAGTGTTGGGCTGGAGGCGCAGTCAGGTGAATTGTCAGGTGGAGAGGTTTTACGAGACGACCTGGTCTCGGCTGACGTGGCATCAGGCCCATCCTCTCCTGTGCCAGCTGACGTGGCATCAGGTCCATCCACTCCTGTGCCAGCTGACGTGTCAGCAGATGCACCATCTTTACCTGACCCGTCCACTCATCCAGCAATGGTTGACCCCTCCCCTCCCGCCCTCTCCTCCCCTCAGCCTCTTTCCTCCTTGCAGCCCCTCTCTTCCCCTCAGCCTTCCACTCCTTCTCACCGCACTGCACCTCCCGTTACCATCAAGCCTCGCGCAGCAGACTCATGGATGAAGCGACCCAATCAGGACTCCGACTCAGGCTCGGATTCTGACTGGTCCGACTCCGAACCTGCGCCCAAACCTGTGCCGATCCGAGCCTGGGGGCCAGGCATGGCAAGCGCAGCGGCAGCAGCAGCAGCAGCACCGGCCCCTGTGCCTGCCACCTCTCCTGCTGCCCAACCTGCAGCAGTGGGGCGACTGCGGGGTGACTTCCTCAACCGCTTCCAGCAGCAGCAGCAGCAGCCGGAGCAACCCTCTGTGCCTCCTCTTAGGTCTCCACAGCAGCAGCAGTTGGCTGTGTCTCCTCGTGCACAACCCGTCGGTGCTGCTGCTGCTTCTGCTGATACAGCTGGCACTGCTGATTCTGCTACTGCTGCCGTGGCAACTGAAAGCGCTTCTTCTGCTGATGCCGTTTCCAGTGCAGCAGCCGTTGCGGGTGCAACAGCAGTGGCTGCTGCGGCTGTAGCTGCCGCTGCACCTGCTGTCATGGAGCGCCGGGAACAGGGAGAGCTGGATAGCGGAGAGGGGGGCATTACCAAGGTAGAGGAGGAGGGAAGTGATTCTGAAACTGGTGGAGGAGAGGATGGTGGAAGCACGAGAGCACCTGTGGTTGCTGAAGGTCCGCTTGCTGCTGCTGTGGGGGAGTTGTCTGCTGAGGTGGCATCAGAAGCACCTGCTGACGTGGCAGCGGAAGCACCTGCTGACGTGGCAGCGGAAGCACTTGCTGAGGTGGAGGAGCAGGAGAATGAGGCACGGGAGGAAGAGAAGGAGGAGGAAGAGGGTGGAGAAGGCGGAGAGGAGGAAAAGGAGGAGCATGAGAAAGACGAGGAAGAAGAGAAGGAAGCAGAGGTAGAGGGAGTGGAGGGTGCAAAAGGGGAGGAGGTCGGAGAGGGGGAGGAGGGTGCAGAGGAAGAGGAGGAAGGTGGGAGTGAAGCAGGAGAAGAATCCACTGAGGTGACTGTAGAAGTAACAGAGGAATATGAAGAGGTGACTGTAGAGGAAACTGAGGAGTATGAAGAGGTGACTGTAGAGGAAACCGAGGAGTATGAGGAGGTGACAGTCGAAGTGACAGAGGAATATGAGGAAGTGACTGTAGAAGTAGAGGAAACGGGAGAATACGAGGAGGTGACTGTGGAAGTAGAGGAAACGGGAGAATATGAGGAAGTGACTGTAGAAGAAACGGGAGAATATGAGGAGGTGACTGTAGAAGAAACAGGAGAATACGAGGAAGTGACTGTAGAGGTAACTGAGGAATACACTGAAGAGGAAGTTACTGTAGAGGTTACAGAGGAAGTCACAGACGAGGATAAATCCGAGGAGGCAGCAGAGGAAGGAACAGGAGCAGCAGGTGGAAAAGTGGGAGAAAGCGCAGAGGGACAAGAGGTGGAAGAGGAGCAACAGGAGGAAGAGCAGGAGGAGGAACAGGAGGAGGAGCAGGAGCAGGAGGAGCAGGAGGAGCAGGAGGAGCAGGAGGATGAGCACGAGGAGGAGTATGAAGAATATGAGGAGCAGGAAGAGGAAGAAGAGGAAGAGGAGGAGGAGGCAAGCGAAAAAGAGAGCACAAACAGCAGCAGCAGGGAAAGCAGCCCGAGGAACAAGCCGGAAGAGAAGCAAGAGGAGGAGGATGAGGAAGCGAGGATAAAGCGGCAGGAGCAGGAGGAGCGGAACGCGGAGGAGCAGCGGGCGCTGCGGCTGCGGGTGGCGAGTATGAAGCGGTTCAACGTGGTGCTGGGGGAGCTGCGCTTCCGCCAGGGCATCCGCGATGAGGGGGAGGGGGAAGGAGGCGGAGGTGGAGGCGGAGGGGGGAGTGAGGGGAGCGGGACGGGCGCGTGTGGGACAGGAGGTGGAGGTGCTGTGGGGCAAGCTGGGGGAGCAGGCGCTGGGGGAGCAGGCGCTGGGGGAGCAGGCGCTGGGGGTCCTGTTGCGCTTCCTGCCATGGCTGCTGCTGCTGCCGCTGGTCGCCAGGCCAATCCTCATAGTCCGGGCAAGGTAAGCTGCCGGTTTCTGCCTACTCTGTTCTGACTTCCTTGCTCTTATTGCCGTTCCTGCCATGGCTGCTGCTGTTGCTGCTGCTGCGGCTGGTGGTCGCCAGGCCAACGCTCACAGTCGGGGCAAGGTGATCCGCATCGCATGCTCCACTTGTAGATAGCCTGGAGTCCCAACCCCCACATTCTACCAATGTCGTGACAACCTTCCCCTTTCGCTCTTATCCTCCACCCCTTCCACCCCCTTCACAGCGGTCACGCATGCTGTCGCTGGTGGCGTCACAGGGCCTGCACGTGCCGGCCAGTGCAGTGACTCGGGAAATCATGGGGCTCACAGGGGGGAGTGCTGGGCTGGGGAGTCGGAGCATGGTGGTTCGGGACAGCATGGGGCGTGCGGGAGGGGGCGGTGCTAACCTGGGGCTGAGTCGGAGCATGGTGGTTCGGGACAGCATGGGGCGTGTGGGAGGGGGCGGTGCTAACCTGGGGCTGAGTCGGAGTATGGTGAAGGAGAGAAAACGGCCTTCGCTGCTGGATAGTAGTGGTAGCGAGGAGGAAGAGGAAGAAGAGGAGGAGGAAGAGGAAGAAGTGGAGGAAGAGGAGGTGGAGGAGGAGGAGGGAGAGGAAGAGGATGATAATGATGAGGAGGGTGAGGGTGGAGCAGAGGAAGGGGAGGGAGAAGAGGAGGAAGAGGAAGAAGAGGAGGGGGAGGAGGAAGAGTATGGAGAGGCGGAGGAGGAGGAGGAAGAGGGGGGAGAGGGGGGAGAGGGGGGAGAGGGGGGAGAGGAGGATGCACAGGAGGAAATAGATGGAGTGGAGCAAAAAGAGAATGAGGAGGAGGAGGAGGAGAAGAATGAGGCGGAGAATGAGGAGAACGCGGAGGAGGAAGAGAAGGAGGAGAACGAGGAGAACGAGGAGCAGGAGGACTTAGAGCACGAAGATATGGAGGTTGGGGGCGAGGAGAGTTGGAAGATGGAAGAGGCGGAGGAGGGTCTAGGTGAAGGGGAATCAGCTGAGGAGGACGATGAGAACAACGAGGAGGAGGAGGTAGAGCAGGAGGAGCTGGAGGAGGACGCAGGTGAGGAGGAAGAGGAGAATGAGGAGGTAGCGCACGAGACAGAGCACACCGATATGGAGGCTGGGGGTGAAGAATCTGGGAGTACGGAGGAGGCTAAGGTCGCTCCAGCTCAAGGGGGTTTAGCTGAGGAGGAAGAGGAGAATGAGGAGGTAGAGCACGAGACAGAGCACACCGATATGGAGGTTAGGGGCGGGGAGACTTGGGACATGGAGGAGGCTGAGGATGCTCCCGCTGAGGAGAGCCCAGTTGAGGCAGGAGGAGGAGCGGATGAGGAAGCAGGCAGTGATTCTGCCAAAGACCCCCTGCTGCTGAATGTGTCTGAGGGTGAGGGGCGAGTGAAGGCCCTTGCTGCTGCTATGCTGTCGCCTCCTGCTGCTGCTGCTGATACCACCACTGCATCCCCTAAAGAGGCGGTGGCGTTAGGTGTTGCTGGGGGGCGTGTGAAGGCTCTTGCTGCTGTGATGGCGTCTGCTGCTGCTGATACCACCAGTGCACCCTCTAACAAGGCTGCGACTGTGGACGTTTCTGCCGGGAGGGTGAAAGCACTGGCTGCTGTGGTGGCTTCTTCTGCTTCTGATGACGCCACCAGTGCAACCTCTAAGGAACCGGCGACTCTGAATGTTGCAGAGGGGCGTGTGAAGGCTCTTGCTGCTGTGGTGGCGTCTGCAACTCCTGACACCACAGCTGCAGCCCCTAAAGAGGCAGCAACTATAAATGTTCCTGGCGGGCATGTGAAAGCTCTTGCTGCCATGGTTGCGTCAACTGCTGCTCCTGCTGACGCCACCAGTGCATCCCCCAAAGAGGCGGCGGCTGTAGATATCGCTGGCGGGCGTGTGAAAGCTCTTGCTGCTGTGGTGGCGTCTGTGGGTGCTGCTGACGCCGCCAGTGCACCCTCTAAAGAGTCAGCGGGTCTAGATGTTGCTGGGGGGCGTGTGAAAGCTCTTGCTGCCTCTGTGGCTGCTCCTGCTGCTGCTGATACCACCAGTGCACCCCTTGAAGAGGCAGCGGCTCTAGATGTTGCAGAGGGGCGTGTGAAGGCTCTTGCTGCTGCGGTGGCATCCACTGCTGCTGCTGACGCCACCAGTGCACCCCCTAAAGAGGTGGTGGTGACTGGAGACGTTGCTGAGGGACGGGTGAAGGCTCTTGCTGCCTCTGTGGCTGCTCCTGCTGCTGCTGATACCACCAGTGCACCCCTTGAAGAGGCAGCGGCTTTAGATGTTGCAGAGGGGCGTGTGAAGGCTCTTGCTGCTGCGGTGGCATCCACTGCTGCTGCTGACGCCACCAGTGCACCCTCTAAAGAGGTGGTGGTGACTGGAGACGTTTCTGAGGGACGGGTGAAGGCTCTTGCTGCCTCTGTGGCTGCTCCTGCTGCTGCTGATACCACTAGCGCACCCCGTAAAGAGGCATCGGCTCTAGATGTTGCAGAGGGGCGTGTGAAGGCTCTTGCTGCTGTGGTGGCTTCTGTGGCTGCTGCTGACTCTGTCAGTGCAACACCTAAAGGTGCGGCGAGTCCTGATGTTGCAGAGGGGCGTGTGAAGGCCCTGGCTGCTGTGGTGGCGCTATCGTCTGCTGCTGCTGATACAACTGCGGATAGCACTGCTGATACCACCGATGCTTCTGCAAAGGATTCGCCTCTTGAAGTTGCAGAGGGGCGTGTGAAGGCCCTGGCTGCTGCTGTTGTGGCGTCCGCTGTTGATGATACTAATGCTGACAGCAACGGTGCACTCTTACACAACCCGTCATTCGAGGTTGCAGAGGGGCGGGTGAGGGAGCTTGCTGCTCTCGCTGCCTCTGCTGCTGCAAACAACAGTGCTGGAACGGCCAGCGGTGCTCCAAAGGACTCCTCTCTGGATGCTGTTGAGGGCCGTGTGAAGGCTCTAGCTGCTCTTGCTGCTACTGGTGCTGACGGCAGTGTTAGTACAGTCGGTGCTGCTTCAAAGGACTCAGCCTCGCTGGAGGTTGGAGAGGGGCGGGTGAGAGAGCTTGCTGCACTTGCTGCCTCTGCTGCTGCCAATAACAGTGCTGAAACTGCTGACAGTAGTCCAAAGGACTTCTCTCTGGAAGCTGGCGAGGGCCGCGTGAAGGCCCTGGCTGCTCTTGCCGCCTCTGCTGCTGACGGCAGTGCTGATACAGTCGGTGCTGCTTCAAAGGACTCAGCCTCTCTAGAGGTTGGAGAGGGGCGTGTGAGAGAGCTCGCTGCTCTGGCTGCCTCTGCTGCTGCAAACAACAGTGCTGAAAGCACCGGCGGTGCTTCAAAGGATTTGGCATCTCTGGAGGTTGGAGAGGGGCGTGTGAGAGAGCTCGCTGCTCTGGCTGCCTCTGCTGCTGCCAACAGCACTGCACCTGCTGGCGCTGCTTCAAAGGAATCGGTCTCTCAAGAATTTGCAGAGGGGAGGGTGAAGGCTATGGCTGCACTTGCTGCCTCTGCTGCTGCTGTGGCGACTGCTGCAAGCACTGCTGCTCCTCTCCGGTCCTCCCAAACTTCTCTCCCAGCCACCTCATCTGATTCTACCACCTCCTGCAACAGTATCAGTCAGGGCGATTCTAACAGCAATGGTGAACCCACCACGCTGTATGGCACTGAGAAGAGCATCCAGCAGCAGCAGAATCTGCACTACCCTGCTCCCTCCCCCCGCCTCATCCACCGCCCCTACTCCCCGTCACCGCGCTCCATCCCTCACTCCCCATCCGCTCATCTCCCCTGCTACACGCGCTGCCCCTCCACCCATCTCGTGAGTCCCATTCGCCCCCGTGGAAGCTTCAGCCCCAGTAGGTTCCGGGCATTTGATGCTGCAGCTGTAGCAGCAGCAGCCTTAGCAGGAGTTTCCCCTCAGCGCCGTCGGTCCCCGTCGCCGAACCTCCCCCGGTATTCTGCCTCTCCTGGTGCCCATCCTAGCGGCTTTCCCATCCGAACCTCGTCCGTGAGCCCGAGCCAGTCGCCCATGAGCCGAGGACTGCCTCCAAGGTTGCCGCCGAGGTTCGGCAGCAGCGTGAGGTTCGGTGGGGGTGCGAGGGACCTGAGGTTTGGCGAGTTCCGTGATTCGTCGAGAGATTCAGATTTCCGCGAGGGGGCGGGGAGGAGAGGTGCTGGCATGGGGGAGGTAGGGGGAGGAGGAGCAGGAGGGGTTGGGGGTTTGGGGAATGGCGGAGGGAGTGGGGGATACAGCAAATCTCGGTCGTTGGATCGACAGATAAGAGTGGGATCACCAGGAGGGATGGTGGGAGGTGCGGGGGAAGTGCTTATAATGAAGGGCAGTGGGGACATAGATGGAGAAGGGCACGAGGAGGAAATGCTGGGGGATGATGCAGACAGCGAGGAGGAGAGAGGAGAGGAAGATGAAGGGGAGGATGAGGACGATGCGGAGGAGGGAGAGGAGGAGCGAGAGGAGGAGGGTCCAGCGAGTGAGGGCATGCAGACAGGATGGCCAGCAGCTGCAACAGTGCCTTCAAGCGAGGCCAGCGGCAGTGGCGACAGCAACAGCGTTGCTGCTACCAGCAATGGTGGCAGCAGCATGGGCAAGACATGGAAGGACATTCTGCTCTCTGTGAAAGCAGCGACTCAGCCCGGAGCAGCTGTTCCCGGTTCGAATGCAGGGAGGCAAGAGGGTGCAGGCGCTGCTGCCCTGGCGGCTGTAGCGGCGGAGGTTGTAGCGGGAATGCACGGAGGCAGGGAGGGAGGGATGGGTGATGTGGCTGGGGTGTTGGGGAATGGATCATTGGTGTTTGGTGCGCCTCACGTTGAGGAAACGGGGGGGATGGCAGGTAAGGCAGTGGGGGCGATTGGAGAGACGCATGGGGAGGGGTGCCGGCAGGAGGGATGGAAGAGGGCGAGAAGCGTGGCGACTGGGGTATGGGCAGGTGGGCAGCAGCATTGGGGTGTGGCGGAGGGGGGGATGGGCAGGGAGATAATGGCTGAAGGGATGGAGAAAGTAGAGAAGGCTCGGTTCACGGAAGGAACAGTGATGGTGGCTGATACAGTGGTAGAAGGAAAAGAGATACGTGGGGGGGAAGGCGAAGGTGTGGAGAGCGGTGGGGCTGGGAAAGGAGAGGCAGAGGGAGGAGCAGAGGGAGGAGCAACAGAGGATGTAGCTGCAATCAGCAGCAGCGAAGGTGCAGAGGGGAGAGGGAGGGTGGAGGAGTGGGGGGAGCAGAGTCCCATTAGGGAGCTGCTGGGGGCGTTGGAGTCTCCCACCAGATGGGCTCACCTGTGTGCCAAGATGGAGCAGCAGAGGCAGCTGTTTGAAGCCCAAGGTATGCTAATGTTGCTGTTCGGAAGGTCTTCATTTATTTGCAACTCTGGCTGCAGTTCCGGCACAGACTTTTCATTCCTCCCTTCGGTTTTTGGGACGTCTCAAAATTCTTCTTAATCATCATCCGCCTCCTTACTATACCTTGTCCTCCCTTCTCTCCCTCCTTTCGACTTTCCCACCAGATGACTCTAAAGCCACCCAGCTATCGGATCTGCCGGACGAGTTCATCGTCCAGATCCTCTCTCGACTCACCGACCCGCTCGACTGGGCGGCATGCCTCGTCCTATCCCGGCGCTTCGCCGCCCTCTCCTGCCTCGCGCTACAAGCGCTCTACCTCCTCCCGAACCGCCTGCTCCCCAAGCCTCTGCTGGCTCGGTACCTAGCCTGTTACCCGAACATGGCATTGCTGTACCTGCCCTGGAATAGCCTGGAGGTTGAAGGGGACGATGTTTTCGAGATGATTGCTGCATCCAGATTGGAGCTGCAGGCTCTGCACATTGATGTCTTCCCTGGTTACAATGTAAGTTGGTGTAATAGACATCTGCTAGACTGCTATGCGTTTTTTCTGTGAGTTTGGATGGAAAACTTTGACTATCTGTGCTGTTCAGAAACGATTTAAGAACCATCTTTGTTTGTCCTAATTTTATAGAGGTTCCTTTTTAGCTCCCCAATTCTCATATCTTCCCCATCTCCCCTCCTCTCCCTCTCCCCCCATCACCCACAGGAGCGCACCTATGCAAGAACACCAGCAGGCCTCACCACCCTCTTCACCTCCCTCCCCTCCCTCCGCTCTCTCTCGCTCTGCACCGGCCGATTCATACGCTCCCTCCCGGCCTCCATCGCCCGCCTCTCGCTCTTAGAGGAGCTGCTTATAATGAATCAGTCTTCGAAGCTCGGTTTGCGTTCTCTTCCACCTGCCCTCGGTCAGCTTTCGAATCTTCGCCGCCTCGTGCTGGACTCCTGCTTGCAGCTCCCTACGCTGCCCGAGGAAATTGGGCAGCTGACTGGATTGGAGGAGCTGGAGCTGCTGAGTCTGGATTGTCTACGCCAGCTGCCCGAAACTATCGGGCAGCTTCAGCGCCTGAAATGGTTCAAGATGTGCTGGTGCATGTCAGTTCGCAGCCTGCCCGAGAGCATCGGGCAGCTGAAAGAATTGGAGGAGATGGTGATCAACATGGCAGCAAGTGAAACTTGGCTGGGCAGCCTAAAAGAGCTTCCTCAATCTTTCGGTCAGCTCTGCTCCCTGCGGTTCCTGAAGATTGTCGGCTGCCCGTTGATGCTGGATCTGCCCGAATCTTTCGGGCAGCTTTATCAGCTAGAAGAATTTGTCTTCGACAACAAGGGCTTTGCAGAGGAGTCCGAAGCTTGCGGACTTTTATCCCTGCCCGACTCCTTCGGGCAGCTGACAAGTCTAGTGCGATTGGAGCTCCGCAACTGCTTCGCCCTCACCTCCCTGCCCGAATCTCTGGGGCAGCTTCCGTACCTCTACTCGCTGAAGCTCATTGGCTGCTATTCTCTCGCCACGTTGCCCGAATCTCTGGGCAGCTCGGGCAGCCTCCAGCTGTTTCTTGTGGATAACAAGGTGGATGATGATGAGGATGAGGAGGATGAGGATGGGGAGGAGGGTGAGGAGGAGGATGGGGAGGAGGATGGGATGAGCATAGTGAGCCATTCAACGGCCTTGGACATGCATATGAGCATGAACGGCACTGACGACACCGCTGCCAGCGACGATGGCGCAAGCACCGGCAGAAACGGGGACGAAGAAAATCACAATAGTTATGGTCATGACAATGTTGACGATAATGAGGAGGATGATGAGGAGGATGAGGATGATGATGGTCCGAGTGGTCTGCTCACCCTGCCGGCATCCATGGGCATCACCCCATCAGCCATGTGCAATCTGCGCCAGCTGGTCCTACGAGCCAACGTCTCCCTCACCGCCCTCCCGCCCGCCTTCTTCTCTCTCCGCCTCCTCGAAAGCCTCGTCCTCGACTTCACTGAGACCAGAAACCGGGAGTCATTCTCAGACCTGCCAGTGAATTCTCCCAGCCGCCTGGGCTCTCGATCAGCGTCTCAGGCATCGCTCTCTGGTCTCGCTGCAGGGAGCAGCGCAGTTGGTATGGGCACAGGCAGCGATGCGGTTACCACAGAGACAGGCGGTGGGATAAACTCTTCCCTCATGTTGATTCTGCCGGCTGATTTGCCACCCACACCGGAGAAGAAAACCAAGCCTGCCGGGATAGCTGAGCTTCCAGAGGAGATTTCCCAGCTGGTTAGTCTTCGGCGGTTGGATCTGATTGGCTGCTCGAAGCTTTCCAAGCTGCCCGAGTCTCTGGGCAGCCTTCAGTTTCTGCAGAGGCTGGTGGTGGCATTCTGTCCAGCCATTCAGGCTCTCCCGGCTGGCGTCGGGCAGCTGAAATTCCTCCAGACTTTTGTTGTCCAGAACTGCCCGAATCTGCTGTACCTGCCCGACTCATTGACAGCATTGGCTGGGCTGCCCGAGCTGTGCATAGATGAGAAATCTGTGGGTGTGAAGATTCCAGAGCATTTGTTGAGGCTGCCTGGGTTCCGCCGTGACAGCTGTTTCTTTGAAGACCGGCTCTTCATTGACCTGGTTGAGTAGATTACTGTTGAGTTCTTCTTGGCCCTTGTGTCCACAATGTGATGTGGTGATACCTTTTACAAGCCTCTTGTTGTACAGTGTATGATGTTCAATAATCAACCATTTTACCTGATTTTTCTATTACTCAATATTTTGCATGGAGTGACGATTTATGAGATCAGGATATCAATACAGCTGGAAGTCTCCTACCGTACCACTTTGCACCATCATAACCAGCAAAATGCTCCTGATGAGATGAAGTACCAGCAGACCATTCAGTCGTCCAGAGCCCACAACGCTGATGTGACTGTGTGGAATAGTTGGTTACATCCTGGAGTCTGCTTTGAGGTATGGGACCGCGCTCTTTGGTGCATTTCGCGCTGCATGTGTCAGTTTCGGTGTCACATGTGACAACATCGGAACCAACGCCCCTGTCCCAATTGCGACCATCCGAGTCTGACAGCCGTCCTGCCACTCCGCGCGTTTGTCGGACACAGACTGTAACGCGCACGTCTTGAGGCTTGTTTTAGCGCCGTGCGGATCCGGGCATGTCTGATTCTCGATACCCCTCCTCATGCGCGGGACATACCTGATACGAGCCCCTGCTAGGCATGGGGAGAAATTGCGTTAGAATACACAAATCACTATGTAAGCATGACAAGAAATCTGGTTTGCGCTTGCATTGCTTGTGACCGAAGCCGTGCGTACCTTCAGCAGCGAGGAGCAGAGCGAGCAGGATGAGGGGGAGGAGGAGCGCGCGGGATGCCATGAAAGAAGGAAATCTAATCAACAATGCCGAAAGGGTCGATACTTCTGCTAGCTGAGGGTGGAGAATAAGAAGAGACGCAAGAGTTTGTGAAGGATTGGCTGCAGTGTGAAATATCGAGAATCAGGTATTGCTCTTTTAAATAAGAACCGCTCGCTTGTCGCGCTTCGATGTGCCATTTCTGAGAAGGACAGCAAGCCGCGTCACAAGCATATGCGATAGGTGCTGTACTATCCCTGGTTCGACGAAAAAAATCCCGGCTTGCACGTGTGGCATGACAGCATTTCGCGTCGCTGGCGCCAGCGATTATCGGCATTGCGCTGTGACGAAAAAAACTCGTGTTCGAACGGACATGATTGGAGGAGCATATGTGTTCTGCTGTGAATTGTGTTGAACTGAAAGCTGCTTTCTTCGAGGAAATCACTGTGAGTATGATGACAGGAGGAAGAGCTTAGCGAGGAGGTGTTCCTTTAGCGAAGTACGGGTCACTGTCTCCGAACCAGAACCTGGCTACACAATCCCAGTTTTGAGGGATGACCAGATTTGATGGGTTTAAACGCGGTTTTTTTTTACAGTGGCGGTGTGTCGCTGAAACCCTATATTGCTGGCTTGTGTGAAGGACCAGTGTGCTCGTACCAAGCCGTTCCGAGGTCAGGAGCAGATGAGAAAAAGGGTCTAATCCTTTGGAGGATGTCGAGTCTTTGAAACGGTACACTACAGGACAGCTCGATATTACTTATAGAGCATCATACCCCAAGTTTCCCCCACTTTTTAGCACATGAGGCCTTTTTCACTGTAGACATCTGAGGGAACCCACCGTCACTCTCCAGGTACAATTATTTAGACTGGACCATCACCATTGTTTCACATGATTCAAGTCCCGTGTTGGTAGGAGCAGCAGGATAAAAATATAAGGGATGCGCTGAGCTCTGTTACTAATCAGTCCCGCCATTGACGACGCCAGCAATGGGCGTCTATATCGCGACAGCAGCGGCGTCGTACATCTGTCTCTCGCTCAACCTCACGCTCTGCCACTTGTACAGAGCGTCGCCTTCGCCCGCCGATGCCGTCGCAGGCTCCGTGCCTGTCGCACGGACAGTCGTCGTGTCGTCGTCTCCCGCAGAATGCGGCGAGAGGGTATCTATTCGCGCGACGAGCGCACTCGCTTCGACAATGCGCGACTTTCAGAGTGTCGCCGGCCAGTTGAGGTGGGTAGGTTTCGCACAGGTTATCCCCTTCATTAGCTACTCCGTTAGGCTCGGTCTCGTATTCTTATCGCGTGTGTTCGCGACTGTTGGTGGGGAGGCTCAATAGGGCAAAGCGTTCAGGAATATTCGAAATGTTAAGAAAGTCAACCAAGTCAAACCCGAGCGATCAAGCCAGCGAGGGTAGCAAATCGCAATGGCACGTCGCGCGTGGACCGATACATCGTATCTGGACTCATTTGCTTTGCACGAGCGAAGTCGGTTCGCCGAATGTGGACATGCCACGACGTAGGCGAACCAGGACGTGTTGTATCTTGCTGTCTTCACATGGTTCTGCCGTTCCATCGTGGAATAAAGAATAGAGGAGAAGGACAGACTCTTGTTATTACCCACACCACACCCCGAATGTAGGTTGTAACCTGCCTCCCCAATTCTGCCGACCCATCTCACTCATTCTGCCGACCCATCTCACTAATTCTGCCGACCCATCTCACGTCATCATGACTTCCCCAATCTTGTCCCTCGACCCCTTCCCCCCGTTCCCCTCCCCTCCCCTCTTTCCCTCCCCCTCTCCGCTTCCCGTATTCCTTTTCCGCCAGCTGGCTGCCTGTGATTGGCCGTGAGCCATCGTTTCTGTCAGAGCAGTGGAGTGAGCAGCTGCTGCAGGGCAGCCCGTGGCGTGCCACGTGTCCCTCGCCCTTCCTCAAATCGGGTGCGTGGGGAGGGAATTAAGGGAGGGTAGGGGACAGGGCGGGATTGACGGGAGGGGATGGGAGGGGACGGGAGGGGACGGGAGGGGACGGGACGGGAGAGAAAGGAGTGTATTTAGTGGCAAACCGAGTGGGAGAGTGGGAGAGTGGGAGAGGGAAGAGATAGACAAGGGTCCGAGCAGAGAGCAATGGCAGGGCCTCGCTCTGCAATCACACACCCATACACCCCCCAGCCTTCTTCTCCCCTCTTGCACAAGCACTCTGCCTTCTTCCCCTCTACTCGAGAAATGTTTGTCTCCTCCTCATCGTACAAGAAACAGACCCGTTCTTTCCTCTTGATCTCTCATCTCTCCCTTCATCGTCTCTCCTTGAACACAGTAAGTCTGTCTCCAATGCATCCCTTCCATCCCACTCTATTTCCCTCTCCTTCCATCATCTAACCCTCCCCCAGACGTCTCCCTCCTTGCACTACCACCTGCCACGTCCTTCCTCCGCACATCCGCTGCTGGCTCAACCTCCCCTCTCCGAAGCCGCCCCACCTCTGGCGGTGAAGCCTATAACGAGGATGGCGAGGGTGATAATAGCGAGGGCTTCCCCTCTCCAGGTGCCCTTGCGGCTGCCGCTGCTGCTGCTGGCAACGAAGCTGCACTGTGTGTTGAGTTTAGCCGGGAACGAAGCAGGCGGGCAGATAGAGCCGCCCGAAGGGCTAGCAGACAAACGATGCCATCCAGTGGGGAGGAAGTGGGCGGCAGAGGTAGGGGTGCTGGGAGGGAAGGAAGAGGGGAGGAGGGAGGGGCTGCAGAGGCAGGGAGGAGTGTGGGTGAGGAGAGTGGGGGATCGAGGAGGGGAAGGAGAAGCCAGAGGAGGGAAGAACAGGAGAGGGAAAGGGAGAGGATGAAGCAGGAAGAGGCATCTGCAGGGCGGCAGGGGCGGCAGGGACGGGAGGGGCGGCAGGGGCGGGAGGAGAGGAGTGAGGAGAAGAGGAAAGGGAGAGGGGAGGAGAGGAGTGAGAGACGGGCGGGAGGTGGGGGGACTGGTGTGAGGGAGGAGGGGAGACGAAGTGGTGGAAAAGGGGGAGGAGGGAAGGAGGATCCGACGTTGGATGTAGCATCTGCTTTGGAAGCCGCTATTAGGCTGGTATGATGAGATGGGGTGGGGGTGAACTGGCGTGCCACGTGATAAAGGTTGGTTTTGGAAGGAGGGAGGGAAGGGGGGTCAGACGTTGGATGTAGCATCTGCTTTGGAAGCCGCTATTAGGCTGGTATGATGAGATGGGGTGGGGGTGAACTGGTGTGCCACGTGATAAAAGGTTGGTTTTGGAAGGAGGGAGGGAAGGGGGGTCAGACGTTGGATGTAGCATCTGCTTTGGAAGCCGCTATTAGGCTGGTATGATGAGATGGGGTGGGGGTGAACTGGTGTGCCACGTGATAAAGGTTGGTTTTGGAAGGAGGGAGGGAAGGGGGGTCAGACGTTGGATGTAGCATCTGCTTTGGAAGCCGCTATTAGGCTGGTATGATGAGATGGGGTGGGGGTGAACTGGTGTGCCACGTGATAAAAGGTTGGTTTTGGAAGGAGGGAGGGAAGGGGGGTCAGACGTTGGATGTAGCATCTGCTTTGGAAGCCGCTATTAGGCTGGTATGATGAGATGGGGTGGGGGTGAACTGGTGTGCCACGTGATAAAAGGTTGGTTTTGGAAGGAGGGAGGGAAGGGGGGTCAGACGTTGGATGTAGCATCTGCTTTGGAAGCCGCTATTAGGCTGGTATGATGAGATGGGGTGGGGGTGAACTGGTGTGCCACGTGATAAAAGGTTGGTTTTGGAAGGAGGGAGGGAGACGTTGGATGTAGCATCTGCTTTGGAAGCCGCTATTAGGCTGGTATGATGAGATGGGGATGAATTGGTGCGATGAGATGGGGTTGAAATGGTGCATGCATGGCATGAGGGTGACTTGCTTCATTCCACGTCTTCTTATACGCTATGTTAACTCCATAAACAATCAAATGCTCCCTGGGTGTCCAGTCCACAGCAGCGCCCCATCTGATAATCCCACCGCCTCTGTGCCATGCCTCCCTTAACCCATCGCAGGTGCAAATGGGCGACCATAAGAATGCTTTCCCCATCTTTGCCAAGGTACCACTCTCTGGGCTGTGCTGTGCTGTGCTGTGCTGTGATGCGCTGTGCTGTGATGTGCTGTGCTGTGATGTGCTGTGATGTGCTGTGCTGTGCTGTGCTGTGATGTGCTGTGCTGTGATGCGCTGTCCTGTGTGGTGCGGTGCGGTGCGGTGCTGTGCGGTGCGGTGCTGTGTTGTGTTGTGCTGTGCTGTGCCTTGCCAGCCATGCCATGTCATGTCACGCTTTGGATATTCCTTCCAAAACACCATGCCACACGCCATGCTGCCAAACCATTCTACCCTGTGCCAGCCATGCCATCCGTTGCCATGCCATGCCCATTCCATGCCTCCACTGCACAAACTCACCTCCATCCATCACCCACTCCATCCTTCTCTCCTCTCCTCGCGCATTCCTCCCTCCTCTCCCAATCACGCCCCTCGCCGCCCTCTTCAAGACTCCCACCTTTCCCCAACCCCCTCGTGTGCCCCTCTCTCTCACCCCGCAGCTGCAGGAGAGCGGAGCACGGGATGGTGCTGCCCCCCTTATGACCCTTACCCCCAAACCCCCCCTCTCCCCAACCCCTCCCTCTGCCATCCCTACCCCCCTCCCCTCACACCCCTCACGCCCCTCACATCCCTCACACCCCTCACGCCCCTCACGCCCTTCACACCCCTCACGCCCTTCACACCCCTCACGCCCCTCACACCCCTCACGCCCCTCACACCCCTCACGCCCCTCACACCCCTCACGCCCCTCACACCCCTCACGCCCCTCACGCCCCTCATGTCCCTCACGACTCTCACACCCCCCTCTCCCCTCTCCCCTCACGCCCGCCCGCTCACCCCACAGCTGCAGGAGAGCGGAGCACAGGAGACGGTGGTGCTGCTGGCGTGGCGTGGCATGGCGCATGCCTTTGCAGAGCATTATGAGGAAGCTCTCAGCGACTTCAACAAGGTATATGTGTGTGTGTGTGTGTGTGTGTGTGTGTGTGTGTGTGTGTGTGTGTGTGTGGGTGTGGGAGGGGGGGGGGGTGGGGGGTTGGGGGGGTGGGGGGGTGGGGGGGTGGGGGGGGGTGGGGGGTTGGGGGGGGTGGGGGGGTGGGGGGGGTGGGGAGGGGGGGAAGGGGGGAAGCACACCTTTGCAGAGCATTATGAGGAAGCACTCAGTGATTTCAACAAGGTATGAGTGTGTGTGTGTGTGTGTGCGTGCGTGCGTGCGTGCGTGCGTGCGTGCGTGCGTGCGTGCCTGCCTGCGTGCGTGCGTGCGTGCGTGCGTGCGTGCGTGCGTGCGTGCGTGCGTGCTGTCAGAATAGTGAAGGAACGAATGAGGAGCCATAGCTAGGGTTTAGCTAGCTAGGCAAGAGAAAATAGGCAAAGGAGGGGGTTGCACTAGCAAGCAAGTGGATACATATAGGAAACCCTAAGGGGCCGCACTCACTATAGAGTATCCCACTGCAGGCTAGACAAACTACACATTCTGAAACACCCCCATATTCAAAGTGGGGTATGATCAGTACAACAAGCAACAGTTTATAGTTCACAAATATAAGCAAAGCTAGAGGCTATCACAGAGGGCAAGTGAAGAGGAGGAGGGACTATGAGAGGAGAGGAGGTAGTGGGCGGCAGCTGAAGCTGCTGGCACACGGCGCAACTGGAGCAACTGGCACACGGGCAACTGGAGCAATTGACACACTGGCAACTGGAGCAACTGGCATACGGGCAACTGGAGTACCTGGCTCCGCGGCTAGACGAGCGGCAGGAGCAACTGACTCTCAGGCGATTGGAGCAACGGGCTCACGGGCGACTGGAGCGACGGGCTCACGGGCGACTGGCGCAACGGTCTCACGGGCGACTGGAGCTGCTGGCTTCACGGCGGCCACCCCCCTTCAACCTCCCCCTTTGTCCCAAAACTCTCGTTCACACCCCCTGCTGCACCCCTAGCTTCACTCCCACGACACCCCCCTAGCACCACTCCTTCGGCTCCCACACACCCACCCCCCTCAGCGGCAACTGCAGCAGTGGGAGACGGAGGAGGAGGAGGAGGAGGGGACGGTTCACACACCCGCCACCCCCATACCCGTCACCCCCATACCCTGAGTGTGCGATAAACGAGCTCAGGTGTGCGTGAAGCGTGCACAAGCGCGCGGGAAGCGAACTCGGGTGTGCGGTAAGTGAACTCAGGTGTGCGGGGAGGGGGGCCGCATGGCGATGCGCGGGTCCACGGGGGCGGCGCACGGGTCCCACGGGGTGGCGCGCCGGGATGGCGGGGGCCGCGCGCGGGTCCCTAGGGCGACGCGACGGGATCGCGGGGGACGCGCGCGGGTCCCCAGGGGCGACGCGACGGTCGACGGGGGGGACGCACGGTTCTCCGGGGGCGGCGCGACGGTCGACGGGGAGGGACGCGCGGGTCCCCGGGGTGACGCGACGGTCGACGGGGAGGGACGCGCGGGTCCCCGGGGTGACGCGTGAGGCAGAAAACAGCCGCGCGCCCCGAGCGCGCGGCGGGCAGAAAACCGCCATGCGCCCTGAGCGCGTGGCGGGAAGGAAAAAGCGTCGTGTGCCACGGGGCGCGCGACAGACACGAAAGCAGCGGAAGCTTAGGGTGGGCCCACAGGTTAGGATCGAACGAGCTCTTAATACCATGTCAAAATAGTGGCATAAGTAGGTAGTTGGGTTTAAGTGGGCCTAGGCTTAGTAGCCTAGGCCAAGGGAGTTGAGCTAGTTTGTGCCAAGGAGAGAGAGTCGAGAAATGAGAGGGGAATGATGTTCACTATAGCACTAGGGTACATATAGCAAACAAAGAGGTGCACCACCTATAAAGTTAATATCTACACTACAGCTAGAACTACATGCAGGTATAAGAATATAATTCTGACATCCCCCCGTAACTGCATGCAGGAATAGCTAAGTGCAGAACACAACCTGCAGGGGTACACCACAGACAGAGAAAACAGCAACAGCAGGCAAGGCAACAGAGCACGTACAGCAGCAAAGGGGCAGGCACTCCTGCCACCCCTTGACTCTCCTCCCCCCCCCCCCCCCACTTCAGGAGGGGCGGCTGGTTGGCCTCACACCCGCCACCCCAGTGCCACTCCCCTGGCTCCCCCACACCCTCACACCCTCCCCCCCAGCGGCAGCTGCAGCAGTGGGAACGAAAGGAGGAGGAGGGGAAGGGAAACACACCACCCATCACCCCCACACCCGCCACCCCCATACCCTCCCCCCCACGGCTGCAGGGAGACGAAGGAGGAGGGGGGGGGGGGGGCGGGGATAAAGCCGCAGAGCGGCTACAGAGGGTCGGCGCGGGTAGGGCAGGGGCGGCTGCAGCGAGTGCAGGCGCGGGGTGAGGTAGAGGTGCCGTCGCGGGCGCCAGGGGCGGGTCCGCAGCGGCTCAGGGCACCGTCGCGGGCGCCAGGGGCGGGTCCGCGGCGGCTCAGGGCACCGTCGCGGGCGCCAGGGGCGGGTCCGCGGCGGCTCAGGGCACCGTCGCGGGCGGCAGGGGCGGGTCCGCGGCGGCTCAGGGCACCGTCGCGGGCGCCAGGGGCGGGTCCGCGGCGGCTCAGGGCACCGTCGCGGGCGCCAGGGGCGGGTCCGCGGCAGCTCAGGGCACCGTCGCGGGCGCCAGGGGCGGGTCCGCGGCGGCTCAGGGAGCCGTCGCGGGCGCCAGGGGCGGGTCCGCGACGGGCAGAAAAAACGTCACGCGCCACCCGGGCGCGGGACAGAACGAAAATCGCCACGCGCCCGAGGCGCGCGACCGGAAAAACAGCAGCGGAAGCGTGAGGCTGGCCCACAGGCCAGGATTTAACAGTCTCTAATACCATGTCAGAATAGTGAAGGAACGAATGAGGAGCCATAGCTAAGGTTTAGCTAGCTAGGCAAGAGAAAATAGGCAAAGGAGGGGGTTGCACTAGCAAGCAGGTGGATACATATAGGAAACCCTAAGGGGCCGCACTCACTATAGAGTACCCCACTGCAGGCTAGACAAACTACACATTCTGACACGTGCGCGCGTGCGCGCGTGCGCGCGTGTGTGTGTGTCTGTGTGTGTCTGCTGCTGCTGAATCCTCTAGTCTAGCTGACTCAAGAATGGCACACGCCTTTGCAGAGCAGTATGACAACGCACTCAGTGACTTCACCTTGTTCTTTCCCCCTCTGCAACCCGCAGCAGACCCCCAGCGCAGGGCATTATTGGGCAAAGAACATCAGTGGCGCGGATTATGGGGTGGTTTGAGTTAATAAAAACATTTCTTCTAACCCCTTCGTTTCATCCCTCCTCTCCGCCCCCCATAGTCTCTAAAGCAGGCCCCCAACGCAGGCCAGATTCTCAGGCAACGAGCGTCGGTGCTTCTAGTAACCATGGGGTGCCTTGAGTTGACTCAAACCACTCCTTCCAACCCCTTCATTTCCTCCGTCCCCTCCCCCCCACCCCCCAAGGCTCTAAAGCAGGCCCCCAAGGCAGGGGAGATTCTGAGGCAACGAGCGTCGGTGCTTGGAAAGACCTTGGGTTGATATTTATGGACTCAGACCACTCTCTTTAACCTCTTCCTTCCTCCCCCCTCCCCAATCCCCATAGGCTCTAGAGCAGGCCCCCAAGGCAGGCCAGATTCTGAGGCAACGAGCATCGGTGCTTGGGATTTTGGGCCGGCACAAGGAGGTATGTGTGTGTGCAGTGGGGTGTGTACGGGTGGGGGGGGGTGTCATGATATTTTGAGTTGAGTCGACTCGAACATCAGATTCTCAGGCAACGAGCATCAGTGCTTGGGATCTTGGGCCGGCACAAGGAGGTATGCGGGTTGTGGGCCGTGAGTATATGTGACGGGTCTTTGTTTTCTGTGACTGGCAGGGATGTGACAGGGATTTTTTTAATTCTTCCTTGCGTTCAATGCAAGGAACAACTGTACTGTACTGTACTGTACTGTACCGGTACCTTGCATTCATGTTTAAGTGACAACTCCAGGTCGCATTCTCTCATGGTCACACACACACACACGCTCTCAAGCCATACCTGCATGCCATGGTTGAAGGGAGGTGACTTTTGAGTCACCTCGTTACCATGGTTGAAGGGATTTTGACGATTTTAATATAAGTACCCACACCACCACACCATCCCCAATTTTGCAGGCCATCGCTGATTGGACGGCTGTGATTGAAATGGATCCAAACGATGCTGCAGCCAGACAGGAACGAGGTGAGAATAGAGGGAGGTGACTAAGAGTTGTGACAAAAGAGAGGTGACAATAGGGATGTGAGTAGCGAGAGAGAGATGACATTAGGAAAGTAGTGAGTTGTGACGATAGGGAGAAGAGAAATGCTCTGGGCAGACCTTTTCCTTTTCAGGGGGCAAAATTTTGGTGCATTTTCTCCTGAGTTTTGCATATTCTAGTGCAACCAACCCACCCAACTCATGCCATACTAACCTCCCTCTTGTTCCTCCCCATCCCCCTCTCCCCTCCTCTCCCACCCACCTCCCTCGCAAGAGCCGCTGCATACCCACCTCCCTCGAACGCCAATGCCTGTTCGAGCACACTGCCTGACCTCTATGCGGCCAGGTTGGGTCGGCATGCCAAGAATACCGACCCGGACTATTTCCCCTACCCCTCCTCCCCACCCTTTCTTCCCCTCCTCTGCATATGCCGCATACGTGAACGCCAATGCCTGCTCGAAGGCACTACCTGGCTGACTTCTATGCTGCTATGTTGGGTCGGCACACCAAGACGAGAATGCGCCCCATAATAACCTCCTTTCTGCTCTTACCCCCCCTCTTCCCCTCCCCCACCAACCAGGAGCGGCATACGTGAACGCCAACGCCCATGCGAGCGCGCTGCCGGATGTCTACGCTGACTGCCTGCCAGGCAGGTTGGGTTGGCATACTAAGAATGCGCCCTATAATGACCGCCTTTCTGTTCTGACCTCTTCCCCTCCCCCACCAACCAGGAGCGGCATATGTGAACGCCAACGCCTATTCAAGCGCGCTGCCGGACCTCTACGCTGCCAGGGCCATGGCTCCCCAGCTCTTCAAACCGCACCTCTTCCTTGTAAGCTTGTTGTTGAGGCGTCTCAAAAAGAATGCACTGCCGGACCTCTATGCTGCCAGGGCCATGGCCCCGCAGCTCTTCAAGCCGCACCTCTTCCTCGTAAGCCTCTTTTTTGGTGTCTCTAAAGCTAGCTCTTAAGCCCCATCTCTTCCTCCAAGTCTATTCTTGAGGCTCCTCAACAAGAGTGCACTGCCGGACCTCTGTGCTGCCAGGGCCATGCCCCCAGCTCTTCACACCCCATCTCTTCCTCGTAAGCTTGTTTTTGAGGCGTCTCAAAAAGACTGCACTGTCGGACCTCTATACTGCTAAGGCCATGCCCCCCCAGCTCTTCACACCCCATCTTTTCCTGTAAGCTTTACCTGTCAACAAGGGAGAGGCCTAAACCAGAACCTTAAAACCTTGAACCCCCGTAGGCTAAGCCCCCAGCTCTTCAAACCCCATCTTTTTTCTTTTTTCTGTAAGCTTGAGTCGTCAAGGGAGTGGCCTAAACCCCGACCTATAAACCCTGAACCCCCGGGCTCTTTTCAAGCCGCACCTCTTCCTTGTAACACTCATCTCTTCCTGTGAATTCCTGTGAATGCCTGCGGTCCCCATCTCTTCCTTGTACACTCGGTACCAAGGAGGCTTCATGGTGAGTCACTTCTCAACTCCCTCGTCTCCCTTCCCCTTGCCTCCAGGGCCTGGCGCTGACAGCCACAGGGGCACCGTTTGAAGCTGTGAAGAGCTACGAGACGGCCATGGCAATGAATCCAGATGTGAAGGAGGGCCGGTCCCTCTGAGGCGACCCACTTCCCATCTCACCGCTCTCAACTCCCTCGTGTCCCTTCAACTTGCCTTTCCTCCTCCAGGGCCTGGCGCTGACAGCCACAGGGGCACCGTTTGAAGCTGTGAAGAGCTACGAGACGGCCATGGCAATGAATCCAGATGTGAAGGAGGGGTGGACGAACTGGGGGCAGACAATGAAGGAAATCGCCATGTTCAACGAGTCGGAGCGATGCTATAAGCGTGCTCTGGGGGTGGACAGCGGGTGAGTGCGTGGAGCAGCTTATATGGGGGATAATTGGGGAGTGGTGGTGCATGGGAAAGAGGGATGGACCAACTGGGGTCAGACGATGAAAGAGATCGCCATGTTCAACGAGTCGGAGCGATGCTATAAGCGTGCTCTGGGGTTGGACAGCGGGTGAGTGGGTGGAGCAGCTTATATGGGGGATGGTTGGGGGGTGCTGCATGGAAACGAGGGATGGATGGACAAACCTTGGACATGGGCATACCCCGCCATATCTATACCCTTATTATACTCATAAATAGTACCCCAGAACCCCACTCGTCACCTCATGAAGGTTCTCCCCCATGCCTTTCCCACCCATTCCCAACCCTCCTCACATCTTCCCGTGGCATACAGGCTCTGGGCGAAGCCGACTCTGTGATGTGCCTACGGCATGCCCCATTCTTTGAATACCCCCTTACTCTCCACCCACCCATGCTGCCCCATGCCTTTCTCGCCCTCCGTGCAGGTTCCTTCCTGCTGGCGTACAGGCTGTGGGCGAAGCTGACCTTTTTGAGTCGACTCAACATGTGCCTACTGTCATGTCCCATACCCTGTATATTGCAATTTGCCACCCATGCCTTCCCGTGCCTCCCCGTCACCGCATGCAGCTTCCTGCTGGCGTACAGGCTGTGGGCGAAGCTGAGGCACAGCGTGGGCGACCATAGGTGAGACGCCAGCGCTTGGTGGCAGCACTGGGCGGCAGTACAGCAGCAATGGGCGTCAGTACAGCAGCATTGGACGGCAGTACAGCAGCATTGGGCGGCAGTACAGCAGCATTGGGCGACAGTACAGCAGCACTGGGCGGCAGCACTGGGAAGCACTGGGTCGATTTGTATTTTAGCCATCTGAATGGACAGGGGGGGGTGGGCACTACTCTGTGTGCCATGGCACACACTCGCTTGCTGCTACACGCCCAGCAGCAGTAGAACCTCAAGTACCACCCCCACAATAGTCAGCCACACTTGTAGTTAATCACAAGGCACTGTGTCTCCTCCTTTTCCCCTCTTGCCCCTAACTCGCCCCTTCGGTGATGGCAGAGGGGTGATTCGGCTGCTGCAGGAGGGGCTGAAGCACCACCCGGCTAATGTGGAGCTGCGTTACTTTGAGGCCTCCTGCTACCATGCCACAGGGGACTTCTCCCAGGCCGTGAGTTGACCTGCGTTGACTTGTGTTGACTGCTGTTGACTGCAGTCGACGCCTTATATTTAATTTACTTTGTGGCCTCCTGCTACCATGCCACGGGGGACTTCTCCCAGGCCGTGAGTTGACCTGCGTTGACTTTCACTGACTTGTGTTGACTTCTAGTACTACTTTCATCCTCAGTCAACTCAACAACCCTCTAAACCCTGACCGGAGATGAGAGATTCCTGTACCGCGCCTTCCATCCAGAGTCAACTCTCATCCGCCATTCCCCCCCACTCCTCCTCCCGCCAGGTGAGGCTCTACGACAGCATTCTCTCCCTGCAGCCGTCCGGAGACGAGAGGTTTCAGTACCTCGCATTCTACCAGGTGTGTTGAGAAGGTTCCTGGATGCTTCTTAGAGCCACCTTCCAGGTTGGTTAAAAGGTCGTTGAATGAGCTTATTTTATGCTTAGTAGCTCAGCTCGTTGCTCCTGGAAGGAGGCATGGCTTCATAGTCTCATCCTTCCATCAGCGTCTCATCGTAGCAACGCTGATGCCTTGCGTAGCAATCAAGTGCTGCAAACGACACACACAAATCACACAACTTCATGGGCCTATTCATATGCCATGTCATGCCATGCCATGCCATGCCATGCCATGCCATGCCATGCCATGCCATGCCATGCCATGCCATGCCATGCCATGCCATGCCATGCCTGCTATGGCATGCCATGGCAAGCTGTGCTCGTTTCACAACCCCCCTCTCCCCATTTGGCCCCGCTTCTCTTTCTTTTCTTTCCCCCCTCTTTTCCCCTTCCTTCACAGCGCGAGATAGCAGCATACATGGCAGTCAACGTGAATTCTCCCTTCTCTCACTTCAGCCTCGATGACCATTTCAACCGAGTCTTCAAGGCAAGATCCGTGTCTTCCCACCTGCCGTATGTGCATGGCACACTATGCATGCATGCACCTCTCCCTCACTCGCCCCTCCCTCACTCGCCCTTTCCTCACTTCAGCCTTGATGACCATTTCAACCGAGTGTTCAAGGCAAGCTTGTGCTTTTCTTGTCAAGGCAAAATCATGTTCCCTTTGCCAAGGCAAGGCCATTCTTCCATTGTACATTTTTCCATTGCCCATTCTTCCATTGTACATTTTTCCTTTGTCCATTCTTCCATTGTACATTTTTCCGTTGTCCATTCTTCCATTGTACATTTTTCCGTTGTCCATTCTTTCATTGTTTCTCTGGTCATTAAATCGGCGTTCCCTCCTTTTCCCCTCCTCCGCCCCCCTCCCGCCTCCACCTTGAAACAGGAGGGCTGGGCATATGCACAGTTCCCCCGGGGCACCTGCCCTTGAAGGGATACCAGATGCAGGACATACAGGCGGTGCATTTTGAGGCGCCTCTTAGCATTGAGGTGTATTTTGAGGCGCCTCAAAATACACCTTGAAGGGATACCAGATGCAGGACATAGAGGCGGTGCTCTCACACCTCTTACACTCCCCATGTGGCCACTCCATCATTATCACACCACCCGTCCCCTTTCTTCCTCAAAACAGCAAGGCTGCGCCAACGCACAGTCTCCAGGGCACCTGCCCTCCAGAGGGTATCAGATGCAGGACACTCAGGCAGTGTTCCGCATGCTTCATGCCTCCTCCCACCCTACCCAACCCACCCCTCTCCTTCCTCCTCGGGAACAGGAGGGCTGGGCCAACGCACAGTTCCCTGGCCACCTGCCCTCCAGGGGATACCAGATGCAGGACATTCAGGCAGTGTTCCGCGTGCGGCGGCAGCAGCACCGGCGCAAGGGGGAGAAGCGTTTCGAGGCGAACCGAGCGGCGCTGCTACAGCAGGCTGATGCGATTGGGCGGCTGGTTCAGTACAACACCACGGGGTTCCTCGGTAACATGCGGCAGGTGATTTGAAGCACTTAGAAAAAGAGGTGCTGGTGCTTGCAGCAGATTCCATTGGCTGGCTCGTTCAGTACAACACCACGGGGTTCCTTGGTAACATGCAGCAGGTGAGTGCTGATGCTATTGCTAACACAAGTCCTTAGAGAAAGGGCTGCTGCTGCTGCTGCAGGCTGATGCGATTGGGCGGCTGGTTAAGTACAACACCACGGGGTTTCTTGGTAACATGCAGCTGGTGAGGACTTAATAGCTAGCTGTTACTTGGTAACATGAGCGTTCAGGTTAGATAAAAAGGCGCTGCTGCTGGTGCAGGCTGATGCATTTGGTTGGCTCGTTCAGTGCAACAACACCTCAGGGTTCCGTTACCCTTCCCATCTCCTTTCCTTACCCTCCGTCCATCCTCCTCTCTCCCTCCATCCACCCTCCTCCCACTCTGCACAGCAACGAGCAGCAGGGCTGGCTGCATTAGACATCATGCAGACGGTGAGAAAGGCGTGGAAGGATTGGATGAAGAGTGGGCACGTGGAGCAGGGCAGCAGCGCAGAGGAGGTGGAGGAGGGGGTGGGGGTGGGGTGGAGGGACGTGTACGGCATGGGAGTGAGATGGAGGCAGATTGCCGAACCCAACGACCCCATCGTGTGGATCGACGGCCTCACGTGAGTCATGGGGCTCTTTGATGTGTTACGCGGTAACCGTGACCTTCTCGTGTGGATCGAACGGCCTCACGTAAGTTGTGGTTATGAGTGGTATGACACTATGTATATCTATACTTTCTTTCGGGCCCTGAATGCGTCTGATCTGAATCATCCTCCTCTCTCCTCGTGCATCCCATCACTCCCCCTCACCCTCTTAACCATCCCTGCTGTGGCAGCCGGGAAGCATTTGAAACCGGGTTTGGCTCAGTAACACCGATGGTGTCCGGGCAGACTCGAAACATTCGATACTCCATGAATGCTGACCGGTGAGATCCTTCTCACCTGACCAATTCATTTCCTCTAAGCGTTTAGCTCATGATTTGATGAGTGATGTGATGCAAAGAGGTCGGCTGGTCCGTTCATATGGGCTCATCAGTGTTCAACCTCTTTCCATTCTCGAACCTGTCGTATATCACCACAGTGCGTTCAAGATCGTACAGCAGGAGATGCTGCATCACGGCAAGGTGTACGGCGAGCACGACGAGGAGATTCCGCTCAGTCAAGGGGATCTGAAAAAGGTGTGTGGTGCTTGGGTGTGTTGGTGCTTGGGTGCTTGGGTGTGTTAGGAGGGCGCGGTGGGACGCATCGAAGCTTGCGCGTGAGCGCGTGTGGAGCTCCCGATCGCTGGGGGGGGGGGGGGGGGGGGGGTGGTGTTCGTGTGTGTGGGTTGGGTTTGAGTCGTATCAAGATACACAAGGTATACGGTGATGACGAGGAGATTTCACTCGGTCAAGAGGCACTGGAGATGGTGAGTGATTGTGCATGTCACATGTGCCTTCCTACCACGGCATCTTTCGCAGCTCATGTTGAGTCAACTCAAAGCATACATCTGCACCTGTTTCGCTTTTCCACCCTCTCCTCCCTCCTTCCATGTGACGAGATGCAAGCATCTCCTTGATGGTTGAAACTGGTTGAAATTGGTTGGAATTGGTTGAATGAAATTGGTTGAAATTGATTGAAATTGGTTGATTTTTTTTTTATTATTATTGAAATTGGTCGAAATTGTTTTTTTTTTTTCTACTAAAATTGGCTGAAATTGGCTGAAATTTATTGAAATTGATTGAGGATCATCCATCTCTCAATCCGAGTGAAGTGACCCTTGATTGACGTGACACATGTCTTCCATCCCCTTCCCTCCTGCCATGTCAGGTGGACCGAGCAACCAATTTCAACCAGCTCTGGGACGTCGTACAGAAAGGCTTCTTTGTCTTCACC